ACTGTAACCGAAAGTCTTGCTAGGTGGCACAATACCTTAGGTTTATTCGAGTGCTGTAAATTCAAAGTATTAGACCAACTTCGTTTCTACTGTAAAGGTCTTTAACTACAGATATTTATTTAACGGGTATTGCCCTTATATCAATATAATAATGAAGAATTCAGAAACTGGAAGCGAGTAAGCTTCGTGGTAGGTTGCTAGCTAATAACACATGTGTACCCCTGACCCACTATACCCTGACATCGCCTTTAGCTATATCGTCCTTGGGTAGGTACTTGATAAATGTCGGATATATTTATATTAATATGATCTAGATCAAATCTTGCATTTTAAATTAATTAGATACTCGTGCTTTATTTTACCCTTACCCACATATAAAATGCTTTAACTAATGGTTCATTTCACTTATACCCATGACATAAGGAATACATCCTACACCACATCAGGACATTGATAGTCATAAAGAGAGGAGGCATGTTTATATCTTGTCTGTAATGACCGTATATACCAGTATGTCAATCTACCTATTCCTTCATATCTCCAGTAGGTCCTCGCAACGACCAAGACACAATCTTAAGGGGCAAAAGCCACGAATTTTCCAATACCAATGTGGTCCGCCGCTGCATCGAGAGCTTCCTTCCAGTCTTCCAACTTGAAGAGCTTCGTCTCCACAAAATCCTTGCCGCGAGGAAACAAGCCCCTTTCTAGCATCTTAAAGAATAAAACAATATCATCTCGATGGTACATTAGCTTCCCTTTTATGGAAATATCCATACCTATGATCGTAGAGACTATAGGATCCTCATTCCAACCCATAAAGCTGACACGCCCGCCACGGCGAAGAGCCAAGATGGTACTCTTGACATGTTGGGACTTAGCTGCCTTCGGTGGTGTAAAATCGAGGACAGCGTCGACAATGCCAAATGCCCGCAACGCGGCTGCATCGGCCATCACGTCTCCGGTCATCTTCACCGTCTCGATACTGGCGTTTGGTGTACCCCTTAGCACATGTTCCTTGAGCCTGGCTAACTCCTTCTCGTTTCGGCCAAAGGCAATGACTCTCGTTCCCATACCAATAGCTGTCTGTACAGCCGCGCCCCCATAACCCCCAGTGGCCGGACAGATAATAATGGTTTCGCCAGGCTTCAGGTTAATATCCTCAAATCCACCGAACCCAACCAGCATGTGGCAACTATACAAGATATCCGGGACCGTGTAACCCAGTTCACCACACAGTCTCGCCTCGTCAAGGGCAAAGCAGTTCTCCAGGGGCGCTTGGGCGTACTCGGCGAAATACCCGTTACGCCACACGTCGCGAATTAGCTTCCTGCTGCCCTCGCTCAGACCCTCGTGAATAGCTGTGAGGAACAAATCGCTGGGGTTATCGCGCGAGTGGATCACGCAGTCGACATACACAAGCTGGCCTGGCTTTAAAAGGGTTGCGTCGGCTCCGACGGCGACGATACGACCAATGGCACTGATACCGCCTACGATCGGCTTGGGGAAGTTGTAGAAACGAAGACCACCATAAATCTCGCGATGGTAAGAAAGTATGCCGGCAGCAGTTATCTTGACAATGGCATTGCCCAGGCCGGGCTGGGGGGTTGGGATGTTCTTGAGGTGGAAGCCTTCGCCGATAGCCTCAAGCACGAGGGCGCGGTGTTCGGCGGGAAGCTCTGATGCCATAGTGAAAGTTAAGATGAATGGGAGGTTGAGATTGTAGAAGAGGTGAAGAGACAGATGATTATGGACATATTCTCAAGCTTGTAGACAGGAACTTGGAGGCTTTATATAAGAATAGTTTTTCTTCTACCTCTGTCGGCGATGATCGGATCTATTCAAGAATTCTCCGATCAGTCTGCGGTAAACATTTCCCATGTGAGGATCATATCTCTTACGAATACCTATAGGCTATCTGCGAGGCCTTTGATACTATGGCATGATGCTTCTAAAGTCCGGTTTCCTTCCTCCATACGGTGTTATTCGGTCACTACCTCTCATAGGCCCCATACCCGTCATCTCTACAAAGTTGAACGGGATAAGTAAATAGGGGCAGCCGTCAGTAACTTGACATAAAGACGACATAGAAGAAAATATAATCAACAACAGAGCTATTGGATTTAGAGCTGATGGATAAATTCCAGTTCACGTTTTTACAGTATATTTTTTGAAAGTTGGTAGGAATAGTGACGTAAATGAGCTACTTCATATTAATTACGAGTCTACTACAATACTATGAAGCACCTATTGCGGGTATTAGAGTTTGATTATCAATAAGAACTCTTAATATTCCTTAATTCAGCCCGACGTGCTCAATGCAGCGGCGCGGAATAAGCTCATAAAACCGAATAGACATCAAAATAGGGGGAGAAGATATAGGTAATACTTATCACCGGCAACTCGGGTGTTAAGTTCCACATAACGAAACATTAAAATCAACGTCGCAGTATGCTTATCACCGGTTCCTAAACTATTCAGGTAAACTCCGTGCCCTAAAATACTAAAGTGGAAAGGGCATGAGTCCTATCGCCGGTATCAAATTACTAACTCCGCATGCCGAAACAATTCGCGATAGCCTATAGGCATACCTAAAAAGTATCGAAATCACAACTCTTAGATATTCGAAAAGAGGTAGTATATGGGTGATAATATAGTATCTTATTATCATGGATTATCGATTCCTCATAACTACCTGAGGTACTTGGTATAATCAAACGAGCCCTACACCTATACTCTTGGAAGGCGAACCCCTTTTTCTCTACATAGTCCTAGCCCTTGTCTTCATATACTTGAAGTGTTATATATGCTTGTTGATACTCTGCGGAGAAGTACCGTGACAAGTGTCTGAGAACGTCGACGTCTGCCAGGCTCTAGCCTATGATTTTGGAAAGCGAGGTTTTGGAGAACCGAGTTTCTAGCTTTTATACGGGACAATAAATTCTCAAAATCCTTCTTCTTCAAAGCGAAAGATACGCGCTTCTTCAATTCTTGGACAATTAATAGTCGACTTGTCAGTTTTACCTACCTAAATATGGATAATCAGAATTCGATATGGGTCTAAAGATGATCTGATATGATAGAACATTTACGTCGCTACTCATTTGGATACAAAGTTTCTCTTTTAATTCACTTGTTGCCTATGGAACCTCTGTAACGTCATATTCTGGAGCCGGACACATTCTGTTCCGAGATCACGCTCTATGCAGTTAAGGTCGTATCCAACACGTCTCGTCGATGATAAGATGAACTTGAAAGTTTGTACCGCTTTTATTGTTAGAGGGAGAGCCCCTTAAGACAAAACCAACTACTTCTAGACCTAACATCGCGTCTTCTGGCTGCGAGACTACGTGCGGGGGCGAGATTAACCCATTCGCCAACACTATCAGAGATACATTTATTGGATTCTCAACGAAACACTTCAATACCTTGCTTTAACCACCTTAAATATGCCAGTTGGATTAACCTAGTGTCTTGTTCGCGTTAGATATATCTAAAATCAGATGCGGATAGGTGTAAAGAGGCTGAGTCTTGGTTTGAAGGTAACAACGTTGATATAGAGATCTAGTGCCAGGTGTATACTTAGATTGACTGCTGAGGATATTCTAATATTAGCTAGATAGTAGGCCCTCCTTATATAGACAATATCGTTAGTACTAGAACCTAGGCACCTTCCGGGTTCTAAGGTTCAAGGAACCCGAGGAACTCGAGGAACCTCGAGGTGCGTATGGTTCCAGGGGTATCACGTGACTTTAGTTTGTAACAATAGGTCTCAAATCTTGAAACTTGTTCTGTACACTCTAACCATCTTCAAGCCACTCTCTTCATCGATGCGTAGTGATCTACTTCAGGGAGGGCTTGTACTTTCTCATTCGGCAAGAGTTGAATTTTGGGTTGGAAATTTAGGGGTACATCGCCAGTCGGAAGGCCATTCCTTAAACTATCATCTCCGCGAGACTTCATCTCTTCAGAACCACGTCTTCGATTTTCTAGAGCAGCTATCTTACTTCGTCTGAGAAGGTAAGTTTATATACGTTCTAACATACGTTACGAGAAGTTTTTGTTAAGCTGAAAGTAATTTAGCTTATGTAGTAGAATCACAGGATTGTATAATCAAAGAAGGACCCATAGACCCGACTAATGAAGAGTTGGAATATTATTTCCTAAAAGATGATGTTTTAAATGAGCCTACGATTGATCTTGTTCTCCGAGATATGTGCTATGTACTTGACTGCTTGCTTAGGTTGTCTATCACCATTACCAACCCGGCTCAACACGATCAATCCAACTACAAACAACAGTATGAACTAGAGAAGAGCAACGGTAATAATACTACCATCGCCACCCTGTATCTGTTCAATTTTGGGGCTCAACTGATAGATGAGGAGTTCCGTATCACATTACTACATAAACATACCGGTGCTATCCTATCAGTCAATAATCATTTTTCGTCATCGTCCCTCATCCAGCGAGATCGAAAGCAACGTGGGTTGCTGCTGTGTTCCTGTAGTAAGGTCTCTGATTGGTGTTATGAGGTGTTCGTCAGATCACGACGTTTTGTAGATAAGGAGTTGCTGGTCCGACCGCAATATCACCAATATTAAGTGTGACCAATTCGTCGTAGATGGGCTGCTATGGCGACGATGCTTAGGAACTGACTCATTACAGTGTGTAGGGTTAACAAGGTAAGGTAGAGTTGAAATAATTGATAATTGATAAGCCAAGGAGGGTACGAATGCAAGGATGAAAATACTCCGAATCGATTAATAACTGTCGTATGTTAATAAACAAACAGTTCGAAGTTGCATATTGCATATTGGACCCTGATTATTCTTCCAACCCTTTTTGAGAGTTTGGGAAGGCGGCAACTTCCGGGTATTATAGGTACATACAGCGGTATCTGGATACTTGGAGGTACTTTGTCCTTACTTAAGCGGCTTGTGCTTATAATTGGGTCTTTGTCTGAACTAAAAGCAACGTTAGCGGGGTACAATTCCGTCACTCTCCAATCGTAGCGGTAGTCAGCCATCCCACCACCTACACCTGCTGCACCCGGTGCACCTGCCGCTGCTTATATCGGTAGTCAGTTAAGTGAGGTTAGGTTTAATGTTAGATACCTGGGTACCTAACCTACCTTGTTGTACTTGAAAGATACTGGGGCACTTAGGCTTAGGTATTCTTGCTCGCCTCCCCCAAAACGAAACTTCCAATACAAACCACGACGAAACCTCCCACCTCTTTCGACCACATCCTTCTTCCCAACACCACCGTCCATTCGCAAGCCCAACGACACTGAGAAACCCGTCTGTTAAAGACTCGTTCCTTTGATCGAGGCGACCTTCGCGTACTTCACCATGAACCCTCACCAGAAGAACAAGGTTGACGTCAAGGTCGGTTTTCCATTCACACCTACATCCCTCCCCACCACACCCGTCTACTCTACTCCTCGTTGGGTTGGATGCCCACTTACTGTACCCAAGCCAGGGGGGTTTAGACGATACGACGAACGGAACCAAGCCTATCATCTCAATACTTGGTTTACCATGGCGAGATTTAAGTCTCACGTCTTTGTCTCTACTACCGAACATCTCCATCGTTCCACATGACACCACTGCACATAACCCCACATACAAATACCACCAACATGGATGCTAACTCTTTCTATCGCAGTCGCTCACCCCTGATGAGCAACGCCTCTTCCGCCTGTACGGCAAGCTGCCGTCGAAATCCGACCACTTCGCCAAGCACTTGAAGGAGCGCAAGTATTTCGACAGCGGAGACTACGCCATGTCGAAGGCAGGCAAGGGCGACAGCGTCGACACAGGCAGCGTCGGCAGCCAGCATCCCGTCCCCGAGAACATCCCCCACCTAACATCGCCCAACGGCCAGAACGGCGGCAGCGCCGTCGCCCACCAGCACCACCCCAGCCTGCACGCTCACACCAGCCAACAGGTTACCTCCACCGGCAGCCCCATCAAGGAGAGCAGCTTCCTCAACCGCGAGACCAGCGCCGAGGAGGACGACGCCGCTGAGAACGGCGACAAGGAGAACAAGGAAAACAAGGAAAACAACGCTAACAACGCTAACAATGCTGAGGCTAAGGCTACCGCTACCGCGGCGAACGGTGATGCCGTCAAAGGTATCCCGATCCGAAGATAAGACGATAGTAAAGCGATACTGCTACTGGGGCGGGACAATGTAGGATGAGGTGAGACGAGAGGACTCTACGGGGGAAAGCAGATGAACAGCGTTGGATGCAACCTACCTAAGAAAAGAGGCGCGTTATCTTAAGGATTTCCACCCTCCTCCCCAGCCCTATCACGCACGGCCGAGGGGAGCGCATGTGTACGTTTTTTGCCCGTCGTTGTACGACCGAGTAGTTGCGTTAAGTTGCGTTGCGTTGCGTTATATCGCGCGCGAGGGAGACGAGAAAGGTGTAAAAGGTGCTAGGTAGTAGCCGACTCCCTTTCACGACGATGGGTTACGAGTACTTTTTTTTTAATTACTTCTTTTGATTTTTATGCTCCCGCGGCGTTCGGGGAAACGGTGATTTCGCGTGGTACTGGCAAAGGGAAATTTTCGCAATTGCAAAAAATACGGATGGAACGATGCTGTGTCGTCGTCGTCGTTTTCTAGGGTCTATTCCCAACTCAATTCCCGAGTCGAGAACTTTCGCTAAGACCCTTGGTACTTTTGTTTTGCTCTTGTCTCTATTTTGGCTTGGTTGACTGTACTGGGAACTGCTGCTATTTGTTACTCTTACTTGTGAATGCGACATGGGTTAGGCATTGCTCTGGTGTCAGTGTCAGATAGTTGTTTTAATAACGAGGATTTATATCTCGAAAAACATCAAGTCGTTGCATCGTATTCTTAATGGGGTATTCACTTATCAAGCTGTAGCTTTCCATTGATTTTTGCCTTTCTGTTGGGTATATACCAGAGGGCTATCACGCTTTTCCAGTTCCTCTAACTAGTTACATACTTGGTAAGTAGAATTCTATCTTCAAAATGCACAGGCCTTCTCCGCCAACGCCTTAGCACCATCGAAGGTCTTGCTTCCTCCGATGAATCCCGACGCATGTATAAACACACCACCTGGAACTCCAGACACCTCGTCCAACTGCTCATCGCGCGCGCCCCGCCACGGCTCGGGCAGCGCCTTTCGGCTCTGGAACGAGTCCTTGGTCACAGGAACAGCTTGTATCCGCCACTTGGCATCGGGGACTGGCTTCTCCGGGTACAGCACGTAGAGAACTTTCTTAGCCGACTCTCCCTCCTCTTCTTCCAAGGTATACAAGTGGTCCTTCCAGGGCACGGATTGGCCCTCAAACACCATGATGCGACCCTCAGGGTCGAACTGTAGTCTCTTCTTGTAAGCTTCCTGAACGATGGCGCGCGCGGGTAGCCATGATCGCGCATAGAAATCGAGATCCCGCGAGAACTCCTCACCAATACGCGTGCTCGCCGTAAGGAACCTCTCGTCCTCGGCAGCCTGTGCCTCAACCGGGTCCGAGGGCGTGGGGTCGTTCCAGTTAGGGTTCAGGCGACCGACCATAGCGCCAAGCGTGAAGCCGCCGGTGCTGAAGGCCTTCTCGATGCCAGCCTCCTCTAGCTTCTTCTGGTCGTACGATGAGATACCGTTGTCGTGGGCGTCGAGAGGCTCGATGAAGGACTCGTAGAGCTTGTTCCATACCACGCCGACCTCGTCGCTATCCTCAGACTTGCTTAGGTGCTGGGCGATTATAGACTTGCCGAAGTGCATGTACACTAGCCCCGCGCTGGACAGCTTGGTTGGCCGGCCGGGGAAAGTTGTGGTGAAGGTACGCTGGTGGTGGTCGTAACGGTTGCGCGAGGCGTCATATTCACCGCCTACATCGACAACGGTATGGCATGTCTCTAGTAGAGCTGGGTCGCGCGTGCGAACGAGGGAGGAGTCGGCGTAGGTAGGAAGCAGCCGTAGCATGTAAACGGCGAGAGCCTCATCAGCATGAAAATGGCCGTTGTGGGTGCCGATTTTAACACCGCTACCACCATTCGAGGTCTTCAATCTTTTTGCTGCGTTTTCAGCCATTCTGAATACTTGTCGGAACATACAACCGTATTATATTTGGCTGATGAATTATTTCAATTGACTTTTCTCGTTGTTTGCAAAGGTCAGCTTGTGAATATTTCTGATGATAACTATTGGCTGTAAAGACGGATACATAGTAGCGATGGTGGGCTGGTGGGGTCTAGAATTTGACCTTTTTAGGTTTGGTACAATACAATACGGTGCGGCAGTGCGGGTGGCATGGTACCTATCGATAGCTTAAGGTGTGGAATGTTTAATTGATTAGGGGTGGTTTTAGCAAAATGCTCCATTTGGAGAACTGATGCTTTTATTAGCCCCCAAAAGAAGGAGGAGATGGTATGAACGCGTGTTGTTGGAAGGAAAGATGCGCGGTATCAATGTGCCAGGCTAGGAGGGAAGTGCGATCGCTCTTACCATAAACGCATAACCTCTTTCTTAGGTATGAGCATTTGAATGCATCCGCAATCCGCACTTTTTGAATCACTAAACTTTCAATCCGCCAAACGCCAAACATTAACCCCCAACTCTCATTGTCTTCTTGATTTTTTAGTCACGCTCGGAGGCATGGGCCATGTTTGACAATTCCGCCTTGTCGTAATCATTTAGGATAGCCTCTCTCCCAACTGAAATTTTATCTCTCATTCTACTTCTCTTTGCAATCAAATTAACCCAACCTTTCCAAATTCTTACCGTCTTTAATTTAATTCCATTTCTTCCCTACAACCATCACATTATTATTTATCGCGTCTCTATCGCGTACAACTGCTGCTCCCTAGACAGACAATGGAACGCTCAGTTAAGGCTGAGTACGACAAAGATGTCGACCATGGCGACCTTCACATGACCGATACCAGGCCGTCATATAAATCGTGGAAGAAGAAGTATCGAAAGATGCGCATCAAGTTCGACCACCAGATGCAGGAGATAGAAACTCTGCATAAACTAGAACAAAAGGCCATGCGAACTGCTAAGCGTTTAGCTATCGAGAACGAGTAAGAACTATCTCTTTATTCGCGCTTTATCTTGAAAAAAATGGACATGCGACCACTAACTACGCCTTCAGTCGGCTACTAGACTTGCTATTTGATATCAACGAGTCGCCTCAGATCCCTTTCGAGCGACGCATAGATCTTAGCTTAGAAGAAGACGATGATGATAATGACTCAGACGCAACCCAAAAGCCTACCAGATCTCTAACGCGACTGGAGCAGGAAGTTCCACATAGATCGTTCGCCGCCACTGTTGAACAATATCCGGAAATCTTGGATGACTTGGAACCTCGAGATCCCCAGATACACCCTACTTCTTTTCTAACAGCCGACGACATTGACGAGTATCTCCACGAACTTGATACGCGATTGGGCCTAAAACCAAAGCCCACTCTTGCGCCCAGTGCCATTGGCAAAGAGATCCCAAATCCAGCCGCCAACTTCGCGCTGCGCAATCCGACGAGCGTCTACAACTGGTTGCGAAGACACGCACCTAAGACGTTCCTTCAGGACCTCGAGAAGGAGAAGGAGAAGGACAAAGGCAAAGATAAAGATGACGGTCATGATAAGGATGATGACGGTCGGAAGCGTAAGGGCGGCGGGACCGCACGAAATAAGAGGCAATCAGCTGTCAGTCGCAAAGAAAAAGAGAAGGAAGCTGCCGCCGAGCCTATGGACTGGGATGATGATGCGGGTTACGATGCGCCGGCGAAGGGGAAGAGAAAAAGAGACGACGACGGCGGGTACCGACCTAAAGGGGGGTCGAGCAGACCTACGAAGAAGCGTAAGAGTAAAGATTTTGGTTCCCTTCCAACTAAGGGTTCGCGAAAGTCAACCGCTTAAACTCTTATATCAACTATGTACTCCATATTACCATGGTCCTACGAGGGGGCTTCTCCGGTGTACTTTCATAAGTAGTCAACGGCTACGGGCGCAGGATTTAAGGGCATTAAAAGGCATGATGATTCAGGACAGTTTGGTATGGAATTGGTACTAGAAGGGTATATAATGTGGTAGTGGTTTCCTGAGTCTAGCCTCACAATCCCGTGTCTGGGCCTATTAATAAGTTGAAGTGTGTCTTTACAATTGACTTCTCATTTCGTGTATAGTGACTGAATTATAGTGACTGAATCAAGCTTCAAATGACATAAGGGCGTCTACGTAGGAGTTTTGGTTGTGTCGACTTGATTGGTTCCCGCTCATTTGGTTTAGTGGGATTTTCTCAATCGGTGCAAAATCAGGGCTTTGTTTTGTTTGGGCTCTGGGGCTTTCCCTCTTGGCTGCTTGGGAGCCAATAAATTCATGCAATTAAGTCGAACGGGTCAGCAGATGCATCGTAAGTTCATAATTTTTATAAGTTGTTTACCTAAGTGGTCGATATAAAAAATACAAATACAATAACGGAATTCATACTGAGACTACTTATAGTAAAAGGCGTAGTTATACCTACCTACATATACTAAGCCTTTGGGTCTCATTACAGCATACTACACACTTGATACCGCAAACAAAACACAGCAATAGACACCGAGATCCAGAGAAATCTCGGAATATAAAAGGTGCCCTCCTTTTCCCACATAGTTACCCACATTATAAGCAGCCAGCCCAGTCACGCACGCAGCAGCCCAGCCCAGCCCACCAAGATGCCGGAACGCAAGACATACGTAGTGGAGCACCTGGACGCGGAGCTGGGGCCGTGGTCGGAGCTGGAGTACGCGGCGATCGCGGAGGAGACGCAGCGGGCGCAGAGCACTTTTATGCTGTCGTCGCTGCCGCGCGGGTTCAAGGTCCCGTATAAGTTGACCGGGTTCCCGTCGTTCATCGCCGAGGGCCGGAGTATCGAGGATATTTACACGGACGAGGAGGAGAGGGAGAGGGTGTGTCTGCTCGATCCGCAGGCGGATAAGGATTTGAGTCCTGATGATAAGAGGGATTTCGATGTGTTTTTGTTTGGGGGCATTCTAGGTGATGATCCGCCGAGAGGTATGTGAACGAACGGGCTTTCTTTACTGTGGGTGGGTAGGTTGGCTTATTATGGGAGGAGGACGAGTGAAGGGGGGGGATGGGGGGATAGCGGAATGGCGATGAAAGTTGATTTACTAAGATGATGAGCAGATCGCACGTCCGAACTACGCAAGAAGGGATACCAGGGCCGCCGGCTAGGTCCCGTGCAGATGACGACGGATACGGCGGTGAGGGTGACGCGGATGGTGATCGAGGAGCAGTGTAAGTTGATTCACACATTTTTTTAACCTTGCGAATAAGTAGGAGTGTAGTGAACCCATAGAGCTAACGAGAATCACAAGTCACATTGAACAAGATACCCTACCTGGACTACCCCGAGCTCAAGTTCAACGAGCATGAGAGCACGGAGATGCCGTTCCGATACGTGAAAGGCAAAGACGGAAAGCCGATTATGCCTCAGGTGGGTAAATATTCCCGCAACTATTTCATTTTCCTTCTTTTTTTTCTTTTTCTTTCTTTTTTCCCCTCCCGCAGCCTTCACCGCTGCTTTAGTCTTTGGCTTCTATATACATAGCTGGAATATAGCTTATCTGATAACAACTTGGTAGGGGATGATAGATCTTATCAAGAAAGATGCCGACAAGAGTATCGACGATCTATTCTAGAATCCATTCCAGAATGAATTCTAGACTATAAACCGCAACAAGTACTGGGGATGGAATTGGGCAACGAGTACTTAGAATAGCTTAGGTTACCCAACCTGATCAACAAATTAACCTACTTGACTAGACGCCATGGCTGTTTGACGGGATTTGAGGACCATCGAGTAGTCTGTGGCTACTGTATGATGAGTTGAAAAATGCGATCGCGCATGTATTTACCCCGAAGAATGAATTCCCCGCGGGAAGCAGACAAGGATACTTAAGGATAGGCAAATTAAAGCACAAAGATTGATTCTCATTTCGGTGGCTCTTGACCAAACCACCAGGTACTACGGTAACGGTGAACATAGTTTAGCACGATACTAACTCTGATCGAGGTTCTTGGAAGAATCCTTAGATTTCATCCATGTCCATGTCCACGTCCACGTCCTCATTCTCATCTCCCTCTCCTCCCGATCCATAATACTCCATCCTATCCACCTCGTCATCATCCCCATTCCCATCCATCACCTCGTTGTCGTCGCCCTGCTCCCCTTCTTCCAATTCATCCCAATGGTGCGGGGTAGGCGTAGAAACCATAGTATCGGCAACACTAGGCGAAGGTGAAGTTGCGGCTGACCCCTCGCGAATCGATAACGTTCTAAGAATGCCAGCATCTTTCACCCTCATTCTCCTCGGGCCCCTAGTATGAGGAAGATTGAATTTGCCCCGGTGGCCTTGCTTGAGTTTCCTGCTTCGGTTGTGTTGGGCTCTCACTTCCATGCTCTTAGCAATTACAGTGACTTCATCCGTCTCGCCCAACTTTTTCTTGAGCGCGATGAACTTCTCGAGAAAGTTACCCTGGGCGACCCTTTCCGCCCCAGCCCACTTTTCGGCAGGAGGGACAGCAGGTTGGGAGATTTGCCGCTCCTTAGACGCAATCGCATCACGCTGCCGTTTAAGAGTGGCGTCCTTGGGCTTGAGCTGCTTCTCCTTGACGTTGATTCTCGCGCAGCTAGCGGCTAAGAGATCCACATCATGATCCAGCTGCCGGAGAGCCGGAAGAGGATTATCGTTGTCACGCTTTACCAAGAGGAGTTCGGTGCCGACGTTCTGGTTCCATTGGCCTGAATAGACGCGCCCTTTATACGAAATAATCGGGTTGGTAGTTTCGAGGTCCAAGATTTGAACCTCATGGTCATCTCCATCATCAGCACCTTGAGAATCTTTCGGGTTTGAATTTCGCGATAGATCTCTCTCGTCGTCGCTATTATCGATACCGTTGCTAGGGCTCATCCGCCTGTTCAAGTACAATTTCGCCCTTTCAGCTTTCTCGCCACCTCGATAGCCCGGCCTGTTAATAACACTGGCATCACGGCTAGTAAAGTCTGCTTGAGAGAGATCCAGAGTGACATAGAAGCTCTGATATAAGTTAGTCTTGAATCTAAATGCATGTAGTAAAATACTTTACCTCAGTCTCAGTTTTGGAATATTCATATTCCCATTCAGATTCATCCTCTTCAGCGGGTAGTTGACTGTGCCAGGTCGCGGGAGCTCCGTGGGGAACGCGAGGACCAGGCTCACTTATACCGTTCCTAGCCATCGGATATCTGTAAGATGGAATTAAGATGGCTTGACGATATGCAGAAACGCATTTGAGACGTTAGGTTACCATGTAATGCAGAATTAAAACTTGAAATTATAATTATAATTTAAAGACCTAAGTCACGTCTTGATATCTCGGATCCTTTAAGTGAAATGTCATGAAGTTTAGAAATGAGGTGCTTGCCATTTCTAGCGGTAGCTTAGGCGGTCAACACTGGCATTACACGCTAACTTTCCTAGCTTAGGTGGTAGGTAGGTACCTAGGTAATTCTTAGAGGGGTCGTTCAAGCGCAATCGCTCCCGTCCTAGCTGCCCCTCCTGCCCCTCATCCGCGCTGAAAATTCCCAATTCCCATAGTAGCTGCCTTTGACTCACCCGTCAAACTCCTTCTACATAGCTCTCGCGTTAGGTAGATTTAGGTAAACTTCGAGGTCGGCTAGGCTATCACTAATTTCGGGCTACTTCGCTATAAAATAATTACGTACGTACCTAAATCTAATCTCCCTTACCTAACCTCCCTATAGTTTAGAAGTTGCAAACTTTTTGTACGCTCAAGTCTCTACACTTACACTTACACGCCACTGCCGATCTCGCCCGCTATGCCTACAGTACACTTGCTCGACTATGTCGCGGGCAACGTACGGTCTCTCGTTAACGCCATCGAAAAGTGCGGATACAGCGTTGAATGGGTCCGTAGCCCGGATGAGGTCGCGCGCGCAGAGAAGTTGATTCTGCCCGGAGTTGGCCACTTCGGCCACTGCACAAGCCAGTTAGCATCTGCCGGATACTTACCTGCCGTTCGCGCACACATCGAAGCCGGCAAGCCGTTTATAGGAATCTGCGTCGGGCTTCAAGCGTTATTCGAAGGCTCAGTTGAGGACCCTGCCCACCCGGGTCTGGGTATAATAAAAGGCTCTCTGGACCGCTTTGATGACAGCCAAAAATCCGTTCCGCATATCGGCTGGAATAGCGCCAATGCTGGCGGCAAGAGTTTATACGATCTGAGCCCGCAAAGCAAGTACTACTACGTCCACTCATATAAGTACCCGTACGTGAAAGGCGACCTAGAGGGCCAAGGCTGGACCGTTGCGACGGGGGAGTACGGCGGAGAGGTGTTCGTGGGTGCCGTAGCAAAGAAGAACGTGCTGGCGACGCAGTTCCACCCGGAGAAGAGCGGCGTTGCAGGACTCAGACTGCTAAAAGCATTCCTGACAGGCGAAGGCGCAAAGACACTAGGCCAAGACGTAACCGGACCAGCACCAACGGGCGGCCTAACAAAGCGAGTCATCGCATGCCTTGACGTACGAACAAACGACCAAGGAGACCTCGTCGTAACGAAGGGCGACCAATACGATGTGCGCGAAAAGACCGACAGCCGCGACGTGCGCAACCTTGGCAAGCCAGTCGAGATGGCCAAGAAGTACTACGAGCAGGGCGCGGACGAAGTTACCTTCCTCAACATCACCAGCTTCCGGGACTGTCCGTTAGCCGACCTGCCTATGCTCGAGATTTTACGGCGCACATCGGAGACGGTCTTCGTCCCGCTGACTGTTGGCGGCGGCATCCGCGACACGGTCGATACGGACGGGACCAAGGTCAGCGCGCTCGAGATCGCGACTATGTACTTCAAGAGCGGCGCGGACAAGGTCTCTATTGGTTCCGATGCCGTGCTCGCTGCCGAGGAGTACCTCGCCGTTGGGCGCAAGCTCTTCGGCAACACGGCTATCGAGCAGATCTCCAAGGCGTACGGAAACCAAGCCGTTGTAGTCAGCGTCGACCCCAAGCGCGTCTACGTGCCCAAGGTCGACGCCACGCGCCACGCCACCATCCGCACTAACTTCCCGGGCCCCCGCGGCGAGGAGTACTGCTGGTACGCCTGCACGATCAAAGGCGGTCGCGAGACCCGTGATTTGGATGTCGTGGAGCTGGTTCGTGCCGTGGAGGCCATGGGTGCCGGCGAGATCCTGCTCAACTGCATCGATCGCGACGGTACCAACTCGGGCTTCGACCTCGAGTTAATTAACCAAGTCAAAGCCTCGATACGCATTCCCGTCATCGCGTCCAGCGGTGCTGGTAACCCATCTCACTTCCAAGAAGTCTTCGAGAAGACGCGGACGGACGCTGCGCTAGGAGCAGGCATGTTCCACAGGGGAGAGTACACCGTCAAGCAAGTCAAAGATTATCTAGCAGAAAAGGGGTTGGAAGTGAGACAGTTTGAAGGGGACTTATGATAGCTGGGCTCGAGAGAGGTAACGGGTCTGGCGCATTTATCGCATTACGGCATTTAGTAGATAGGCGTTACGGGTTTAGAATATGGAAGTGGAAAGTTAGAAGCTCGTTGTCTATTGATAGTAATTTGTTACTATACCATTGCCTTCGCATTGCTGATCCATTCTCAATCTCGGTCCTCCAAGCCGACGTGACGCCTTTGGTATGAGTGCAGCAGATGCAATAGAAACGACCCATACGCCAAAGCTAATGGGGGTGTAAATACGGCTTCCGAGAACTCCAAAAAAAAGAAAAAAAGAAAAAAAAAGAAAGCAACCTTAACCTTAAGGGTAGATATTTAGACGCCGAAGAACCCATAACCGCTTCGTAAAATCGAACTAAGTTGAACGAACGTTAAGAGTCCGGAATATCACATCTAGACTTCCATGCCCATGAATAGCCATTTGTCGCTAATGATATCGACGTCTTTGGCCCAATGGTCCAATGTGGTCATTTCGAAGCCAACCCACTGAAGACTCTTCATCAATGCCTTCGCATATTCATGCGGCATCGAGCGGTCCACGCAGATCACGACATGCGAGCATTCAATTGGACCATCGGCTAACTCGATCAAAGCAATGAGTCTGCGATGGTGTCAGCATAGCCCTAAATGATACGATATGATGGAAATAACATACGCTTGCTTGAGATCGCGGCCTACGAGCCCGCTATCGAAGAATGCAAACAAGGACTTCTCGTCGCCATCTTCTGTGATAAAGGCTCGGAAGCTAGCACCTCCAGCATAATCCCAAAATTCCATCCATCCGTTCACATAGACTCCGGTCTTGGTATCGATGTTGCAGAAGGACGACTGACTCATAGGATAGTCGTCAGGTGGTGTAAGCGCGTAATTATTAACACCAGCCAGGCAGGAGCCATTACCGGCCATATTCCACTCACCCTGGAACACAGCTTTCATGGTCTCACAGAAGAACCTCTCACATTCTTCCCTGATCTGAAGTGTTGCCCCCCCTCGGCGGCTCCGGCTAATCGGTGCGTTGCGGCTGCGCTTCTTATTCTTGGGCTGAAGAGCGAGCTCGTTAGACGTCGTGATGGCCGCGAGGGGGGGACTTGACGGAGGAGATGGTAGACCTGAGATAGGGACCTCAGGAATACCACTCGGCCCCTATTGGATTGGAGAATATTATTTAGCACATAAAGTCCGGATTGATGTAGGTAATTTTGGAGTTTAGTTAGGGGACAAAGACATACCTGCAGCCCCGGTAGTGCAGTAGTGAAGTCCCTTTAGGGACGCAGCGGGGTCGACGACGTAGCAACTGGCGAGGACATTGACCTCACGGGCCACGGCCTCGCCATTACTACTACTACAGTTATTTTTATTGTTTTTCATTGGCGCCATTGCTGATGGTAGAATCCAGGTTTATCGTAGGGGTTGAGTTGACTGGTCGAAATGATGAATCGGGGCTTTGGGAGACTTCGACAAGCGTAAGCCTAATTGATAGATGTGCGCTGTGGAAAGAATTTGCTGTCCGTGACAATCAGGTTTAGGTTGTGGTTTGGTTGTTAAGTCAATTCCGAGTCGTCTTGGATTTGACGGTCAAGGTGTTGTTGAATTGAAGTTTGTAAGGTTTGACTTTTGAAAATTGTAGGGCGGACGGACGAGGCGGCAATTTCTAAAGTCAAATATCTTCGGAAGAAGACAACAGCGGTCAATGCGGGCATTTGCATTTGGCAAAAGAGTGGACTGGCGGATTCTAGATTCTGGAAACGGCTAGAGCTTTTGCAGCTAGACCAATGATATCGTTGCGCTGTAGCCGTGCCACCCCGCATGTCTATCACGTGCTAATCTGCGATCAGTTGAACCAATAGGCTGGGAGCGTGGTGATTGGTAGCCGATTCTTGTGCAGCTTGGCAACTCCATTCCGCCAACTTCTCAGACAGCCGTGGGGCCGATCAGCCCACTATAGAGCAGCGATGTTTTTATCTTCGACATACCTAAAATCAAAACGTGCGATTGGTATGAACATATGTTTGATCTGATATCTAGGAGCATTGCGAACCAATCGCTTTTACTTATATTAAGCAAGGGAGCTAGGTAATTCGTCTGTTCGTGTAGTAAATCTCTGACCTAGGCGATAACCACCAAATATCATCTTGATACGCCGATAACCTATTGAATTATCTTAATTCTTAATATTGAATAGAACTAACACAACCGACCTTTTTTTAGCTAGTCTGCGCCCCTTTTCTCTTCTACTTTTACTACAGCTTTTTACCGTCTTACTATATACGAAGATAACTACTCCGCGCTTGGCGTTCGGTTGACTCGCATGGCGGCGACGTTTCACCGCGCACTCGGCTTTGGGCTTACATCGTCAGTGGCTATAAGGTAGTACATGTGGTGGCATAAGACGGATGCTAGACTTGGCGATGGCGAGGCAGTTATGTGTTCGCGAATCAGCACATGGAGAAGTAGGTCGATCTTTGTTTTTGCCAGAGCCTACCTTAGATACATATGCAGCACTTAATAATTGACTATGATCAAATACAGTCAGAATCGCCTGGCGTGTATTATGCTCTAAAGATCTGACTACTATGTAGCGAATCAGACCTTGGCGGACGCGGCATTCAAGATAGTGTATGTACTAAACTATGATTTTAAATCCTCTAAAATAGACTCAAAATAAGATGGAATACCTACAAGAACAGCCGTAGATGCAAGTCCACCTCCAAGATTGTATCATAGAAACTACCTGACTACCTACCTACATTACATTAAGTAATATTATAGTGTGACGCCATCTAGTGCACATATTTAACTTAGCAAGCTGCCCAAGCCTATTCCTATTATAGCCATAGCGGGAGCCATGTAAGGGTCACCTCTCAAATAATAGCCCGCTCTATCCGCTCTCTTAGCCTTGTCGGGTGGGCGATAATGGGCGATAAAGCTGATAAAGCTTAGGGGGGGCATCTCCGATAAGGGAGCGTGTGAGTGCACCTTTCACTCAGAATGATGCGATGATGTGATGCGCACGGGATCAACTCTAAATACCTACATCCTAGTAGTGCTGGGCAAGTGGTAAAGTACGACATGGCATGTACAGCATTCATGGATGAAGCCTGACATGGATATCACCCGCATATCCCGAGAGTGCAAGGTGCTCTTTTAAGATGTGGCATGTCTGCCCAACCATCCAGAGCATGAAACCATTCTTTGTTGTTCATTGCTCATTGCTCGTTGCACGTTGCTCTTCTGCTTCATGCATGCGGGGCTAAAGCTGTTGCTACACTCCAACGTCAATCATAACCTCGACTTTTCTATCTTCGAGGACCAAGCTGGTCTCCTTTGACACTTCAACTTAAACTAGATTATTCAAGTCAGGCACTTGAAATTTCACCCATATTCCATATTCCCAACGGAGCATGGTTCATGCCCGCTATATCTTTCGATATATCACAGGTTACAGTTACTTTATAACTCTGGCAACATGTATTCCATAATGTTTAACGAGGCGCTTCCGTCCCCGCCTCCTCTGCCTGCGCCGGTTAGAGAGGAGGTCGAAGGACTCAAGTTTCCCGTTTACCTACTCCCCAGTCTCTCTATGCCCTTTCGCCGAAGACGACAGAGCTCGCAGTCGAGTCACGGAAGTCCACCAGCCGATACTCCACCGTCTTTAAGTTCGTCTCCTACGGACTCGACACCATCAAGCCCTACGAGGCGGCTATCGATACCCTCATTTACTTTACCTACCAACTTATTTACCAACTCTAGATCTAAAGGGAATCAATCAGCCCTAGCGCCCTTGGAGAGATCTATTGCACGAACACAACCCAACACTATTAGGTGCTCTACATGTGCTTCCGATTTTGCTTTCGCCTCGCAAATTGTGAGTAAGGGGTTCACAGGCCGTTACGGCCGAGCATTCCTAGTTTCAGCGCAAGATCAGCCGCTACGTAGAGGCATAAAGGCCGGCGACCTTATTAACATCAAGATTGGCAAGTCGGAAACTCGCCTCTTGGTTACCGGATCGCATGTCGTCGCAGACATCTTTTGTACGGTCTGCCACGCTAAGGTGGGCTGGAAATACATAGACGCAAAGGAAGAGTCGCAGAAATACAAGATCGGGAAGTACATACTCGAGACCCAAAGAGTTGTTGTATACCGGAACTGGGAAGATACCAGGGTTGGCGATGTTCACGAGTTTGAAACCGAGCAGGAAAACGTGCCAACAGAGGGTGATGCAGAGCCCGTCATCTTTGACTCAGACGACGAGGATGAATGCGAAGATATATTCATGGGGACATGGGATGCTAATGTGGTTGCTAAGAGGCGAAGTCGGAAGGTCAATCGGCGTCCGAAGAATAACGACGATTGAATTACCTAACAGCCGCAAGGATCACACGGAGTTTCGTGACGGTAATACCCCAAAACGGATGTTTTTCAGGCGGGCATAGTGCTTCAACACTCTCTCTTAAGAGGAGTTGACGGACCCTTGGTAAATATGGAATGGGACGGATCTGGGCGTTTTTGGCTTTATCACATTGCATGCGGCATTTACATTAATATTGATACCCTCACTATAACAGGTTTAGGATGCGGTTCTTTTCGACCACGAGCTTCTGATTATGATGTATTAGTACTGAATAACTCAAATTGATGTATCGATCGAGTTTTTATTGAGCAGTCAGTCATTACATTGTTGTAAACAAGAGCTAGTTATTGGATAACTAGCCGTTATTGTTGATTTGGCGCAGGTGTTGGTGTTGGTGTCGGCGCAGACGTGGTAGGTTTTTGACCGGCTGACAGCTCCAGCGTGACCTAAAACCCGGGTTAATGTCTTACCCTGCATGGAGTTGGAAGTACTGAGGAATTCAAGACATACAGGACCATCGTTCACTAAAGCAACTTCCATCATGGCCTGAAACACTCCATTCTTGACCTTATCGGCTGCGTAGCCTTGTTGGACTTTTTCAAAAAAGTAATCGTAGAGCCTCTTAGCCTCCTCCCCTCCCATCGCTCCGTGAAAGTCGGGCTTATTACCCTTCTTAGTAGAGGCAAGCAGGGTGAATTGGGATACTGAGAAGTCCTTGTTAGGCGGTAATAATTCCTTTTCTTACTAGAAATACTTATAACTCACCACATAGGACCTCACCACCGATATCCGTCACGCTCTTTTTCCACTAATAAGTGTCAGTTAGACATGACAAAAGAGTACACGCGTATGAGACATAGGAGAAATAAAGAATGGGGCATAAATATGTCATCATACTCTTCCCCCCGCATTGTCGTCCCACAGCTTCAGCTTCAATACTTTAGCTGCTAGGGAATCTGCTTCTTTCTCTGTATCACCGGGGGCCACCGCGGCAAAGACTAAAACTCCTTTTCCGATAGACGATACGACCTCCTTTTCTACCGTCACGGAAGCAGACAGGACGCGCTGTAGGATAGCTGCAAGTAATATGAACAATTAATAATGAGTAAAGGTGGGTGTTTGGATTTAAAGTAGGTAGTTACCAACCTTTCATCTTAAACGATATGAATGTTGCCCAAAATAAATGACTTCAAATATACCTAATACTAATGATTAATGATTTATATTGGGGATTGAGAAGTGTAGGTATTTGCAAGGCACCTTAGAGGCAGCTAATAGTATCTTCAATCTTCAATCATACTGGCCCCGAAGGATAAGTTGGATAACACGGATAACCTCTAAGGATCACGCTGTCGTCTGGCTGCCAGTTGGCACATGAAGTTGTAATAGGTACGTTGTCGGACTTCATGATCCACTAGTTAAGAGAAAAAGAGAGCGGCCCGCTTTGAGCTTTGGAACGACAAGTACCAAAGTCAAAATTAAGTGAAAAGATCAAGAAAGCGTGAACAATAAAAGCATAAGTGCACAATAGAAATTATAGAACATTAAATAAACATAACTAATAAGTATCTTACAGCAGTTTTGGTTAAGTAAGGACATAACAGTTATTACACCCCTTAAACGTGAGGTGGGCAATACAATACATAGGTAGGTACCTAACTTTGGTTTTTACCTGTAACTTTGCCCTAGCAACGTTGGGGTATTGTACCTAAATTACAATATGGTACCTAACAGCAAAAGACGTAGGTATCTACACGTAATATATGTAGCAACGTAAGCTGGGCAGGTGTCATTATAGGTAGGTGCATCATGCGTAAGGCAGGCTACGGGCTGTGTGCGGTAGGCTGTAGTAGGCTGTAATGTAGGCTGTAGCTGCACCTAGGGCTGTGCTGCAATCGCAATCTTTCATCGTCGCATCCTAAACCCGCGTGAAAAGATTCAGCCTTTTCTAATAACTAAGATAACAGATAAACCCTAGTTGTTACAGTAACTAATCAGCAAACAACAATGTTTTAGACATTCAATAGTGAAACATAAAACATCTCATTACATTACATATTCCTCTTTTTCTTCCTCTCCCTCTCCCTCTTCTACCTTCCCACTGGAAATAGCGAACGAATGATATTTATTAGTTGCGAGATTGCAATATTCTGATATCCGTAGCAAGCGCCACACTACATACGCTGATACGCTAAACCAGTGCGATACCGTTAAATGATCTACGGGATCAAACCTAGAGATTACCTCGACTGGTCACTTAGACTTTTCACAGTCACAATTGTCTACCAACTACATCGCCGCGCCTTACGAATTCTGCCCTGTATACCGTCCTCGCGCCCGAAACCTACGTATTCGCCCTACATATTCGCTCGGGTTTATTCCTGACCACGCATCGACACAATGGCAGCAAGGAAATTACAACAAGAGATAGATAAATGCTTCAAGAAGGTTGCAGAAGGAGTGGCCGAATTCGATGCCATTTACGAGAAGATAGAGCAGTCGAGTAACACGGCACAGAAGGAGAAGCTGGAAGATAACCTCAAACGAGAAATAAAGAAGCTACAGAGATTACGAGACCAAATCAAGACATGGGCTGCCAGCAATGACATCAAGGACAAGGCTCCGTTACTGGAGCATCGGAAATTGATAGAGACGGTACGTCCTGGGGCAGGCGAATTTCGCAAGCTCTGAAGCTCTGCTGCAGTATTGCTAACGCTCTTTCTCCGTGCTGTAGCAAATGGAACGGTTCAAGGCTGTAGAAAAAGCTATGAAAACTAAGGCATACTCGAAAGAAGGCCTCTCGGCAGCTGCCAAGTTAGATCCGAAAGAGCAAGCCAAGGTAGAAGCGGGCGAGTTCCTAAGTAGTATGGTCGACGAGTTGGAACAGCAGATCGAGGCGCTCGAAGCTGAGGGAGAGGCGATACAAGCGACAATGAAGAAGGGCAAGAGCCACGCTGCCAAGGCAGATCGCATGGCAGCTATCGAGCACATAATCGAAAGGCATAAATGGCACCAAGGGAAGCTCGAGTTGATTCGTAGATCACTCGATAACGGGGGCGTCGATACGGAACAAGTGAATGACTTGGAAGAGAGTATTCGATATTACGTCACAGATGGTACAACAGATGATTATATCGAAGATGAAGGACTTTATGACGAGTTGAACCTTCAAGAAGAGGAGGACGTTTATGGTATGGTCCAGGACAATGACCGGGTCTCGTCGCAGGATACGCAATCTATACAGGAAGACGTTGCGGATGTAGAATCGCGATCTGGTAGTCTACCCGGAAAGTCACGAAGTGCTGTTGAGGCTGCAGCCGCCGTCGGCCGGCGCCCCTCCGCACAGATGAAATCTCCCCTCCCGACTCTAGCGACGTTACATAACCCCTTAGCAAATGTCACTAATGGTAGCACCGCCAATGTTGGTATGAAGCCTGCATCCTTACCAACGCGGCCAGCTGGAGAGGGTCTCAAATATGCCTCAGCCGCCGCCGCCGCTGCTGCAAGTGATAAGAACAACGTTGGTATCGCGCCACTTCCTCCACCACCTGGATCGCAACCGGTATCAGCTACACCGGGTATATCGCCTTTACCTCCTGCCGCGCCGTCGAGGACTAGCGCTGCAAATTCACCAAATGTAGCTTTCTTACAACCAGCTTCATCGGAACAAAAACCAGGGAGCTTGTCTATTCCGGCAAGTGTGCCTGAACCTAAGGTCTCCGAGCCAACAACTATCCCGGCCGCCGCTCCGAAGAAGCCAGAGAAGGCATCTTCGAAGGCCGCAGGCAAAGCACCCGTCACGACGGATCATGCTGAGTCGTCGAGAGGTATATTGTATCGCATGTATAATATTTACATCCTACTAACCCGGTCATATAGCGACTCAATCCAATGGCGTTGCTAATGGTATTAAGCCTATCGAGGAGAAGGAAGAAGAGTCTATATACCACCTCCCTGCTTCCTTACAAGATTTAGTAGAATCTTTCGAAGTGACGAAGAAGCGTTCACTGCCAGTGAATAGCCCGTCGCATCTGCGCATGATGGCGGCCTCTCAGGCGAACCTGAATGCGATCGATGCATTCGACTCGGAGCCAACGCGGATATATAGACCTGATACCCGATATCCTTCAGCATCGGGGTACCCGCAGGAACCGCTTCCGATATTCGAAGATCCCCGATTATACTCGCGGATAGAACCCGATACGCTCTTCTACGTATTCTATTACAAACAAGGCACTTATCAACAGTATCTGGCGGCGAAGGCGCTTAAGGATCAAAGTTGGAGGTTTCATAAGCAGTATCAAACTTGGTTTCAACGACATGAGGAGCCTAAGAGCATAACCGAGGAGTTCGAGCAAGGTACCTATCGGTTCTTTGACTATGAGTCTACGTGGTACGTTTTTTACGATTAGGTTTTTGTTGTCTTATTTTCAACATGAAAATATGGCCTTTGGTCTTACGAATCTATTATTAACTTGGACCAGGATGAACCGTAGAAAGGCTGATTTTAAGTTCGCCTACCGTTTCCTCGAAGATGACGTATGAATTAGGTATCTTAGTTCCCGCTGCCTATCCTACGCGTAGTGAATTAGGAGGTAGTCAACCGGGAGAGCCTTTACCTTGCAAGGCTTATTATATGGAATATACCCCCGGTGTTAGTTGAGACAGACCCGTGGCAAACAGTCTGCCTTTGTCGTAATATTTGTAAGGCAATACATATAAGAACAGCCTGGTTCTTTTCCAATGGTTTCACTTAGAATTATGCAATGCTGTGCGATGCTCCCGAGTGCGGAATGACCTATGTACCTAAGCTTTACTAATAATTTCCCAATGCATGATGCGTCTGGCACAGATTAACAAAGTAGGTCCCTTGGCCGTATATTCACTTTGCTAACTTTCACGATCGACGACCGGTAAGTGTTGTTTCCTCTCACCGCTCAAAACTTTGAGCTCAACCGTCTGCCAGTTATACGCCGAGTCGAGGAAGACCGGTGAAGCAAAATCAGTCCCTAGGTTACGCGCCGTCTTCGGCTGCGGTCTGCTCACGAATAAAATATGTGAGCGGCGTCCGAGTCGGCGTCCAACAGACAAGCTGACGCTTTACTGGGATAGTCATATGACTTTTATTAGGTCTCGTGGCATCCGTGATTGGGGTTAGCGACATGAAATTTGAGGCTGCAAAGCCCGGCCTATCGGATTGTCTTCCCATCGCGTAGTTACATAGGGTCAACTCGCCAGGCACCTACCAAGCAGTTGGGTTTAGAGTTACGCTGCTAGCATTAGGTATACGTCCCTATCCCTGTTTCTAGAAGGGCCTGCGATTCGTGCTTCTCTTATTCTTCTCTTATAAGTCCATGAACGAAGTTCGTTTTTCTTTCACCGCAAAGCAAAATGCGGTATCGCTCTAATGCCAATTCTAATATATAGCCCAATTCCATAAGTCAGAAGCTGTGCCCGCGGCGTGTTCCGCTCCCATTTGTCCAAGGCCTAAGCCCCCCCATGGATCTCCGATGCAAGCTGGCAAGCTGCAATGAGGTTACCCCTGGGCCGTGCTTTATATGAGCTGTCTTGTACATACAATCCACGGCGCCCGCGAAACACTTTCAATGGAGCACCGAATCTTGGGTGAGATATCTGCCGGGACCCTCGTTACTCCAGATCCGTGACCTCGAATACGCTTCGCAGTAACATCACAATGATGGAGCTAGCTGCCAATCCTTCCTTTCTCCGCCTCGTGCATGCGTCTAGTGACCTTGCCCCCAGCGCTGAGGCTTTCCCCTCATTCGCCTACCAGAGGGTTTATACTGGGTTGCTACAGCGGCCTTCGCGATGACATGCCCAAACCACCTTGCTCGTTTCTTTTCGCGGTGAGGTGAACCGAATTGTCGTAATTGTCCTCGCAACTCCGATTCCCGGGCTGATTCCCATATTTCCCGTAGCGACGTAGCACCAGTTATTACTGCGTAGCCATGGTGGACATGACCGTTGCTCCTGTTCTTAAACAGGTCGCTACCCGGCCGTATGTCTGTGACGGGCAACAATCCATACTTAGACCCAGTGCTGCTTCCTCTTCTTCCCTCTTCTTAAATACTAAGCCCGACGCTATAGCAGCCATGGCACATCCGCAGACGCAGTTTACGCAGACCGAATTCACCGGGGCGTCGCTGCTCCAGACACGGCGGACAACGGTGGGACGGGCGACGGCAAAAGCGCAGCTGAAGCGGATGAAAGACTCGGGACAGTACGACGCGTTTAGCTTGAAGAAGAAGCCGACGTACGATAAGTCCCGCTGGCCGTGCCCGCCGCCTGTCTATTGGGATAGCGATGTTGCTAAGTGGATCGAGGGCGCGTGTTATTTGCTCAGCGAGGAGTACGACGCCGAGATCGATGCGGCGGTGCGGGAGCTTGCGGATATGATACGTAGCGCGCAGCAACCGGATGGGTATTTGAATACGTGGTTCACGATTGAGGAGCCGGAAGGGAGATGGTCGAATATTAGGGATAAGCATGAGCTGTGAGTTCTCGTCCAACCTTTCCCCCCCTTATTATGGAGTTCGAGATTCAGGGGCAGATAGTTGGCTGACCTTTTTCGTGCAATGAAGGTACTGTGCTGGGCACCTGATAGAAGCGGCGTTGGCGCATAGCAATTACTACAAGAACAACCTCCTGATAGAACCGTTGGAGAAATACGTCAAGTTGATCAGCACGGTTATCGGACCGGGTCCGGATCAGGTCAGTATCTTTTGCCCCTTTTCCTGGTCGGGAGGCGGCGAACTTTCTCATAAGGACTACCGTATAGACTGACTTCTACCTAGAAACATGCCTATCCGGGCCATCCAGAGACGGAGCTCGCGCTCCTTCGTCTCTACACGGCGACAGGGAACGAAGACGCCTATAAGCTGGCCCAGTATTTCGTGGAGGAGCGTGGTAACCCGACAGGCCAGGATGGCCTCCACTACTACGAGTGGGAACGACGGCAGCGTGGCGAAAGCCCGTATCAACGGCCGGACAGTTACTCGATGCACGATAGCGGTTGGTATAACCAATCTCACGTTCCGATTCTAGAACAGAAGACTATCGAGGGCCATGCTGTCAGGGCCATGTATCGTGAGTATTTCTCGGAAGCTACCTCCCCTTTTCAGCCTTTTTCCGACGTATTTCTTTTTACGCCGATCATTACCGGTCGTCAAGGACGTCCGAGTGTCTAGCGACTGTGGGGTCTCGGTGTACTCTATCGTGATTTAGGGGCTCTGTGTCTTCTGCCAGTCAATGGTTGGGGCGATGACACCTCTATCTATATCGAATTGCCACAATGACAAGATTCTCTTTGGATAGTAAGTGCTAATGTTGGTATTGCAGTCCTAACTGGTGTTGCCGATCTACTATGCCTAGACGAACTTGGAGTGAGGCCTTACGCACACAAGAGTGAGTATTTTGAGGCCCTTACCAGGCTATGGAACAATATGGTCGATAAGAAGATGTACCTCACTGGGGGGATCGGGTCGATGTGGCAATGGGAAGGCTTTGGTATCGATTACTTTCTACCGCAGAGTTCCGACGAAGGTGGGTGCTATAACGAGACTTGCGCGTCTATCGCCGTCATAATGTTGGCCGAGCGCCTATTACATCTTGATTTGAACTCGAAATACGCCGACATAATGGAGTTATGTCTCTACAATGCAGTGATGACAGGGCTAAGTCTAGAGGGGACCGCATTCACATACGTAAATCAGCTTGCGAGCTCGGAGTCTGATAAAAGCCGCCGAGAGGATTGGTTTGATACATCATGTTGCCCACCGAATGTTATGCGGCTTTTTGGCTGCCTCGGGGGATATCTATGGGATTACGGAGGCAGCGGAAAGGATGCCTACGTCAACGTACATCTATACACAACGGCCAAGGTTACGTTTCAAGTAGAAGACCAGCAAATCGTACTCGAACAAAAGTCAAATTGGCCGTGGGAGGGGAATACGCTATTCCAGCTGCAGGCCCCGGCGTCTACGGGCGTAACTATCAGGTTAAGGATTCCTTCCTGGGCGCGAGGGAATTTCACGGTAAGCGCCCGGTTTGCCCCTGATTAAGAGGCCCGTGAGGCAATATCGCTAATGTCTGGACAGCTCACGCCGAGCCACAAAGCTGCAGAGGTCGAGAAGGGTTACCTGGTTCTCCCGTCCGCTTACACTTCGGCGAATAGGGCCTTCTCGATCCAGATCGACGGGTTCAAGCCCCGATTCATCTCTCCACACCCCTATACCAATCAGAACACGCTTACCCTCGCTCGTGGGCCGCTGATCTACTGCGTGGAGGATGTTGACAATGCATGGGAGCAGGACCACTTCCGCAACGTCGGGATTAAACCCGACTCTGAAGTCACCGAGAAGGAAGAGGAGACGAACCAAATGGGGGAGCGCTACATTGCCCTCCGATCGGTCGGTTGGATCCGCAAGATAGATGATCGGACCGAGTCGAAGTCCGGCATCGAACCCGGTATATCCCTCCGTCAGACGGTGGTGGCTGAGGAGAAGGAACTCACCTTCATCCCCTACTATCTCCGTGCGAACCGTGGTGGCAGGGGCCACATGAGAGTTGGGCTACTAAGGGGCTGCTAGGGGGCTTCTAGGGGAGGGGGGCTGCTATGTACTAAGACGATGAAGAACCCGAGAGACCCGTGTCGTAGTAACATCGTCCTTCCGCTACTACCCAGTTGAGTGTGGGATTTGCTAGAAAGACGTTGGAATAGGCACGTTCGGCGCTATCGTCATATCTACCCCTTGCATACCCCATCGGGCAAGCTGCAGGTTCGGAAGCCTTATCGTCAGATCGTTACCTAGTATGGGTGCCAGCCATGGTACGCTACATTTAGTTGAAACTGGAAATCCGGATACGACTTGATTATCTCAGCTTTAATCATATTTGTCTATGTAGCTGTGCTAGCAGCCAGCTGATGATGGGATCGTCTTTTGTGGCACATTATATACAAGCTATGTAAGAGGTGGCTTGGGAAGCTGGCTCAGGGGTTGTCATTGTTGAGTTATTTTTATTTGTACTTTTCTACTTTTTTACTTTTTATGAGCTAGGTATTGGGAGAGAGAGAGAGAGAGAGAGAGGAGAGGGGTTAGGAAAATGAATAAAATAAAATAAAATGAAAACATGGGTGTAATACCTTACAAAGATCGTCCGCAGAAAAAGAAATAAATCTGCAGACGGCGACTAATAACAAGTTGGCTTTAACCATCATTCTCCCATCAATGAAAATACTCTTTCCGACTACTCTTTCGCATGTCAACGGAAGTGCTCCGCGAAAGAGTGTATAGGTAAACAGTATAGCCTTAACTTCAGCCAATCATTTCGGTTTTTGTATCGGTCCTCATTCGCAATCTTAACCCGAGCCCCTTCAGTCAGCAGCATGGATATGCCTCTAACTCGCTTCAAGGTGAGCTGGTCAAGCCTTGTTTCCTCGCATGCTTTGACCAATGACGTTCTTGTCTCCTCACTGATTTTAATCAATCGGTAAGATGTTCCGACGAGCCCTCGCTCTAAGCGCACCACCGACCTACTAACTTGGCCCTCCACGATCGTCGAACGTGTTTGTACCGAATTAGAATGCTTCTAGAAACCCATGCTTTTTCTAGCCCGTACGTTACATGATAGACGGGCCCAGTCTCGATATTTGTAAGTCGCATACATAGACGCTTGCTATGGCTTATAATACGTCGGGGAGAGAGCATCATGAGTTCGAAGGCTAGGCTAGAATCTATCATATGTCTATACCGAAATGGAAATGGATAGTGTTACGGACGAAAGTACTTGGCGTAAAAGCCCTTCCCCTGGAAGTGAGGCTCAAGAAAAATACCAATGTCCTCGCTGTCCTAGCAGCTTCAAACGACCCGAGCATCTAAAGAGGCATCAACGCAGCCATGACGGTCACAAACCATTTGTCTGCTCTATCTGTTTGAAGCGATTCTTTAGAAGGTATATTTGCTATACCTTTCGACTTTTAAGATGAACTTGCACTGATGTTTCCAGCGACATTCTAACCCGCCACGAACTCATGCACCTTGCAGCCCAAAGAAACAGCCACGCCTTCAATCGAAAACGGGCCTGTACAGAATGTGCAAGGGCACGAGAAAGGTGCTCGAGGGATGAGCCTTGTCTGAGATGTTCAACTAAGTCTCTTCAGTGCCTGTATCCCGACGATGGATCACAGAAGTCTCATCCCTTCGGCAATGAGTCCCCAACCGCTCCTGGGAGCGAACACAGACTACTCGAAGACTACTCTCGATATGCATCGCAAGGTTCGTCGATGCACTCGAAACAGGAAAACTATTCATCATCATCAAACCTGATCCAAAGGAAATCCGTCAATGAAGACGACGGCCCTCTTCGTGAATTCATACGCACGCTAAGACCCCCAGCGGGCTCGTCCTTCATGTCAGACACAGACCGTTCGTCAAACTTACTCTTCAAACCCTCTACCTTCAATCAAGAAGATCAATCGTCTCTATCCTCGCTCGCCCTCGGCGGTGGAGCGGGCGAGCCCAACGGTTTCGAACACAAGAGACTCGAGGCGGGTCGCCAAGCTTCGCTATTCGACCAGCCGGGAAGCTCTTCCTTCACCCCCGCGCGCATGCATGACGCGATCAACCTCGGCGAAGCTCGTTTCGGCCAAGCGCCGCTCGGCGACTATTCCAATCTCTGCCCCCCGCCCGCGGCCGCGGCCGCGGACCCGCCTTTCGATTTCCATTCCGAGGCAGGGCCTGGGTCGAGGGATAACATCGACCCATTCTTGTCGATGCGCACTGGACATGGCGCGGGCGACCTTTCGTCTGTGTCGGATCCTGGAGGTCTGGGTCCGACGATGACGACGACGACGACGAGTGCGGGCCCCTCGACCGCGTTGACGGGGGCCGCGTCGCCGGGGCTGTTGTCCATGGCGGATTTCAGCTCGAGGCCTATTAATTTGAAGGCGTACGAGGTCATCGCGAGTAATTTCAAGGAGCTGTCGCTGGAGTTCGGAGGAGGCTCCTCGTCGGCTCGTAGTAATAATATCTCGGAGTCCCAGCGCACTGCTCAGCATGAGCTCTTTGTGAAACTCTACTACGAGCACTTCAAGCAGCAGGCTTACTGACCGACCGGCTACCTGGTTGCGGGGGGGGATGCACGCGCGCCGCTCTGCTAACGTGGGCATGAGAATCCGACTGGGGTGGACTTCGTACATAGCTCCTGTCGGCCTTCAGTCAGGCTGGGTTGTGCCGCGAACCGGCGGCTAGGCAACACATGCTGTCGCAGAGCCGCATTGGCGATCGAATAATATGGTGTGTTACAGCACGTTACCTCGCATGATGCCGGTATGGACGCACAAGGCTATTTCCGAATTGTTTGCCTCCCTGGTTTCGGCCATTCTCTAGCCTCGCTCGTGCAGATTGTCTGGTCACGCTCGAGTAGGCAGCTCTGGATACGGTGGAACATACGAAAGGACGGGATATTTACTTATCTCCTACTATATGTATATGTAATGCTTGGGCTGGATTCGATACGCTGGGGTTACTGTTGTAGCCTCGGGGGAGGGCTACCTACCTATCTAATGAGCGTGTTGTGTCTAAACAGAGGGGGTAGGGGTAGGGAGTATGTAGTAACACTATAGTCTACATAGCAGTCGTCGCTTATAGAGACGGCTCATCTGCCTACTCCTTGTTTGTGTATTCGCGGCCAATGGATTTATTCATTTATCTAGTCGTGTTTCTCGATTGGACTTAACAGCCTTATACTCGCTCTTAGATATGTACACTTTCATCCCCTAACAAGGCGAACACTATATAAGAAGCTGTCTTATTAGTCGGTTGTAATCTGACTGCATTTAAAGCCTTGACTCTTGACTCCTCCAACAATCTCCAACTTCATCTCCAACATATATATATACCCATATATAATTGGAGATGCTGTTATATGCAGGTATATAGATGTCATTGCTGAGTGCAGGTGGTATTACTTACATATAATCATGTAAGGTACCGAGGTAGACATCGGTACTTATTCCTCCATATGTGATCGACGTCACATACATTAGGTATAGGTATGCAAGGTTACATATTACATTAACTAACATAACATGTATGTGGAAGATTCACAATCACATCTAGAGTAACCTCGTGCTTGTTATATACAGTAGTAGGTACTTTAAAGTGCAGTTGCGATATTTGGAGTCATAAGAGAACGGAAGGAAGGTACCCTATAACTGCCCTATAATGTCGGTGATAGGCCGGCCGAGCGGAGCTAAGCTCTTGGTAAGTGCAAAGGAAGGTTCTTTCTAAACATGGCATCTACTTTCTCAATTCTCAATTACAATTGCAACTTCATTTAGTTATTTACATCTACAACTTCATTTCTCTCTTAACAATTAGGCAACCTTTATCTCTTCACATGAAGCCCGACGAAAAGCTATGTATAATCTCAAAGGTTGTGGCACCAATGTAATCTCGCCAACTCATAACATGCATAGCTGCCCAACTGCTTCCACCCGTGTCTCGCGCACGACTATATGTACTTGAAGGTTGCCTTCTTTTTGATTCTCGCAGATGGTTCCTAAATTGCTGCGATGACACGCCCCCTCACCGAATTACGTTCCTGCGAAATGTTCCCTTCTCGCGTGGTGCTTTGCCTTAATCCTGGCTGAGGGACTTTGATTGTCGGTTCCTGCATCGATGTTTATTACCTGAGTGCTGAGTGCGGAGGGCTGAGGGACGCCAAGCCCTGCACAAATAGGCCATGTCGTGGGATTTAGCCTGCAGAATGCAGGAAACAGAGCGACACTGCATGAGAAAGAAAGAAAATTAATCAACCCGATGTCGATGGGGAAGCATTAAGGCGAGACGCAATTCACAGCTGAGCCTTGCCAATTCAACATCGTTATATCGGGATAGGGATACCTATTGATATCCGCTCGCCCATTGGCTTTTCTGAAAGTGGACTTCGGTCAGCTCGCTTGACCGAGTCTCATGGACCTCAGATCTCTATTAAGTGGGACGCAGCCGCAGAGAAGATGGCCATGCCTCTGTCTTGCAGATTCCCCTCAGAAGCCTCACTTCTGGCTGATATGCATACATGCATATATACAATTACTGTATGCGTGTCTGAGGCACGGGACTAGAATCGACGAAACTGCGGCACCGTGCCGTGACATTCCAATTCTCTCATCTTTGGTCGATGGGGGCTAGCCAGGCAGCGAATGGCAGGCGAGCAGAAGCGCTGCGTTGGCAAGGCATTCGGTGGGCGAACTACAGGTTGCCTGAAAAATAAAGAAGCGTTGTAGTCCCTAGCTCACGTTTTATTCGATAGCTCGTCCCTATTGAGGCTGAAGTCCTACCCTCTGGTGGCTGTGTCGTACGTGTCTTACAGGCACCAACGACGACTAAATGTCGCACAGGATTCATCGAAAGCCCTCAAGACGACCGACGTGACGTCTATAGATCCCCCGGGGTTACAGCATTGCCTTGATGGCCAACTGTCAGCGTTTGGTCGTTAATATTGCTTACCCCAAGGAATCTACGGGTGTCTGCCGCTATGGGTTACTAACCAAGCTCTACTTTCAGCTCCATCTACCAATCCCGTCTCGTGATCTTCCGCTAATTCGCTCGAATGCTTACACTTGCACATATGTTTCCACATCCTTATTGCACTTGTCAGCCTTACCCACGGGAGCAGACCGCGTTCATGTGGCATACGGATGTTTGGGCTGAACTCTTCTTGGCTAATGGTCCACATCTAGGTGGCATTGCCTTAGAATGCAATGCTATGCACCCTCTCTTCCAGAGTCCGCGGTCCAAGCTAGTTGCTATCTGTAGGATACGCTCACCGAACCCAAACAGGATGTCTCACTTCGACCTTCTACAGGATTCGCACGATACCCCGGAATAACTCGAAGACTAATTCGCAACGCGCGCGTCGCTTAATTGCATCCCCGCGAGCCGAGGGGGGCGGCGGCCTCGGTATAGCTTATTTACAACCTGCCAAAACATATAGTAGCTCGGATGTTATCCGAGATGTTCTTATGCACTACCCAAGGACGATGCTACCTACTATCTGTTATGAGCATGCGTTGCCGCTTATTGTTTAGAGTTGACCACCTTACTTACCTCACCGCGTCCTGCTAGAAGAAACCGAACATCTCAGCCGGACACCTATTGACGCATCTCGAAGCCCCAACTAGACTAAACGTCCGCCTCACCTAGGAAAATATGCAGTTTGAGCCTTAATTGTCCTACCGACGCATGTTGACTGTTGTTGCACCAATAAATGATCACCATGTATTAGTTGGAGTAAGATTTTGGCAACTTTGATAACAGAGAGAGACTATATCAACTCCCCAATGAACATCTTTAACCACAGGTCGCAACTGATAGTTTTGTATTACCACACCTTTATATCTCCAGCCACCTGTCAACTCTATTCCATCAACTGCTTTGCATATTGATCCCTAGCAACAATAAGTTTACCTTGCCATTTGAGTCGTGTCCCTTAGAGGGGATAGCCTCCTATCGGTATAAGTACAGCTTCATCCCATGCGGCATATCCCCATATTCTCAACGAAGACATCAGTATAATAGAACGATACACAGAAGAATAGGAACCTTCTCGGCTTACCAGTTTAATTATGGATAACACATACACCTCTGGCACTGATTACGGATACGGTGACCAGTCTTACTGGCCAACCAGTGCAGCTATGGCTAGAAACGTGTCACATGGAAGCGGATATAGTAACTACTCGGCAGCCAGTAGCGGGCAATACGATATTGCAGGGTCGCCAGGCTCTGAAAATATTAGCAGCTATGATTTTTTGAATGTGCAAGATGGAGGAGCATATGTATCGGATGTGCAAGAATACGATGCGAACAACCAAGTGGAGCAGCAAGACTTTCAGTACCAGTTCTACGACTTCGTTGCCAGCGACAATTCAGGGCAAGGCCCGTACTGGAGACTGAGGCCCGAATATACACCGACAGAAACTTATCCAGAAACCCTCCCCGTTAGTGGTTCTGATGTGTAAGTATCACTATAGAGTATACGCATGCTATGTTGTTCAGGTTCTAACAAACTCGTTCAGGTCACCTCCCGTTAGTGGCGCCTCGGCCGCTGGCGATGCCTCGGGCCGCCACGTCTGTCTTGAGCCTTTCTGCAACGCATCGCCATTCAAACGGAAAGCAGATCTTCAGCGGCACTACCTCCACAGACATCGCGATGCAAACCAGAAAAAGCCGTTCCCCTGCGACTGGAAGAAGTGCCAGAGATCTAAAGAGCCATTCTATCGACTCGATCACTGCCGAGAGCATTACCGTGACTACCACATGGAAGACTTATTGCGACGCAACTCCAACAAGGAGAACAGCGAATGGTGGAAGAGTCGTAATTTTGATAGCAAGTGGTGGCGCTGTGCCAGATGCCTCAGCCGCATCCCCATCGATAGCAAGGGTTTCGAGTGCGCCAAATGCAAGACGACTTGCGAACCCGAGAGACGCAAGCTGAGGGGCTACAAGTAAGCAGCCACATTATGTAGCTGCGCGACAATACGACTCCCAGGTTCAGCATCTGAGGTGCATGAGACTTAGCTTATTCCAACCACCGACGCTAGGTACATTAATCCAGCACGTTTTAGCGACAAGTCTACGCCCTGACTATTCCTTTCGTACCTCGCATCTAAGCAAAATTTAGAGATGAGGGAGACCGAAATTCCCGCACGCCCTCTTCCTTAACCTCTATCATTCCCTTTTCTTACCCCGGATTGATCTACTGCACACTGCCGCATTTAGTGGCACTTCTCCTTTTAACATATGGCGGTGGATGGCGTAGGGCTGGACATAAACTACATAGAAGGCGGTATGTTTTACGTGGTTGTTGGGTTGGCCACGGATCATTGCGTATTAGGACTACGTGATAGATGAGACAGTATGGTGATTTTGTTACTCCTTTTTCTTGTTTGATTATTTTCTCTAAGTTATGCTGGGATGAGCGATGAGGCTATGCTTGTTGATTTACTTCGTTTTCCGTTTGCGTTGAATCGACTAGGGTACTACCCCGGTCAAGGCGTTTCCTGGTGGCTGTATGGATATCATATCATGTTCATTAGGAGATGTTGTGGCGCAGGACTAGATAGATACTTTAGACATTTGGTTTGGTTCCCTCTTTTATCTTTTGTTGTCTCGTTCCTTTTCCCTGAGTCGTCAATGTGGATAGAATGGATGGGAGTAGGGTATTGTATGCGGAAGACCCGGATATTGGGATTTACTGCTAAGGACTTAGGTAGTTGGTCTGTACTTTTTCTGATTTTTTCTCTCTCGGACGTTACTTATTTGGAAATGTTACGCATGGACGGATGGTAGGGCTGTCACTTCGGCGGCAGGTAGGGTTACGTTTTATGCTACGGTAGACAGATGCCGTGGTTCCTTCGATCGGTCGGTCAGCTAGGCAGACTTTCTAGCACGCCGAGGTCCCTTATCCTCCTTAGGTATCCTCTCTAGACAAGGAGTCCTGGATATGTGGCCTCTTGGCGAGGGCTGCATGCACACGCGTGTACTTGCAGCAGCTTTGCGTTACAAGGAGAACTAATAGAGTAAGGTTGAGCCAGATTTGCTCACTACATATGTACATGTGGCCAGGGCAGGTCTTCCCCTGCATCTTCTCTGCCTAGGTTTATCTATAAATTGCATACGAGACATCTATCTACATACTTCGGTCTGGGTTTTCTATTGTTGCTGCGTAGGTAGGTATGGATGCAGGTCGGTGATTAAATGAGTCATCCGGCCAGATATTGGACACAGTATACGAAAAGGGGATACTTTTATGTAACTCGACTCGGCCGTTGTGCCGAGGCCGCCTGGACTGCCTTGTTTGTTGGTTTATTCCGAGGGTTTTCCTCATGCACGAGGTTACATAACCAAACCCCCTGGCCTTACGTGCGTAGTGTATGGCCTCGCCAAACTACCTAATATAGTTGTCTCTTACTTGAATACCGGGTAGGTATTTATGAAAATAGGAGAAAAGTACGTCGATTATTTGTGTATGTTTTTTAGGATTCTAAAGGATACAGCTTCGCGCATCTCGGGTATCACTACATCACGGATACGAAGCTATACACCGAGATTTAGGCATGTTAAGGGGTTGATACATCCGTTGGCACGTCTAGCACATCATCACCTTGCGCGTTAAGGGTCGAGTAAGGTCGATATACGGCGACATAGAGATAGCTGTAGCTACGAGGCATTTTTCAAGCATTGTATACCTCCCTAGGTTGTAGTGGGAGATTCAAGGATGCTTGGCATTGATTTGAACTGCCGTTAGGGTTGATATAGCTGAGCGTACCTAAGGTGGTATATATCGATCCTTTAGACTACCAAGATACCTAGGACGAAGAGTTCTTAGCTATATCGGTAGCTTAGTATTAGCTACGTCCATAGCTTTACGGGCTTTAATAGAGTCGTGTTTTCGCTTTTGTTGGTATCCTTACGATACACCTTATGTACCCTTTGACTCGCAAAACACAATACATCAGGTACTTACCGGGTAGGTATGTAAGTGTAAAATACCCCTAAGTAATCATCCTTGAGGCCCAAAGGTAGAGCGGCTACGACCCGGCATAGGAATGTTAGTTGGACACCTAAGTAGCTGTTTTTATCTGTATCATCTCTATTTTTAAAGACTCTCGTATCCTCCACGTACGGTTACATTATAGGCTCTAGCGACGCGTTGGGTCATATCGGCTTCTCCGACGAAACTCAATAAAGGGGTTGGGGAACTAACTTGGCCTATGTATGTTGTGCGCCACCTGCTTATTTCCCATGCAATTCCCAACTTGCGGTGAGTTGAGAGTTCCGAATGTATTGTTTTTTGTTGTGTTGTGTTGTCCTAGCGTGTCATTGAGGTCTCTTGAATGGTCCGGCACAGCATTTTTTCGACGCCCCCATTAGGTAACTATCGTTTTTGGCCGTGGTTGGGAGTAAATAAATAAATAAATAACAATTTATTCAATAAACATGTCGATAGACCTTCGAGGCAACTGTATCGGTGATCTTTTTTTTTCGACTCTTTGTTACGGAAATTTTGTCAGGCTAGTCTCCTTTTCTGATTGTTAGGCTGGATGGCTGGCCCGATCAAGTAGGGCCAAGGTATCACCAGCCCTACTACCGGATACGAATTTAATGAATGCTAGATTAAATTTCTAGATAATCAATATTGCTCACCTTTCATGGGGAGCCCCGGCAATATTTTTCTTGAAGACCTTTCATCAGTTGTCTTGTCTAATAAGGGGATTTTTACTTACCTTAAGAGGTTGGTCGGCAATCACCGATTTCCAAGCCCTTTCCGATGGGGGTACACATGCTTTATTATCAGTTTTAAGATATTGCTGATAATAAACATGATATTGGATACGCGCTTATACAAATCCTTTATCTGTGATATTATAGAGGTGGTTATAGCATTTTTAAACTTAAAGCTAGAAATTTCAGGCTTGGGATGAAGTTTTACGTACCTAATCCACTCATGTTCCGCGCTTGGCATGTTCAATGGTTTAGGTACCTCCTAGTTGGGTTTATGGCTGGCGCATACATATGTAGGCTGTCGGTATATATACCTAAGTAGGTACCTATATAGATACTTTCACCGTGACATTTAAGTCTAGAAGAAGAAAATAGTTGAAGATTAAATCTATCATTTGTAGTTGATTATCATGAGCTGTTGAAACTGGCCTCTTTTCTTCTTCGTTTTATTACCCCTTTTCTCCACACGGGATGAATATTAACATATTGGGTTTAATCATACTGGGACAAGGCGCTTAATCACCAACAACGAATCGCCACCTTATCGTTGGGCTGATACTAGAGCCTTGTACCTAATTGCCTGTAAATTATCTTCTAAATTTTCCATATTCCTTTTTAATATTTTGATATACTTCAAACTATCATATTTGACACAACGCTATAATGACTACCTAACCTACTGATATCCCATGTCTGTCTTTACTTATTTCTTTCTCCGAACCACGACATTACCTTTCTAGCCTTGCACTATGGGCTCAAGAAAAACTGTACAAATATTAAAGGCTACAATACAACATTCTTCGATTTCCTACGAGCCCAATATCGTGGTCCGGCGGGACGTTTATTGTCGATATGTCAATAAACTATAAATAATACCAAGCATAAATTCGGCAAAATGCTAGGGGGGGCTCTATCTTTGGGGATGTGCCGTGCAATTATTCACCAAATGACTACGGAGGCGGGATTGGGAATTCGGGCCGTCGTGGCTCTTGTATAAGGTTTGTGGAGTTCTCCCTATTCCCATTTGTTCTTCATTCTACTAATACAGGACAAGCAAACCAAGCCTCAGTTGAATCTAAATACGATATAGTTACTGCTCAAGAATATTCAATACCCCTCGCTCAGAGTCGTGTACGAGGAGGTACTCGTTACCACGATTGCCGATCCCAGACTAGAGGGAAGACTCAGCAGACAAACGAAAGACCATTACACGACAACTGCTGGAGAAATTCTTCCGGAAATACTATATATAAGCGTCAACTTTGCTACCACGCGTGATGTTAAGTAGCCTATGACACTGGGTGGGAACTCGATTGCTAGGAGATCTCTATCACTATCCCCGACGCGGGTAGCACATGATGATTAGGATGAAGATGCATGTCTACCCAGCAGTTATGTAAGGTAGCTAAGCAGAAGAGTTGACGAATTAGCTCTGGTATAGGAGCGTATGCACCATAATTACACGGTATTTCGATTCATAGTGTAACAAATATAGTGCTTAGTCGGCTGGCCGCTCAATCACGACGATGGTTGGGCTGAGAATGCCTAAATTTCCTGTCGAGTCAATTCGTACCAATCAAGACCGTTCATTATAAAGATTGGATGGGAGCTGACCACGAAAGTGGGATTTTAATCTACCTTCTCGCTGGAGCTAAATTATGTCGCAATGACTCTCATCTAGGCGATATTAATGTAACAGGGGCGCATCATATCTACTTCCTCCTAGTTTATCAAGCAGGTTCTATTGATTAAGTAGTGAAGCCGAGTAACGAATAACTACTAGGTATCACTTTTCAACAACTAAGTTAAGAGGCCATAAGCCTCTCTGCCTCTCCACTCGTGAAATTAATACAAGTGGAAGCCTCTTGTTGCGGTTAATAGTAGAAAAGGATCATCTTAATAAGTTAGCTCCCCATCTGCCCTACTTAAATATATCCTATCTAAACAGATAGCTGCTGGCTTTGAAGTCTTCTTGACCTGTTCAAATACCCAAAGTCAACAGTTGACCATATTACCGGTGCATATTTTTACTCCTTGGCCAGCCATTCCCACCAAAATGTCACCTATACGAGGCAAACGTTCAATATTATTCGTTTACTCCTTATTCGCGGCGACATTCTTGGGCATTTCTTACCTCTGTCTATCCATGCGGATATCTCCGAATTCACCACCCACGCATCCAACCCCAATCCAAAGGGATACTCCATGCAGTGCTGGAGGTAATGCAGACCTCTATGGAATTGGTGTCCGAATCGGGTTTTATTTGCAGTCATTGGGTTCATTCATCAGTCTCACCGTACAGCGCAAGTACGATCTTGCGAATACTTGTTTGCTGCATCTTGCACTTTTCGTGGCGATAGTGGTGGACTCTATTCGTCATATCATAACCCCGGGACAAGTCATGATTGCAATAAACCTTATTTATATATTATTGTGGTTTGAAGTATTGATTGTACTCGAAAGGGTTCCGGGTAAGAATCTTATCCAGCTTAGCTACCTACCTACCTAGGTACCTACCTAATGAAAGGCAGGCGGATATAACTAATCATTGAGATAACTAGATACTTCATCATATGATTCTTATCTGGCGATGTGTTATATCAGATTGTCGATGTGTTTATGTTTATTTGCGGCTTTATATTCGACCTGGTTCTGGTGGCGTGGAATCGATACTCTCCCTCGTGGTGAATGTGGTGATAAGGCTTTTTTTTTCTCTATGGTTGACTTACACGGCTGGTTTCGAACTCTTGGAAAATGTTGGAATATGTATGTCTTGATTATGATGAGCTGGGAGCTAATACCAACAGCAGCTCGAATATACATTCGTAAGTGTTCCTAATTGTATCCGCAACGTCTTATATCCAGATATCTTCTAAAGCTGTTCCAAGGGCAAAAAAGAAAGTATCTGCAACGTCTTATATCCAGATATCTTCTAAAGCTATTCCAGGGGCAAAAACTAATTCTGTTTTGGAACCTAATTAAACCAAAATATCCAGGGTTTGAACAAGAGACAGAACAAGAGACAGAACAAGAGTTAGAACAAGGGCCAGAGCAAGGGTCAGAACGACCGTCTAAATCCGGCCCCTGGAAAATTTCCGCTTTCGTGATGACAACCAGCGTCAACGTTATCGCCATTGAGCTAGGAATTGTTTGGAATAAACTCCAATCCGTCAATGCCATCGAAACTCTCTCTTCGGTAGGCCAGCTAGTCCCCTTCGTCATCGGCCTGGGTACGTTCGTGGAAGCACTGTGCTTTATTGTGCCGCCATTTTGGAGGTTTTTGGTTTCTTGAGTATTATATTTCTTGCAAAATTACGGAGAAATAATTTTACGAGAACCGATATATCTACAAATAATACGAGAGGCACGGCGCCTTGAAGAAAGAGTCTTTGCACGACGCTACAGAACTACATACTCCTGATGAGCATCCACAACCTGAGGAATAATTGGTATTTGATACATAAGATGTTACTTAAGCTATTTTCAGGGGAAAGGGGTCGTTGAAGATATATATTGGTATTTTCATACCACCTACTGATATGATTCTACATAAGATATTTAAATCAACGAAGTTAGCTCTATCGCTCCACCTCGTGATACAGGGAGACATTAATCTGTTTATATATCTAGGGTAAACTACCCTCATACTGTCTATTATATTAGCTCAGCCACTGATTTTGGCTAGCGATAGATAAGACCGACCACTGACACACATATTATGGCTTATACATGCCAAGTATCAATCTCTCGGTATACCTGTTCAGGCGTCAAGCTTTATACGAGCAAGAACATTAATTATGTACCAAATGGATGAGAGACCAATTATCAAAAAGTCACTTGCATCTACCCGGACAGTTGGACTCACCGTCATGGCTTTGCCGGCGGTTAAAGTTAGTGGAATTAAAGGAGGTAAAGTGAATTAGCTCAAAGAAAGGGGCGAGCAATGGGATCTCTATTCCCTAGGTATCCAGGTTGTCATTCCCGAAAAGTCTAACAATATACCTAAATAAGAGAAGGGGGCTATGGAAGGAAATATTTGAATTAATATGAGGAAATCAACGGCGAGCTAGGAGTACAAACTAGATGGGTGATACCTACTGCGCTGATATGTTTATGAAAGAACTCACGAATATTAATTCTATTTTTGTTTATATCAGTTTCCTCTTGGACGGTACTGGTGTATAAACTACCTGTTATATCGTAGTTTGTTACTAGCTGCGTTGCCCGCCCGCGCAAGCGCGTACGGGGAAAAGGGGAGAAAAAAAAAGGGGGGGGGAGGATCATGCGCAAAACTGACGCCACAGGTAAAGTCTGGACTCTGATTGGCTAGCTATATACCGGCGCACGTCCGATAAACTTTTCGTAAAATTAATTGAACCATTTCAGTATTGTATAAAAGTTTTAATGATTAGTATCGTTAGATAGAGTTCGTTTTGCATGACTTTTTGATACTATTTGCACCTCTTGCCAACGTTATGCGATAGAATGGCAAAGGAAAAAGTCGCCAATTGCGGAGCAATTCTAAGTATCTGATTGGTTGAAAAATTGTGGCAGTACTAATGAAATATATAAGAGTTGATTATACCCCCTGGCGAAGCATCGTACTCAAACTACGATAAACCTGCGGGATTTGTGTTCGGCAACCCATTTACAGGGTAAACCTCCCTAGGGCCAAGAGGCAAGCCCAAGTCGTTCGAAACATCCTGGCTGTTTCGGCGAGGGACCAAGTATCAACCCATTATATTCACCGTACATGTCCTTCACTGCCATCAAAAGTATCCAAACGAAATAAATAGCCGGGGCTTTTGGAAGGACACCCGTTTCAGAGAAATATATTCTCCTTGCAGAAACCTCTGCCTTTCCCGTGATATCGTCCAAGATAGAGCCGTAGGGTGCAAGTGGCATGTCCAGCCAGCAATCAACAGCCCATGTTGTCCCAGATATCCTACACGCTCTCTTCAGTGGTCCATTCCAATTGTTGGGTGTGTTGCCGATATAAAGTTTCGCTTGTACTGCTCTGCTGCGAAGTCGAATAGATCTACTGGGAATCTGACCATAGATGCTTTTTGTCGACAATTTCACTGAAGTGCGACTGACTTTAGCTAAGGCAGTGCTGTATTTTGCCCATAAGTTGTAGGAAAAACAATCGCTATTAACAGAAACCCAGCTCCAGCTGGGAGCCTCGAAGTCCTCCGGCTTTCCGCCTTGGGTCATCCAGAGAAGTCCGTATATGAGATCCTCTTCCCATAGACCTGCAAGATAAGTACCGCCGTAATAGGACTGAAATCGAGAAGCCATCGTGAGCGGAGGCTGCAACAGAAGCGACCAATACCAATTCAGCACTACCGTAAATCTTCTCCATCTGGGTCGATTCCTGTTCCCAGTCCCGTTTATCGTCTTGTACGATACAGAGGCTATCTATCCAGAGGAACCGTAACCCTAGTATTTTCATTAACTTGACTGCATCCTTAAATGTTGCCGGGAGAGCTTTAAGGGATAGTCCTCTCCTGTGCGAGTCGACATTGCTGTTAACTGTTTTGAGAGGCTGAGAACCGCCCCAACAATGGCTCAAGGCAACAAAGGGAGAGTCGTTTGGTATCTCGCACCGTAATAATAGTTTAGGATTCGGGGAGGTGACATCAATGAGTCTAGACGGAACATAAGGTTTTGATGTGAGTGCGCATTCCTCATGGCTCGTCCTACATGAATGTAGCCACCTTCTTGCAAGATTCAAAGCTTCAATCGGACCTTTGCTAGTAGGAAAATTGTAGCATGAGTCGTATTCTATATTTGACAGGGAGCTTTCTTAAGACAGATAAGTTAGCTGGACGAAGAGAACTGTGGGGAAGATTCGATACGGGCAAACTTACTTAACGGGTTGATTAGGATACTTTCTCGGCCCTCTATGTCGAGGATTATCGTCTCACATTCTCCCATTGATATTGTAGTAGAAGTGACCTGAGGGCGAAGGTATGGGTAGTTGGGCTTCTGATATGTTCCAAATAATATTGATAAAACTGTTGCACAGACCACGCATCCAACGCCAAAATTAGGGGTTGGGCTATGAACAAAATCATCCCAATCGACACTCCAGTCTGAGAGATAGGGGCAAGGCGCAGATTTAGGGTTGGACCATACAGTAGACAGATCGCTAGATCTAGCACCGCAAATTGAACATCTTTGAGGAAGACATAGCTCATCGGTGTCCATGGTGAGCTAAGCACAGAATGCTAATTGTGTATCGGATTTTGCAAGAGGTTAGGTACCCAGAAAGCCGACCATGACTCTTCTTGAATACCTACCTATATATGTTTCTTGCCTCTATGTTCGGCTGCCTTATATACCTTAGGTGCCCATAGGCACCTAAGTGTATTGGCAGGTGCATTGCGTGTAAGCATAGCCGGCTTATATGTATATTTAATTGGTCTGCGGAGATATCTGCGATAGGGCTGCCGTCGTAAGCAAGAAATTTAGGACTTTCTCAAAGTGGGATATACGTCGTCTTCTTGACAGACGCCCAAGCATATATTTCTCGGTATTTGTCAGCTATGGTTGGTCATGAATCGTCCTGCTTTCGGTTTGAGGAAGACTATAAAGTGATTAGTCGAACCCCTTTCTTTCTGTTGGTATTGCTTATAATCTGAAATAGCTGGGCTGTTCATTATAATAACGCACGAAGAGTATTTTTCAAGTTGTAAATAGTTTCCATTCGATCGCTTAAAGGTATGGTAGCCCAATGTTAGGGTTACCTGCTTGAACAGGTTCTATGATTGGCTGCCTTACTTTTAACTCAGATACTTTAGGTACCTTTTCTGCACCTTTCCCATACGTCTGGAAGTCCCCCGGTTTCCAAATTGAAAAGGAAATGATGCTGCCGTAATGAGGTGATGTAGAATGATGTTGATCGAGTGAAGAATCTAATATCTCGCCCTGACTGGTTGGAATCTCATGTGCTCTTCAGGTGTCCATTGTGCCATCCCAACAGCACATAGATCTGGTAGGAAATATAATTGGTCCTGCTAAGTTAATAACTTATTTAGAAAATATATGTCCCATAAAAATATGAAAGTATAAATGTACCTATAAATAAGAATTCCCATCAATAATGCCTACCTAGGTAATGAATGTGTCCAAATAGGAGGTATGCTCCGGGGTATTGATATTCACTTCCCACTTGTTTCTTATTAAATCGTCGCGCTTTACGGAATACGGGTTAAAGAACATAACCCAGTATTGTTTACCTGCCTACCTGGTAGGTAGGTATGCAACAAAATGTGATTGGTAATTCGTAGGTAAATAATATACCGAAGAAAGCACAGTCCGAAGTAGACCTTTAAACCTTACGTGCTAAGCTGCCGGCTGCCATGTTTTATGACGAGGTACATATGCAGGTTCTTTTCTCCGCAAATCGGCAAAATGTGGGGGATCAAATACCCCTAGCCGCGGATTATGATTGGTGAATTCCCCTCATCTTCAATTTCTGCCTTTGCTATCCGTACAACATGCGCAAAACCGCAATCACCATATAACTTGTATGCGGTATATGCGTCCGGGAATCTCCAACAAACACCGGCACTGCGGCTTCATTTTAGTGCTTTAAAGTTCAAACCCGCCCCATTACGCTGAACTTCCCTCAGCCCTGGGATCCGTCCAAGGTTAGCCGAATCGCTTCGTCCTTGAGTTTTTTTTTGTCCTCGGCTCCTAACCTTAGCTTTTACCGGTAGCCACGCCGTCATTCTCGACGCTCGTGACCGTGCCCTGTTATTTACCTATAAATCGTATGCGCCGAGTCTCTTATTCACCATGAGCGCAACCTATTCATCCGCGGCCCGTTGCATTCGGCCGTCTGTTTTCTACAGATCGGCCAGGCCGCTTGTTAGATCGTCGCCTATCACGGTTAGACATGCGGTGCCAGTGGCGCTTTTCCACCAAACCAGCTTAAACCTGGCTGTGCAGAAGATCCAAGTCAAGAATCCCGTCGTGGAACTTGACGGTGATGAGATGACGAGAGTTATCTGGAAGGTTATCAAGGACAAATTCATCTTCCCATATATCGACATCGACCTGAAGTACTACGATTTAGGATTAGAGTACCGCGATAAGACCAATGACCAAGTTACCCTTGACGCTGCCGAGGCCATTAAGAAGTACTCGGTTGGTGTCAAGTGCGCCACCATCACCCCTGACGAGGCCCGTGTGAAGGAATTCAACCTTAAGCAGAGTAAGCTTGCAGCTTTCATATGCGCTTTCATATGCATTCGTCATTCTGCACGTCAACCCGCATATCAGCCCGCCGCACTCAGCCCCACACTATAATACCTACCAGGTCTTATAGATCAAGTCTCTGCCATAATATGACTGACGTTCTTCTTAATAGTGTGGCTCTCTCCTAACGGCACAATTCGCAACGCCCTCGGTGGTACGGTTTTCCGCGAACCCATCGTCATCCCCCGTATTCCGAGATTAGTGCAAGGATGGAAAAAGCCTATCATCATCGGTCGTCATGCCTTCGGTGATCAGTACCGAGCCAAAGACAAAGTCATCCCGGGCCCCGGTAAACTCACCATGGTATATACCCCCGAAGGTGGTAAACCTGAGGAGATTGAGGTCTTTCAGTTCAAGGAGGGCGGTGGCGTTGCGCAGACACAATACAACACTACCGAGAGCATCACGGGTTTCGCGCATTCGAGCTTCAAGCTAGCCCTTGCCAAGGAGTTACCCCTGTATATGAGCACCAAGAACACCATCCTCAAGAAGTACGACGGCAAATTCAAGGACATTTTCCAGGAGATATATGATACTCAATACAAGAAGGAATTCGAGGCCAAGGGAATCTGGTATGAGCACCGTCTGATCGACGACATGGTTGCCCAAATGATCAAGAGCACCGGCGGTTACATCATGGCGCTAAAGAGTAAGTGTCGCCTCTTGACTTCATTGCCCAAGAAAACTTAGAGTAACACTTTACCAGACTACGATGGTGACGTCCAATCCGACATTGTGGCTCAGGGCTTCGGTTCCCTAGGTCTTATGACTTCAGTCCTGATTACGCCCGATGGTAAGACATTCGAGTCCGAAGCGGCGCACGGCACAGTGACGCGACACTACCGCGAGCACCAGAAGGGCCGTGAGACTTCGACCAACCCGATCGCTAGCATTTTCGCGTGGACCCGAGGTCTTTCGCAGCGTGGAAGGCTAGACAACACCCCGGAACTGATCGCATTCGCCGAGTGCCTCGAGAAAGCGTGTGTTGACACCGTTGACATCGACGGCATCATGACCAAGGACCTGGCGCTCGCATGCGGCAAGACAGCCCGCGAAGATTACGTCACCACCAGCGAGTACATGAACGCGGTCGAAAGGCGTTTGAAGAACGTTCTAAAGGACAGGCTATAAATGAGGCGTACGAAGAATGGGTAGAAGGCCGACAGATATAGATCAAAACAAGATCTGGATTCTGGGGAGGACTTGAAGCGCGGGGAAGCACGGACGGACACGGCCCCACAACTCCTTTCAGGGGGGAAACTTATGAAAATCTACTGCGATTCTGCATATGTAACCCTTTGCGCTGCCGGGTAATAATTGTTCGAAATGCGTAGATAGATGCCTAGATCAAGATAGCATGCGAGTATTTTGTGCGCGAAGAAGAAATAATATTGAAGCATTGGACACATAGACTGATAGATAATTGGTAAGTTTCAAATTGTGCCCTAACCTCATGTTTGCTTAGTATCCACTTTTATGTGTGGTCTAGGTACTATCGACTTTTAAGGTTGCTTACTATTGTCCCATATTTCGCAATAAAGATGAACTTCTATCTTAATATCTTTCCTATAGGACACTAGACATAGCTGAAGTGTCCAAATATATCTCGCAATATTTTAACCGATCATAATTATATTAAATCATATTAATCATTAAATCCCTAACCGCTATCAAACCTCCCATAATCTTAGGTACTTGTACAAGGCTACCATACCAACACCTACTCCATTAACGCTACGACAAAAGACGTATTCGCGCCAACAGTAATCCGAGGGGTATCATCCGTCGCTCCCTCGCTTCGTTTCGCTGCTCCCCGTGTTTTATTATGTGCCAACGCCCGAGTAATTGTACAATTATAATGAACCCGCTTTTACTCCCTTTGTAACCCGTTGCATGCCGTATATACCCAATACATATCCGTCCATAATCTACAACACCAATACATATCCGTTACGGCGATCATGACTTCTCAGGCGGCATCGTACTAGGTGCGTTCTCGGCCGTGACCCCGCTGTACGCGGGCCGCGCTGCGGGCCCGGCAAGCGAGTCCGCCATCGCCTCGTCGTAGCTGGGCGGCGCATCTCCGAACGCAGCGGCGGTAGCGCTACCTAACTGCGGGGGATACAAGGGGTCGAATATGACGTTCGGGGGCTGCTGCGGTTGCTGCTGCTGCTGAGGCGTTGGTCTTTGGGGCAGTTGCGGTGGGCGTGAAACCCCGTTGAGGCCGAGAGTATTCAGGACGAGAGCATTCAGGAGCTCTCGCGGTGGGGAAATTCCCGAGAACACATCGACTCTGGAGAGTTTTAGAGGAAGAGTGATGAACTGCGGTACTGGCTTGTGGCTTGCAAAGGGGTTGGAGGGAGGAAGAGGTTGGCCCCAGCTTAGCGTTAGCTTGATTTCGATCTCGTAGCGCCGCGCGACATTGCATGTCCGGAAGGATGGTGCGATGGTGTTGGGGAGACGTCGGTCTTTCCACAGGGTGGAGGGGACTTCGAATTCGGCGTCGACGGGGCCGGCGGGGTTGTCGAAGAGTGCGATTGGAGGGGAGATTTGCGGAGCGGCGAGGATGACCCATGATGTGCGTTCTATATTTTCGAGGTGGTGCACTCGGACACGTGTATACCCAACTAGAACTATCTCGAGCCCCGTTAAGTACACCTGCTGGTCCCGCGTCGTCGTCGGCACCAGTTTCCGGGCGATTAGCCGCAGGGGTAGGGGTTCGTTACATGTTAAGATGCTGGGAAATGGTATCCGTGCTGACATTTCGATTGAGGGCGGCGTTTGGCTGGAGTCTTCTGGCGGGCTCGCTGATGATGACTTACCACCAAAGAAGGATCTTCTCTGGTAGTATGGAGCGCGGGGTTTAAAAGTAAAGGGCCTGCGGGCGAAGGCTTCCTGGCTAGTCTTAGGCGGCCGGGGTGGCTCGACGGGCAAGAACTTGAAGCCGACTTGGTATCGCCAGTTCTCCCTGAAGAATCCTGGGCGTTGTATGGTGACCTTGATGTAGTAACGTATTTCAGCCTCCTGGGGGAACTCCGTAAGCGAAGGTGGTAGAGTGGCCTTAACGTGCTGCAACATGAGCTGTTTTGTGCCGTCCATAGTACGAAACCCACCCCCCAGGCCTCCTAAGCCCAACAGGGCGCCCATGGCCTTTTCGTCGTGACAGATATTGTTAAGGGGGAGCTTAAAGTTGAACTTGAATTCATGCTGGCCGGGCTGGAGAGGTAGCGTAGCGCCATCGTCTGGGTAGACCTGAAAGACGCGGTATAAAATCTTGTGGTTCTCGGTAACGATATTGCCAACGCTACCAGGGCCAGGACCACGGACTCGATGGTATTCTTCGTGGTCCGTCGTCGCTGGTAGAGCTAGGGCGGTACGCGACTCGCCCTCAAGCTTGACAATGACATTACTAATGGTTTCGGGCCGGTGTAAACCCAAGATCACTCGGCCGCTAATGTAGTCGAGGTTTGTATAGAATTCGGGCGGGTTGTCAAGCGCTATTCGTATCGACATGGTGAAATACTTATATCAATTATGTAAGAAAACAAAGATTCGCAGGTTGTAATGGTGTTGAATATGCTTCGTTTGGCGGAGGTCTCGGCACCCGAAGGGATATTGAATCGATCAATGGCGGGTTGAAGCGGGTCCGAAGAAGAACATTACGAGGCAATGGAGCCATTGCCAGTAACTAGCAGCTAGGTATTAAGCTCAGCTTAGGTGCCTAACTTGTCCTAAGTTATTCTACCGCATAATAAAAACTGCAAGAGTCACCTAAGGTACCTTTGCTAAAAGCAAATTGGAAGATGTAGTTGTATCAAAGCCGACGCTGAGCCTCTATGCGTCGTCACGATTGTCATATGTCATTGTGGCTTAGGTCATCATCTTATCGCTAATCTCCTAAAGCTTATCAGCACGGCACTCGGCACGGAAGCAGGAGAAACCTACTAATTCCCTGTTTAGGAAAGTACCTGATTTGAGGCCTCCGGGTGGCAGGAGCGCAATGATCCGAGTTGTATTAGTCATCTACGAAATGGAAACAATCAATCAGAACGCTCCATCTTAACCACACACAACCTTTATTGTCTAACTCTTGTTTTATTTATTAAACTAGTTATCTATTAACTATTACTTATAAACAATCTTGATCTCACCCTCTAAGGTAATCTCCCAAGTGACCCTAGTGCCTGTAATGCAGCTATTTTACACTTGCCAGAAGTGCGGCCCGCGCGACGGCGTCAGTTTCTACAAGCGAGAGTGAATTTATACCTGGTCTAGCCCCAATCGCAGTCACCCAGTGTACGCCCTCCAGAGGTACACCGACAGCGAACCGCTTTGGATGTGGGTCGCCATTATTGTTGATTAGACAGCACGAGTCAGGCGTTACGTCTAGACCTCCAGTCTCGTAATCGCCAATGGTGTGAGGGCGGCATTGGCCCCTGTCCAACAAGTCTCTAAGAAGCTCATCAGCAGTTTCCTTCAAGCTCGGTTCCGGTACACGCGCCTCTATGAGGGCGGTTACACGCACTGCTGAACCCGGGATCTCGGGGGATACCGCGCGCCATGCCCAATTATCAGAATACACTTCCAACTCCGGACCGAGAATAGTTACTACGTTCGCTTTAATTAGCGCAATCAACTGCTCAACGCGTATTCGCGGCGGACCGATAGAAAGGTAGGCATTAAGCGGCGAAAATTGAGTATCGAATTGCTCCCGCCGCGAGGTACCTGAAATTCCTCTGTGGTTCACGATTAGACGCAGCTCGTTGCGTAAGTCGCGCAGTACATCAATAGCCGCCTTATGAGGGCTCTCAACGTTCCCAAGCGCAGCCTGCCGAACATCCTCGTCTAGATGATTCAGCAGCCACGTTTGCCATGTTTCGACCGATGTGAAGGTATCCTTATTATACGGTCGTGACATGAACTCCCAGGACCAACGATCGGCCTTCGGGATGTTGAACTTGTCAAGAACCTGGGTTTCTTCAGCGCTGCCTGGTGGGGTACTGAGGAACTCGGCCCGGAAGTTAAGACGCTCTGAATTATTCGCTCTCAACATAGTCTCATAGTACACCGTTTCTACCTCCTTCGCAAGAGGAGGCCATACTTCCGACTGAAAATCCGGTGGGTTCCCGGACTCAGCACGGCCACGGAACCAAGCGATTACCTCGTCAGTGAGTACAAGTGGAGTATGACGCTCGTAGGGTGGTCTTTTGTTGTCGCCACGGGCAACGTATGGGATCCCGCGGCGTGAGCCAGCATATATTCGCGGCTCGCTTCCCGAGGGTATATACCGATAGCCAGAGGTTGTGTGTTCGAAGCGGCCGCCGCGGCCCTCGGTTAGCAGGGCTACGTAATCAAAGAAAGTGAGACCAAGACCGCGCAGGAGAACCGGTTGATTAGGATTGATAGAAGAAAGGTCAACATCCGCCGGCTTCGCCGGTGGGATGTAGCACAAACGGTTCTGTTCAGCATATATAGTGAGCTCTTGCTGACGTGGGCTTGGGATCAGTGGCAGGTGTCCCTGAGCAAGGACTACAGCAGAAAGACCGGGTAGTGAATCGCCAGTGGAAAGGGTAAGAACCTGGCGCCCATCTGATTCGTCATTGAGGCTAACCGCGCGGGCAGTGTGCACTACGATCTTTACCTTGTCTTTATCGTGAACTTTTATTTGATCAAAGGCCCATCTTAGGTACTGGCCATACAGAGCACGGGGTGCGCACTCATTAGGACCCAGTTTTGGTCCCCCAGTTGCATGCATCTGCCAGGTATGTAAGTCCGGTCCTGGGCGTATCGGACCAGAGCAGGTCACGCTTTGGTCGGTGTACATGGTCATCTGCGACGTGATGGTATTCATTATCAGCTGCGCCGGCTGGTCCGTACGCCAGACGCTGCCAGCTCCTGGCGGGAACGGATCGATCATATGAATTGTAAGATGAACGTCCGGAGCAATGATATACGGTACAGACGCGCACATACGCTCTAGAACGCTGGTACCGCGCGGCCCAGCACCTACAATCGCTATATGAATATCAAGACCATTGGGCTTGTCATTCATAGATAATTGATCAAACGCATTAATGACGTTTTCGCTGGCAGGTTTAAGTCGACTTACAACCGTCTTGAACGTTGCAACAGTCGCTTGAAATCTTCTTTGGGCCTCCTTGTCTTCGGGTCTTCCGTTATAGATTGGCAATATGCGTCGGGAATCAAGCGGAGGCTCGCCGGCTCCCCCTAAATCCACGGCGGTCATCGGTTGTATAGTACCGCTGAGCTCCTCCAGGCCCCTCTGGACTCGCTCCATCACATCGTTGTCGATTGTCGTCGAGAAGCCGTTATCAATCAGGAAAAGAGCCGCATCGAAGTTGCGCATAACCAATGCGCCTTCCAGGATGTTACGTCCTTGAATGGCGATATGATCCATAGTGTCATAAACACGCTCGTTAATAGGGTAAACGGGCGAGGCATGCCCGCCGTTAGGAGGAGTACCGTTGCCGAGGATATTCCCGTTGGAGGGCAATCTCATAAGGCGCTCAAGGAGGTCGAGGTCGTTACGCTCAATTGCTATAAGCAAAGCCTGTCGAGAGGCACCTGCTGAGTGTGTATCAATAAGCTCGTTATAAAGATCCGGAGCATCGTCTCGAATCGCCGCGTAGAGCAACCGGGCTAGATCATCTCTACGCCCTCTTATCATCTGAATTAGCTCAGTGATAAATTCCATTTCATAACCGGTTGGCACCGCAGCAACAAGAGCACGGAATGTCTCATTATTTTCGTTGGGGTTAATTTGTGCGATTGCTCTTAAAATAACTAGCATGCTGTGTCCGTTGCTTCGAGCAACGCCAGGTGCCTCGTCAGCTGCGATTCTAGCACCGTTCGCGACTAAGCGGCGCAACACGTCATCTCGACGGTCCGTATTTTCCTGGTGAAGTGATTCATCTACGCCACCTGGCGGGGCGCGTCCTAACCCATAATACAGCTCAGCAATATCACCACTGGATGCAACTTCCCTAAGGAGCAGGTTAAGTGCGTTCTGTCGGCCAGGGTCATTCTCTTGAGTTTCGCGTACCATTGCGTCAGCTAGATCCCCAATGATTCCGTAAAGACCCCTATCGATCAACTGGGTGATTTCTGAGGGAATCGTATTTGTGGTCATCTGGTCGAAACGGTGTAGCCCCCGTTGAAACAGCACAATTGAAACTATTTCTTCGGCTCGATTCACAAGTTCACGGAGTTGTGCATCTCCATGATCAGCAATTCTTTTAGGGATTCTTGTATGAGCTCGTCTTCTATCATACGATTGAAGAGCATGAGCATAAAGGTCTGGGCAGGTATAAGATATCCTAGATCTCCTACGGACTTCAGCCGGTGGCTGGCATTCTCTATGAGACTCCCAGACTAGTGTACAGTGATGGCCTTCTCGCCAACCAGTTGTCGGCACCTCCGGGAAGAGGGTCGACCAGCGTATGGTTGGATCAGCACCCCGTTCAAAAAGTACTCGGAGTATATCTGGCCTCACGGCATAAACGGCGGCAACGAGGGGCGGACGGAAACCTCTAAATATATAAATATCGTTGATGACATCTCCCTCAACAGCGGAATACCCGTCGAGGATACGTCTGATCACGTTCGCATCGCAGTAAGGACGATAAATTGCCGTTTGGAGGAGTGGGATGTCATCCCGTGGCTCGTTTCCGTACCTGCGGGTTGGTTCGTGGACACGGAAATCTCGCATCTGGCGCACCGCATCGAGGGTGAATATATTTAAGTTGGGCGACAGGAAGATACGGGGAATGCTAAGAGCCAGTCTGATGCGCGAGGAGGGCTCTAAATATTCAATTAACTGCAGAAGAATCTCTACAGGTAACCCCGTGATCTCAGGTCGGTTTAAGTTTGGGAAGATATGCGGAACCAGACTGCGTATGGTTTTTATCGAGGAGGAGGAAGACGACGATGAAGACGATGAATGTGGCGGCGGCGGCGGCCCAGATCTATCAGACGATGACGATGATGAAGAAGAGTCCGAAGGAGGCCCTGGAGGATTAGACGGAAATGGGCGAGGAGGTAACGGGGGAGTGGGATCACGTACAGGGGAATGTACAGGCTCATCTTCGCCGTCATTCCCTCTGTGAGAAAACGATCCGCGTCCCGTATTATTTCCCCCTCCGCTCTCACCCTTGTTGAGTTTTTCAAGTGCCTTTCGATGGCGCTGTGCTCGCTCCGCATGTCGCCGCATACGCTTCTCCCAGGTTGTTATACGCTGTTCTTCCCCCTTTGAAGGGTGTGGTTCGCCGCGAGGGAAGAGAGGATGTCCATATCTTCCCCCTAACTCCCACCATCGCTTTTTATCGGCCTTCTTAGCGAGATTCCGTTGTCTCATCGTCTCCGCTAAGAATGTACGCCGTTTCTCTCCGGTTTCAAGACCTAACTTACTAGGCCCTGGCTTCGGTGGTGCCACTTGTAGCGGTTCTAGCCTTGATTCTACTAGCCTTGGTGGTTGTGGTGGTGGTGGAGTTGGAGGCGACACTGGTGGCCGTACGCGAATATTTTTCTTCGGCAGTATAAAATCCACTCGGTTTTGCTCCCGCTTAGATTGAGTTCGGACAGGCCCTACATTGGCGGGCTTCTTCCATGGTTTAAGTGGTGGGTGTTTTGGTGTCCATTTGTAGCCTGGTGGGAGTGGGCCGATACCCATCTCCTTTGCTACTTTGTTTACCAACTCCGGGTCTGTTCCTCGATTCTTTTCGGAATCTATCATTAGGGCTACCGCATCCAAGTCGGTTTCCCCCTGTTTTTGAAAGAGCTCTATACCCTCTCTGATTTTTCGCATCTTACGTTTTTCGACTTGGTCGCGCCATGCTTGACGACGAGCCTGAAGGGTTGTGGGACTGACGGGAGGTTGGACCGGCCAAAGGCTTCTTGGAATCGGTCCTGGACGCGGGTTTCTACGAGGAGGCATTTTCTATAAGGAAAATCGAAATTGTGTAATGTGTAAGAGGTGGTTTTCTGGCTATTTCTTCCAGTACTGAGGTTAATATACGATTTGATGGTTATCTTGCTATCAGTCGTGTGTGATAATAAGAGGTGATTGTCTCTCTTAGATATTTTTAGAATGAAAGCTCTAATCCATTCAGTCATATATGCCAATGAGGCTAACTGAACACCCCTGCTGTTCACCATCGTGTGTTTACAGTATAGCTGTTTTTACCAACCCAGTTATCTATGTATTCACCTGTTGTAGATTCAATCAATCGTTTTAGAACTTGGGTAGAACAATTCATTATCACCTCACCCTAGGACCTTTGTCACTGAGCTACATACATTCTATTTCACTCTCAAAATAATTACCCACCAGGCCATTGTCAAGTCATTGTTCAGCAGTAACCGTTAAGCCGCAATTCCATGTTCGCAACTTCTGTCCTATCGGCAGGCTACTGTTACCGACTCGTTTAGGAACCAATTCTTGTAATGGCTATAGTTTACCAAGCTAGGGCGCTGATATTCTCTAATGAAATTGTTTGACTACCTCTATCGAAAGGTTGGCGAGGAGTTGTCATAATTTACTAGGTATAACTCTGCGCTTTTGAACAGGAAAGTAACCAAGAGTAGCCAGACTTCATAAGCGGAGAAGTTTATACGAGAGGCCACAATATGAAAAGCGTAAGATTGGGGTTTACTTCAATACGCAAGAGTGCAATAGAAGCGTACTTTTTTCTTATCCCGTAATGTCTATAAAAGTTGATTATAATTGCTAACCCTATATAACTTTCTACTCTAGGTCTATTGACTTTTTTTTTATTCCTTATACATCGCATTCACTTCAGATATATCACATCCAAAGAAGAGATTTCCTTTTACAACCATTTCCCCATGTGCGTATTCAATGTATAATATTGCATACCATATCGTAACGTTGAAAGTGACTGATACGTTGATAGAATTTAGTACCTATATAGTTAAGGAACCAGTAACCTACTTCAAGCAGGGATCCTTAAAAGTACGCAAGATAACATGATGCATAGCATTTGTCCAAGTGCTAAATACCTACCTGTTGGAGTAATTATCGACCACTTGAAACGTAAATTAAGAGAAATGTATCATTCACCGAAGTTCTCCGATTAGCAAGTCAATAAGTTGAAGTAACCCTTCTCCCGCATCCCAGTCACGTTACTCTGTTCCTTTTACCTCATAGTAACGTGAACTTAGGGGTTGCCCTTACGAGTTACCACTATCTATCGTAGAAGCTCGACGCCATCTCAAAAGGACCGAGAAGTGGGACCTTAGATTTTTGAAGAAACGAAAAAGGGGTATGAAAAGACGTTAGTCTGGACTTTGGATGTTGTGATATGTACACCTTGTCCGTTCTAATTATGTGCTTTAATAGGTAGGACGACATGATCCCCCCAGCTACATGACCCATTCTAGAACATGTCAATCTAATTGGCTCTACGGAAGTCCCCATCAAAAGTTTTGTCCATAGGCCAGCCCTTATTAGCTTTTGACTAGCTTTGACAGGGCTTGGCAACAGCTGTAGGCCATCGAGCGCATGTACTATCCATAATATACTACTTTCGCTTATACATAATAACTCAAAATCTTCTCTTCAAACAATAAAAGTTATATAGGCGTATAAAGAAGCTTTTGTACTTATAATAGATCCAATTTTAATGTTTTCATTGGCATATTGAAGCTAAAATTGGATATGTTATAAAAGCTAAAATTGTGTATACAATTTTAATCTTGGCTGCCGCATGGTGTTAGGTTCCAGACAGCTGCATCAAAAGCTGTCAGGTGGCACGTATGGACAAAACTTTTGATGGGGACTTCCGTAAATGATACCTACATGTAGATGTCATAAGCCAAGCAACCCTTGCAATCGACGGCCCCTTACAGCTACTACATAGCATAGCCCTGCCACGGCTGATCTTATCCTCGAATAGGCACCGGGTATTGGCACCACCACCAACTATTTTGGGTAACTGTGATACTGTAATAGTTCTCACAGGCTGAATGATAACTTTATTTTTTCGCCGCCATGTAGAAGATCCTGTAACGGTTAAATTAAATGATCAGCAGTCTATATCCTTACCCGTAATACAATTGCACCCGCAATCTTTCCACGGAGCCATCACAGTCACATTGTGTGCAGGAGGAGGGAAGAGTATAAGTTATGAAGCTTGGCCTCGACGTTGGAATTTTGATTGATTGTTTCATTAAACTACTGAACCGAGCGAAACGATCCGATTAAAACTTGATACCTACTCGAGAAAGCGGCTTACGTCAACAAGCAACTAGCAAATATGATGTTTAAGAACTATGCCTTAGTCTTCCTCTCCGTCGCCTTCCCTCTAGCTACGACATCGGCGCTACCGAAACATAGCTCTTCAGTCCCGAGTAAGGCGTGTTGGGCCGGCCAGATTCATTATCCTTGCAACGGGTCGACGACGGGTTGTACTCCTGACGGGATCATGGTGGGTCCTACCTAGCACTATAGCGATGAATATAAAAGACGTAGGTATATCTATAGACTAACTGTTGTCTGGTTTAGGTTAAATGTCAAGACACGAGCGGTGCAATGATCTACGCCGATATGTGCGGCCTAGGATCCGCGGGAAAGGGTACATGTACCTACGACGCCGACTGCAATGCGGCCTGCAGTGCTTAGAGTATTGAAAACTTGGGCAAGTCACGGGCTGAACGAGAGTGACTATAAGAATGCCTTGGATACCTGTTATTCAAGCATGATCATCTATAATTCGTTATATGGGAGTGTTTGAGGGACGAGTAGTTGTGAATCACTGATTTCTATTTGAGGATTCACTTACACTGATACGCCATTGATAACGCGGACATGATTAATAGGGGCGCATGGAGTTGAAGCCAGCGATATTCAAAAGTTTACTTAAAGATGATTTACTAGTATTTAGTCTCTTTAGTTATAGTATTTCGTTACATACAAAACATGAAGATTGCATCGTGGTGATATAGCTACCCGTTTGGTATGCTATAGGATGTTACAGATATCCTATAGATATAAATGATAAATGAGTATAGTCAAATAATTAGAGTAATATATCATATAAGTATTAAATGTACTACCTGTGTACCTAAGGGAATATATCTAGCTCGATCGGGTTAAGGGATTGCTGCAATGCAAGAAATATCCGGTAACGCAACACTGAATTGACTCATTCCATCTCCTCACTCCGAATGAATAGGTACCTACCTGGGTAATTCATATAAATTCGCATGCTTTAACAAGTCAAAAAATATTAACAAAATACTAAACACATAACCTCTTTATATATATATATTTGCAACCATGGCAAGTCGTGTCCCAAACCCGCTCGGGGAGATTGTAAATGGTACCTCAGCTCAACGTCCGTCCCGGGACACTAGATTAGTCGGCCGATACGTGACGCTAGTTGGCTTGTCCGCAGCCCATGCCGATCCGCTGTATCCACATATATCCGGTCCGGAAAACGCACATCTCTGGGATTACATGTTTGAGGGGCCGTACGACGATATCAACGTATATCGCTCCAGTATAAAGGCCAAGGAGGCCAGCCAGGACCCAATCTTCTATGCCATCCTATCAAATGGCAAACCTATCAAGGCACTGGCAGGAAACGACGAGAAGAGCGGTAGGGTCGTTGGCATAGCCAGTTATTTGAACATCGATCCGGGACACCGCTCGATCGAAGTCGGTCACCTCATGTACTCGTCACAGCTGCAGCGCACACCTGGTGCTACCGAGGCTATGGTAGGTATCATCCAGCCTATGAAGAGAGCGGATCGCTAACTCTTCATAACATAGTACCTAATGCTACGTCACGCTTTTGACGACCTGGGGTACCGAAGGTACGAATGGAAGTGCAATTCGCTCAACGCGCCAAGTAGCAGAGCGGCCCTGCGTCTCGGATTCACATACGAGGGACTCTTCAGGAAACATTTTATCGTCAAGGGCCGCAATAGGGATACTACGTGGTATTCTATCATTGACGACGAGTGGCCTAGTATTAAGAAAGCGCTTGAGGCTTGGTTGGATCCCGCCAACTTTGACAGCGAAGGTAGACAGCGGAAGAAATTAGAGGAGTTTAGACAATGAAGTATGAAGTATTGGGGCTGGTTAGATTTAAAGGGGGCGCTCTAAGGGGTGAAGCCAATACAGGCAGACAGGTCAATCCGTTTCCTCTAGTTCAGCATCATGACTATAGTCTATTATAGCAACCGTGACAGCACACTCCTTTTATAAAATAGTTTTCATGTCCTCAAATGTTAAGAAAACACGGCATATTACTCATGTCAATCTGGTTAACAAAGTTGTTTGTACTATTCTCACTTGCTCACATAGTACATAGTACATATGATAGTCTCCAATTGAAGTCTTGATTTGCGAATATAAGTGGAGTATACCTACTGTAATATCTCGCTGACTCATCTAACAAATCAGTACTTATGTAGGTACCTATGTACCTAATGCTTGTCCCTTCATGTTGGAATTTCTTTAACTGTTTGGGCATAAGTTTGGTACTTACCTCCTACACATTGCATGTATATATTCCTTTTATTCATGTCTATACCTCAACTAATGTTAACATAATTCAAAATATTACATGTCAAATCTAAACATATAACTCTCGTCTGGTCTCACGCCAACTTCACTTAAAGTAACCATTCTCATCTCCTACTTCGTACCCCACTCGGGAATAAAAAGGCTACTCAAGAGCTATCATGGCGCAAGCTCAGCTCCTCGAGGGTCAGTCAGGCCTGCCCGTCGATAATCCGACCAAGTCGTACTGGCACAAGGAGCCTTCAAGCAAATTGCTAGGCCACCGAACGACAAAGGAACTGCCCCGCTCCGCCGATGTGGTCATTGTGGGGAGCGGCATCACAGGGAGTTTCGCCGCTCATTTCTTAAAAGAAAAGCAGCCTGATCTGAATATCGTTATGGTTGAGGCGCGAGAAGCTTGCTCGGGAGCTACTGGCAGGGTAAGTGGAATGAATATGTTTATTCTTCAGTTGCGAATAGGGGCTGTTTAATTTAATCCCTTGGCTAAACCCTCTACTCATATTCCCCCTTTTCCTCTAGTTATGAAAATGTATTAGTGAAGAGACTTCTCATATATCTCTATATCCTGCATAAATTATCATAGCCCGACCACATAACACCATTCTGTCTTATGTCTCATCCCGTCTTACTATCTTAAGAGGTACTTACTAACACTGCTATAAATCCAGAACGGAGGTCACTGCCAACCCGCCATATACGCCTCAGAACCGCACATCGCCTCGTTCGAGCTGCGCAACTTTCTATACCTCAAAAGCTTGGTTGAGGAGTTCTCGATCCCGTGTGACTGGCGGTCGACAAGCGGCGTGCATGCCTTCTACTCGAGCAAGTTATTCGAGAACTGTCGCGCAATAGTTGATGACCTCGCGGAACACTACCCGGACCTAGCCGCCAACGTAGCCGTAGTTACTAAAGGTAAAAAGGGCGAGGGTGCCCTCTCAGGAAGCCCGGCTTACCTTATCGAGGGCGAGCGAAGGGAGCTCACACTCGACGGCTTGAGGATACCCCACGCTGAAGGCGCTATAGTGCAATGGAACGCAGCAAGTCTATGGCCGTACAAGCTCGTCGCGTTTGTGCTAGAGCGCTTACTCGCTGCCAACGAAGAAGGATCCAAGGGGTCTTTCAACCTCCAAACCAACACACCCGTAACAGGACTCTCCCGCGCCGAAACATCAGCCAACCTCAGCAGTCCCGGCGGTAGTAAACCCCCCAAACACAATTCCATATGGACAGTCCACACCCCCCGCGGCACAATCGCCACCTCTCAAGTCCTCCTCGCAACCAACGGATACACATCCCATCTCCTCCCGCAATTCAGCGACTTACTAATCCCGACCCGGGGCCAAATCTCCGCCCTCAAACCCCCCGAAACCCCCACTGACCCAACAGACCCACCCCTAGATATCGGACACACTTACTACGTCGTCGGCGAGCCAGTCGACCCCTACGCCCGCGACGACTATCTCGTCCAGCGACCGCCCCCCACTGCGGAGCTCATCTTCGGCGGCGGCCGGCAACATGCTAAAGGGCGGGGCATTGGGGTATGGGACGACAGCAGCATCGACGAGCCCGTGGCGTGGTATCTGCGCGGGGAGCTATCCAAAGCTATTGATCTCTCTCTGCACCCTACCCATGCCCCCTCAGGAGAACGTAAACCCCTCCTCCGAAAACTCGACCTGGAGCCCACCTTCGAATGGAGCGGCATAATGGGATACACACGGGACGCGTACCCGTGGGTTGGGTCCGTCCCTCCTAGTCTAGGCGGTGGTCCGGGACTCTGGCTGTGCGCGGGGTACACGGGGCACGGGATGCCGAACGCGGTGTTATCAGCGCGTGCGGTCGTCGACATGTTACTTGCTGGAGACGGTGATGATACCGTGGAGATCGATCTTCCGCCTGAATACGAGCTTACGGAGCGGCGCGTCGATGAGGCTCGGAGAGAGGAGGAAGTCAGTGTTGCGGATGCTAAGGGTTGTTTGTACATGGACTTTGGGCCTCAGAGGGGATAAGGAGATGCTATCTATCCAGTTGGCATATATCATTTCTAAATGACTAGGATACAAAAGCAGTCATCTTAGAAAAGTTATGTGTGTAAATATCAAATGTCAAATTGATCATGATTCCTGGTTTTTGCGATTACCTACTAGCTACCAACGAATCCCAGACACAATTTCCAAATACCAACAAGGTAATAAGTCCTGTTATCCTGTCATGAGAAAAACAGCGAGGTTTCATTCGAGCTACGGCGGTTTTACCACTAAACTCGACATAAGAAGCCCCACGTGCACTATTTCCCTCTCTTTCCCTATTCTTCTCTGCCTTATCACGCAAAATTCTCGCGTGCTTCTTTCTTCGGGGGTATAACAAACTCCATTCGTTTCCCTAGTACGTTCCATTCAATAAACTCCAACGCAGATGCTGTCCCTGGTTTCCTTTCCGTACATTTCCATTTTTTTTTCTTTTCTCGTCTCAGTCAAAAAGAATAAAAAGAATATTAAAAAAATGCCGTCCAGCCGGCTTGCTTTCCTCCAGTGCCGCCGAAGATTTTCTATGTCCGGCGCAAAGTTATAGGGCTCGTGAGTGTCCAGGATGTCTAAAAGGGGTGCGCCATCGTCAAAGGCTGCCGCTAGCCGAATGCGAAGAAGAAAAGTAATGGAATAAATTCGTAGGAAGAAAAGGAAAACCTGATGCCTAAATTAAGCTCGGAGCCCTTTTGGTCGTGTTTTATGGCCAAGTAATTCACGAATTTCGTCGGAATCATCATATCGATTCAAAAGTATCATCGAAAATGCAGGATAGTCGAACTATAACAGTCCTTAAGGTTGGTGATGGTTTCATCGTCAGCACATTCAAGTAAGGGGCCAGACGTTCCTTTGGGAGGGCATTTCTAATCAGCCTCCGCCAACTGCATGATCAACTTGGCTGCCATGTCGAGGAAAGGGAAGGGGCTCATAACGGCCTTCTCCTCTAGTAGAGTTCCGTCGAGCCGTTCGTAGCCCGTACACTTGAAGTCCACGAGATAGACCTTCTCTTTTGGGTCCATTTCATAAATTTGGATGTCCATTCGCATCCAGACGAAGTCCTGCTTGCGTTTGTCCATAACGGAGTAGACATAAGTATTGTCGTCGGAGATCGAGTCAGCAGTAGCATGGCCAGAAGCGACCGATGTCCTTCGGATATCTATGAAAATGTCAGATTGGATTATATGAAATTCAAACCGACGGGTAGATTCACCATCTTTTTTCCAACGGCACACTATATGCCAAGGATCGGCGGGTAGCCTGTAGTATTTGATAGGGTCAAATGTCGCCAGGTCAATATCCTCAGGTGACACGTTCTCGTATGGGTTATGCTTTTCTCCTTCGTTTGGTGTTGGGGTCGCATACGGGTCCCTAGCACAGTCAATAACTCCGACAGAAATAAAAGCTGTCGAATAGTTGCAATACTTACGATTCTGAGCCATGTACCTTCTCATAGTCCTCGTCCACGACCCAAGTAGCGCCAAGTTTCGACAAAGACTTGTAAATGCAGAGTAAGGCTTCAAAAGGGGCGTTTCGGGATCTTATGCCAAATTGCCAGCGAACTGGCTTGGTTCTCTTGGGTGCAACCGGGGTCATTGTTTGCGGGTGAGCTGTATCATCAAGTCTCATGGCGCTTTTAGAATGAGGCTTTAGACGGCGGGCCGCTTCTTGTTGCTCAGCAGGCGTTCTAGGCTGAAGAGGAACGTCGGGAACTGGTTGAACGTCTAACGGTTCTTCGACGCCAGCAATCTGGCGCTCAAGATACTTCTTGTGGAGCGAAGGCAGACTTGTTGGCAATATTCCGACGTGGCTTACGTATCCTCTAGGAGACGAACTAGTAATTGTCGAGCTGGTGGAACGAGCAGAATCAGCTAAGGGGCTAGCTTGCGACTCGCTCATATAATCCGATTGAGAATTCCGCCGACTGTCTAGAACCGTACTACCACTCATAGCTTCCGAGACACTACGCATTTGTTCCTCGGCATCTACGTTGGGAGGGGACGTAGCAAAATAGGGGTTATCTACACCCGTTCCGTAAGCAGCTACAACCAGTCAGTAACATTCAAAATTGCTGTGGGATAACCCTATGAAAAATACCTTGAAATAGAAAGTAACATGGATTTTGACCGCGCGAATTCCCATCATAATTAAGGACTTAAAGTTTGAAGGAAGAGTTGATGACTTACGGTTTACCTGCATGAGCTTGTTCTCACGGACGATCATGTACGCATCCTTAATGGCAGAAGGTTCATCAGCTTCGAGAGCTTCCTGAACGTCACGTTTTCCATAACCCATCGTTTTACTAATCTTCTCCGTTACTTCGTTATGAAGTTTCTCCTGCACTTTAGGAGGAGCATGGGGCGCAATATCACTCGGTCTGATGGCTCTGTTAGGGTCAACACCAGTGTTGAAGAATTCCTCGACAGGCGGGGCCAGGTATGCAGGAAGATCCTTCATGAACCACGGATCCAGTCTAATATCATCGATGATAATACGCTGCACGGGATTAGTCTGCAGCATTTTTCGGATAAGACTCGCTGCATCGGCGGGGACCCAGTGAGGGACTGTAAAGACACCCCGCTGAATTTTTGAGAATAAACTGGGAATATGGTCGTCGTCGAAAGGAAGCCTGCCGACCAGCAAGACATATAGTATGACACCACAACTCCATACGTCGACTTCCGGCCCAGCGTACAACTTCCCGCTAATTACCTCTGGGGCTGCATAATTGGGGCTACCACAGCTGGTCTTGAGGAAATTGCCGTCTGTCATGATATTACTTAAGCCGAAATCGGCAATCTTCACGTTGAGATTATCATCGAGAAGCAAATTTTCGGGCTTCAGGTCTCGATGAACTACTTTGTGCCTGTGGCAGTACTCGACGGCGCATATCATCTGCTGGAAGAATTTCCGCGCTTGATTTTCAGGCAATCGGCCATGCTTGACGATGTAGTCGAACAGTTCGCCGCCAGCATATTCCAAGACCATTATAATCTCGGCTGGAGTCTTGATCACAGTGTATCTGTCAAGGGTCAATAATAATCCGATAATTTGATCAAAGTCGGAGGGATCAATGTCTCGGGCAAGCAAAAAAAAAAACTTACAATTTGATGATATGGGGATGTCGAAGCAGCTGTAGATATTCGATCTCTCGCTCGACGCGACCAACCATGTCTCTACTAATCAACTTTTTACGGGCAATGATTTTGAGTGCGACCTTCTGGCCGGTCGACCTATGGACAGCCAGCTTGACCTTTCCGAAAGAGCCTTCGCCCAGTGTTCTGATAATGTTATAAGCGCCGATTCGCTGGTCGGTTTTGTTCTTTTCTCGGTTCTGCGACGCCTGGTCGGAAAGCGTGCTACCGGCTCGAGACCTGCCGTTGGAGCCGTCGGCGGTTGGATGTGTAATATTGATCTCGGGTATTCGAGCTCCATTGTTTTTCGGTCGGATCATGGAAGGAGATAAGGACATAGAGAGTTCCTCTTCGTCAAACGCTCGGGAAGCCATCTTGTCGAGGATAGTTGTTGGCGATATCTACCTAGATGATGGCGAGGTTGATGAGATCGTCATGAAGTTACGTCCAACAACGAGGGGCTCTCGAACTAGGGACCGGGGGCCGGGGGGTCGGAGGACAGGGGACGGGGAGTGGAGTACAAGCTTTAAGGTAGCGATGCACGCTTGGCAAGACTTTGAATCTTGGCACCAAACACAGCCTTTTTTAGTGTAGGTAGTGTAGCCGCTAGCTGGGTTATAGTACTCAGTACTTAATCCCAGGTTTGACTCTTGCTATATTCAGATGTACTGGTTACCTTGGACCTAAGCATCAAAGAGCATGCAATGCACTCTCCGTACCTAGTTCCCAAGTATGTAATAATCCAGGCACTGAACCTAAGTCCTGTCAGATGAGGTCAGCCTTCTCTACCTCTTCAGAGTTGAGTATAGCCTCAGAGGGTTGAATGTCCGGTCTGATAAGCTTTTCTACCCTGCTAAATTGTTTTGGGCCGTTTGTTAAAGATGGATAAATGAGAGTTTACCTCAACTGTTGATATCTTGCTAAACCCAAGTATCTGTGGGAAGTGGTTATACTACAGTGTAGAGTTGTGTAGAGTTGTGCAGGTTGATAAAGTTGAAGAACAGGAGAAAATAGAAAATAGTGCACATGTAGAAATAGTAATAGATATTAAGCAATGAGAGAATAAAATTACGGGGTGCCCCGTATTATTTAACAAGCTTGTCGCTTGTTGCTTGTCGAGCGTGATTTCCTTAAAATGTTAACTAAATCTCTCACATGTCAGTATCGAATTACACATATAGCCTGCTCTTGCTGTCCAGCTGTCCTACACAGAGAAGGTGCTACTAGTCATGGATATGCATTTGATTGGCAGGTATTGTCAGGGCCCGTCTTATGGGCTGGGAACTTGTAGTACTTGACTGTGAGACAGCAGGACTAATCATGTACTTCCCATCGAATTAGGGTTAGATAATGTAGCTCCGGGAGACGAAATTGAACGTTGGTAGTACAGGACGTTATGGGAATCATATTAATTCTGCCGGGAGTAACATGTCTTGGAGTGTTATAGTTAAAGGGCGTATACTTAGGTACAATGTACATTACAGGCTCTTATACCACCTAAGGTAAAGTTCGGTATTGATTCGTGAATCTTAATTAGATACATTTACATCCACGTGGGAGATGCGTGTAGAAAGAACATGTAAGCCATGGAAGGCATTGTATCTCGATCACGTCGCAAACGCACGAGGGCAAATCTTACACGCATTAGATGCATAGATCTCAGAAATTCATTAATTCATATTTATGTTCAGTGGATTTTGTATAATACATGCCTACTTACCCAACATGTAGTCGAGTACGCCATGGTTTAGGGTGTCTCGAGTCTTCTCGAACGTTCCCAACACCAATATCACTAATACAGTGTCACAGCTTCTTCTCCTCCTCTTTTAGCTTTTCAACAAGTTTTGTCCTGAGAAAATCGCTCAAACCCAAACTAATTTAAGTTGCCAATTAGTCAAATAGTCAAAGTCAGTGTTTCTGATTAGAGATTCGTGAAAACTTACATTCCCTCGTTGGTAACAATACGATATGTGCCACTTGGCTCGAATTCTCCTACTATGTTTCCGGACGCATCAACTTCGATGCTACCAAGAATATCTTCTGGCCACGCAATTCGGCCGTAGTCAGGTGGATTTCTTTGGTCACTGAGATGGATATACCCTCCGACTCCGGCACCTCCAGCACCCCCTTGGGCACTCGCTCCTCCAGCGCCGTCCCCGCCAGCACCACCTCCTCCACCTAGTCCAGCGGCTGTCCTTTTTGTACTACGCTCCTTTCTTTGCTGGGGAAAGAATGCCCCGCCTGAGCCAAGAGTTGCGCCGCCCGGGCCGGCGAAAGTTTTGGCTTGGGATAGAAGGTCGGGGTCTTGCGCGGCATATTTGCGGAGGACATCTGTTAAGATAGATAGAAATTCGCGGTTCTCGGAAAAGGAATTGGGTGTTGGGGGCAATGTGGTTGTAGAGCCAATCGCTAACCTAGGCTTTGGCGGATTGGTATTGAGATATGTGAGTAGATGCCCATTGTCCACTGAGGCATTGGGGAAAACTTTCTTGAAGAAAGATCATATGAGCAAGACTGAACTGATCTGTAAATTGTATCTAATATTGGGGAGGCTACTGACTATATAGGGATTGGTGCTTAACGTAGAGACACCCCTATGTGATAGTAATGTCCTATAAGTAGGTGCTATGCGAACTCGTGATAATAACATTTTGGCGCTATAGATCAGTTTGACCGCATCTCCTGTATGTGAATTGGAAACTTGAGAAGTTCTTAAAGCTCGATAATAGGTATAGGTAGTTACATAAAATATCAAATTATTATTTGGTCCCGCTGACGTATTAGCTGCAGCTTTTACATACATATGTACATGTAGAGCTAGTATTGAGTATAGGTACTTTGATAAGACTCTGATAAGGAAAGGATTTTACATATATCAGGTACTAGTCACTTATCCATTGACGCACCTATTCTGCCCCACATCCATATATCGATTAGTGAACCTTTACTGCTCATTAACGCGTAAAACGCGCCGAACGCGTCTCCAACTAAAATTATATCGAAATATCAACCGCCGTCTTGAGGAGAGTCTATAATAAGGTAATAAAAATATAAAAATGACAATTGTGAAGATTTAGCAACCGTCAATATGCAAGGAAACAAACGCACTGCTGCGTCAATGTTCGCGCCGAAAACGCCCGCCCCTTCGAATCCCATCCCATCTTCATCTCCGGCCTTTGGAACACCAGCGCATACACTTAAGCCGTTTGCCATTGCACCACCTACCAAAGCTACTATCCTCCCAATTCTTCTCCCGCCAGCAACTTTGAGACCGTTAGCATTTCGAACCTTTACAAAAAAGCACAGCTTAACTCTCACATCCTCCGCGCTACAAGAATTAGCTACCTTCATTGGTCGGCATTGCGGTTCGGGATGGCGCGAAGAAGGGCTGGCGGAGAAGGTCTTGGAGGAGACGGCAAAAAGCTGGAAGAATCGAAATGGAGGTGTAATAGTAGATGGTGCTAGTAGTGAGCTAAAAGATATCCTGAAAACGCTGGAAGGGAATATGAGCGGTGGCAGGATAGTGACGGGACGAGAATTAAATCGCCAAAATAGTTTGGTTCTGGACTCTAGCCAAGAGGCCGATTTAACAAACACGAGGTTGGGGTTAAGACCAACGAAAGCTCTAACACGCGATGATAGCGCAACAAGTTTCGGCATTTCAGGGTTAGGCGTTGAGGAAGACGAACCTGACGATGAAAGCTTAAAGCACCCAAGAAAATGGTTGAAAGTCGTCAATGCGTACGAGCAACCACGGTTATTATACAACGTAACAAAGAAACACTTCGAAAGGTACGAACATCTCCACAAAGTCATACATTGAGGTATCAAGGCTTATAGCAATTACAGGGACCCTTTGAAACCATCTTTAATGCCGCCAGCAGCCCACAAAACGACTCTCTTCCGGAATAGATACAACGTTATACATCAGAGACTTCTCCGAAATGAATCGTTCCAGAGCTCGACAGTTGCAACTACAAAGGCTGCGCCATCTTTGAAACGATCCGCCTCCTCTAATCTAACCACACAACAAACCTATAAAATCACACCAATTGCAAATCTGCTCGGCCGCCATGGTAGCCATCATATGCTTCTTGGGCTATTATCAGTCTTGCCAACCGGAAACCTTGCAATTAACGACTTAACGGGAACTATCTCCTTGGACCTTTCACAAGCCGTAGCTATACCGGAAGATTCGGCTTGGTTTACGCCGGGGATGATAGTGTTGATAGACGGCGTGTATGAGGAAGAGGAAGAATCGACTGGTAGGGGGCTCGGTGGTAGTAATGGCGTAGGCGGTATCATCGGCGGCCGCTTTCAGGGGTTCTTCATTGGACAACCACCTTGTGAGAAGCGCAAAGCCACACTCGGCGTCAGCGGGCTAGACGACCACACTATAGGAGGCGGATTCGGCTGGATCGACTTCCTAGGCGTCGGAAGTGAACGCGCCGCAGGTTCCAAGATGCGGAAGCTCGAGCAGCGCATTCTCAGGAGACCACGTCTGACCCAATCATCTACAGCGGACCCCGATACCGACGCTCCCAGCTGCGGCCGCATCGTCGTCATAGGCGAGCTCAATCTCGACCAACCACGAGTCCTCCAGGCTCTACACAAAATCCTAACAATCTACTCGACGGAGCCCGAGGGCAGCACGCCAATGACATTCGTGCTAACAGGTAACTTCACGCAATACGCCGTGATGGCCGGTGGCGGGGCCAGCGGTGGCAGCGTAGAATACAAAGAGCACTTCGACGCTTTGGCGTCCGTCTTATCCGACTTTCCAGCCCTTCTCCAATCTTCCACGTTCATATTCGTACCCGGCGACAACGACGGCTGGGCCTCATCCTTCGGTGCTGGTGCCGCCGTCCCATTACCCCGCAAACCCGTCCCTGATATGTTCACAAGCCGTATACGCCGCGCCTTCGCCGCCGCGAACGCAGAACTCCCTGACAACGGCAAAAGATGCCCTGGAGAGGCTATTTGGACCAGCAATCCCTCCCGTCTATCCGTTTTCGGGCCCGCCCACGAGATTGTCCTGTTTCGCGACGACATATCAGCGCGGATGCGCCGCACCGCCGTGCGTTTGCGCTCTTCGACCACCGACGCGGAGGGGAATCTGCATGAAAAACCCACTAGCAGCAACAACGGCGAAGACGACGACGATATAGACATGGAAGCTGCGCTCGAGAGCACTGACGCAATGGATGTCGACACCACCAAGGGCACCGAGCCCTCGGTCCCGCATGACGTACGGACGGCGCGCAAGCTAGTGAAAACAATGCTAGATCAGGGGTATTTATGTCCGTTCCGGCACGCGATTCGCCCCGTACACTGGGACCACGCGGGCGCGTTGTACTTGTACCCCCTACCAACGGCGATGGTGCTTGCGGATCCGACGGCGCCGCCGTTTTGCGTTACGTACGAGGGGTGTCATGTTATGAACCCCGGGGCGGTGCTAGTTGCTGGACGTAGGGGCGTAGGGCGCTGGGTCGAGTATGAGTTAGGAGGGACCGGACGGGTGAGGGAGTGTATGTTTTAATGGATGGATACTATTTAATGAAATACCGAACATATACACATACCATGTCCTCTGCCGCTTGCATGGTATATGGCACATATAAGTTAGACACGACTATAGTTAATGATAAGGGGGCATGACATAGCATTGCTAATGAAACAAACAGATCACGACGATTCTCCAATGCAATTACTTTCTTAGTATTATATTAGGGGGGCCATCGTAGCCGCGTTACTTAGGTTTCTTTCCGGCCTTATTCATTCGCAGCATGCTCCCATCACCATCAATCATGCTTCTCTTGCTAGCTGGCTTGCAGCCGATTTTTAAAAAGTCGTAGGGGGGGGCAATCTCAAGTATATACAAGTAAAAGAACTGCTAGCGGGTATGAGCTCTATATGCCTATAGGTCGTCTAGGGATAGAATCTGATAAGTTGAATGACGTATGTTCACCGAACGTCGACTTTCAAAAGATTAAATGACGTACTGGAAGTTGGTTAGCAATGTTCGACATAAAAACTATTTTATAAGGGTATACGTAGGTACTTACCGGAATGAACAGGTACGGTACTTGTCTCTCATATTCCTTCCACGCATCACCATACTTCGTCCTACAACGTGCGATATCCCTGTGGGCACGATGCGTGATCATGCAGCAGAAGAAGAACGGGTAGAACCAAGGAAAGGGGCTGTTGAACCCCGTGATCAGGCCCCAGCTGATGGCGAAGAACGCATCACAGGTGTAATGCAGCTTGCGCGCATATCCGTACCAACCATCAACAAGCAGCTTATCACCGGTCTGCGTGTCGATAGTTTTGGGGTTATCAATGTAGATCCATGGGAGCGGGGGGAAGGCATAGCGCTTCTGGAGATTGCCGCGCTCCTGGGTCCGGAAGGCGTTCTTCTGCCCGTTGGCTTGGTCCCAGATGATGTACACGGAAATATAGAGGATGAAGAACGCAGCTAAGGCGTATTTATTCCAGGCGTATTCCGACGGGTGATGGCTAGCCAGGTAGAGGGTGCAGTGGCAGTATGAGAGAGGGACACCAGCCATGTTCCAGAAGATCAGCATGAAACCCCACTTCTCGTAGTACATATCCCAGGTAGTAATGATGAGTTGCTCGCCCTTGGAGCAAGCGTTGGCGTAGAGATAGTGAGCCATAAGCAGGAACCATACTTCACCCGAGACGTAGCCGTAGTTCTCGTATTGCCGAGCCGCAGCCGCGCAGGTTAGTCCAAACAGGATATACCAGGGAATGCGCACTTCGTAGAACATCTTGAAGTCGAGGATTCCGAACATGCGCGGGTTCAGCTCGGCTCCCATGAAGAAGTCGTAGATGGGGTAGCCAGTCATTCGGTGTTGGGCACCTCGAATCAACGCGGAGAAGTATGCGACAATAGCAACCAGGAAACCAGATAGGATAGCGACGGACAGGAGAGGACCGAACTCATCCAAAAGGGTATTAATCTTAAACAGACCAGTAAAGTGCAGCACGCCTATCACAACGATGGTGAAGTAGAAACTAGCATACGCCGAACAGTAATACCGAAGCTGCTTGCCTCCCTCGAAGGGAAGAGGCTTTCCATAACCCCAGACGCCAGGTAGAAGACAGTAGCAAGCGGCCTCGAAGATAATGTAGGTCCAGTAGATTCTCCATGCGCGCAGGTGAGGGAAAGCGCCCGTGTAGACGTGATTCCACATGCGCCAGCCGAAGTCAGCAATAGACTCCCCTTCGAGCGGCAGCGGAGGTTTGCCATCATAATAAGTTGCGCCAATCCACATATACCACATGAGAGTCGGAAATACAATCATGAGGGCTAAAGTACCGAGGCTACCTCCGAACTCGAAGACGCCGGAGTGATCGATCTTGGGATCCGTGCCCGGCTTCCAACCGTCAACGACTTTATCCTTAGCGTACCCGTTGACATGTCCATTCGTATGTCCATTCGTATATCCATTAGTATGACCATTCTCTACCGGCTCTGATTTGATATCGGCTTTGCCGTTGCCGTTGCCATTCATGACAGTAGAAAGCTTCTCCTTAGCGACAGGACTGAACTCCTCTTTTGACGCGGTATCCGAATCGTCCATGTGCTCGATAAATTTGCCAACTCCCCGACGCCGTACAGATGTGGACCTAGTAGATCTAGTTGTTTCGGCAGCAGAGCTAGAGTCGCCGTCGTCGGACGCGCCGTCCGCAATAGGGGGGAACTGAGATTTACGTCGCGTCGCGCGGCGGCCAGGAGTCTCGACCATACCGTCAAACAGCTCCTTTTTCCTACACGATAACTCGAAATATTAGCAGAAATCCTTCACGATCGCAATTTGTTGACACGCTCAATACACCACCGCCGCCACCGTCATCCACGTCATCGCATCCAAAACCTGCTTTTTCTATCTTTCCATCCCGTGGTATCATCATGATAGAGATAAGTACATACCTAGGAGTTGCACGTAAGGAATACCTTGAAGACATTTTGAATAAATCAAATGTGTGCGAATGAATGGACAACGGCTACTTATAAAGAAGCTCGTCAGTTGGGGATTAGAAATTAATGAGTCAGGGAACAAAATAAGAGTTCCATCCAGAGGTCGTGCTCGGGGTTAAACTTGGAGTGTGTAGGTTAGGTACTTTTTTTTGTTTTTAATTCAGGTCTATTAGGTCACTTATTTAGCCCCGTTTCTTTTTCGGTAGTCAGGGGCAGCGTTGAGCTGGCCAAGAAGGGTTGACCGACCAATCATGGCTTTTGCGCAATGGCCCGCATACCCCATTGATACTTGCCCAACTACCTAAAACCTAGGTTACGCTCCAAACTTACATCATTGATTGTTTCCCTTAGCCTCAATTAAATTATATTCTCCAATCAAAGCGCCAAAATACATAGCGAATTGACACTCTAATAATCTGACCAACCCTCTTTTTTTTTTTTCAAACTTGTCAGCCTATCCCCTTCAACTGGCATAAAACGGCAAACCCACTATTTTCAGTATTGATACATCGAGATTGGCTAAAGAAGTCTATATTATTAGATTGGCCAATCATATTTATTATAGAGGTACATTATTACAAGGGTTCTTCCTTTTATCTTAATGAATCGCGTTAAACTTCATATACTCTACCGATTATAAAAGGTTTACTGTTTTATGCCAGTTTAGGGGATAGGTGACTGTGGCCTTGGTCGTCGTGGTCGCTTTCTCGACCTTGGCCCTCCAAAAGGTGCCATTGAAATATATGGCCCACGGCTCTCCTCACTCCCGGTATCATGGCTAGCTTCCGAGGCTTCCAGCTCAGTGGCTGATGAGCTTTTAGATGCTATTGATGGGTCCATTCTCTCTGACCGCCCATCCAGATAACTACATGAAGGTATTTTAGATAGCTTACTAGGGCTCGTCTTGGGTAACTCGGGCTCTTCGGGTCCCGAGTCTTGTTCGCTCACTCTCGGTAGCTCCTCTTCGATGTGAGATTGACTGGTCACTTGTGGGACCTTGTTAAAAGCCTCATTTTCGATAGTGGCATCTAAGCTCGTATTCGGGTCAGCCACCTCTGCTGGCCATTCACCAATCTCCGAAAACACCCCCTGGTCTCGATCTTTCACTGTATCACCGTCTGTTCTTCCGGAAACTTGTTCACTGGGCACTATTATTGACGGCTGTTCTTCTTGGCCTCTTGATGGGCTTCGTTCCTCTTGAGTATACCCAGTCAGTATCAACGCGACTCAAAGCACGATTATCATACATACCAACCATTTCATTCGGGGACCGTTTAGGTATTATATACTCTCTAAAAACTCCGTCTTCATAAGCATCTACCCGAGTTCCCGTAACTGTTGGCTTTGACAAAGCTGTAGTCTCTTGGGTTCCCCGAATTATTTGGCCCGAGAGTCCTCGACGCGAAGACCTTGTGCTTGTTGAAAGAGCTTCTCCCTGAGTATACGATCGGATGGCATGGACAACATATCGTTCCAATTGGCGGCTATCCTCTGCGATCACATCATGTGAATCTTCCGGGGCTGTTTCTGGCACACCTAACGGCGACTTGCGCTTCTTATACTCGGCCAATTCGCATCTCAACTTCCTAGCTGTCGCTACCCAGTTTCGTAGCCGTTGTTGGAGCATCTCACTAACACCATTAGCAATGAAATATCAGTCTGTCTAATTATGCGACGTACAGCTTTTCGCTATCCACGTTCTTTCTCCTCAATTCTTCGAACATGAATAAATTGCATAGCAATGTGACATTAGCTATTGCGCTTTGAAGATTTAAGCGTAATTCTGGCACATCCGGCCGTTTCCAGAGCCACAGCAATCGTGCCCAGAAAGTATTTAAAAGCGCCGTATCGGCACCATTAATGTCGATAAAGCGCTGCACGAGTCGAGCGAACCCTCTCTTGACAGACTTACACTGCCTCAAGATTTTTTGTACCAATTCGGCTCGCTTAGCCTTAGAATGTTCACTCATGACGGCTGCGGATTCCTTCGCGACCTCATGGAAATAACAGAGTTGGTCAGTAAATATGGAGGTCTCAAGTATAAAATATCTGATTTCCTTGGGCGCTGAGCGTATAGCGCGCACACAAACACGCAAGTCTCTTGTCAATTTCACTACGGAACCAGCCAATTGCATGATAGCTGCAAGGCCGCCAATCAGCGTAAGTGCTTCCGCCATAGCATGAGCAGGTAATTATGAGATACAAAGTCCCAGAGCGATTGTTCCTACTATGTAATTGTCAAGGGAACAACTAGACTTATGAGTATACTCAATATTATCAACCTCGCTTCCAGACTTTTCTACAATCAAGAACATCAAAAACTGGAAAAAAAGCATAGCCTTCATCGGCAAGGCATCTAAGAGGGGCTTGAGGAAGAATATGGAGTGGGAGTTCCATGGCTAATTCGATGGGTGATGGCGTGAGCTCCCCCGCATGTCCCCGGGCTGACTATATCCGGAGGTGGACGGCTTACGGTTGTGAGGCTCTCTCACTCTGCCATGCCTCTGGTATGCATGCACTCCGCCATTTCCGGTACTTCCTGTCGACTATTTGCGCTCTGGGTTCTTGATACTCTAAGCTAGAGGAGGCTCAATATTACAACCTTGAAATTCTCGGTGAAATTGTGGTATTGTAGTGAACAGCTAAGAGGGAAAATTCATACAACTATAGACTTTCTCGTCCTATAAGGTCAGTTCGCGCACCACGATTTCAATACCCTTTTCAGTTCCGCAACCCCTCCTTTTAACAGCGATACCTTATCAACTTATCATTCTCTTGACCCCGGCCTCACTCCAAAGATTACGGCCAACTCCCGTTCGGCTATTATCCAAAAGTCATGATAACCAGATCGTCGAGACCCAGAATAAAGTCAAAAGATACTGCATTATAGCTGTTATAAGATAACTAACATAATAAATACAAGCTAGTAAGACTCGAGTACGCCTTATCCCCAATTTAGGCCGTCTGACGCCAAGGCATACCGGAGAAGCGATCAGTTTATTTAAGGTATTATTAATGATACCATGGTCTTAATAGATAAAGGGTGTTCGAGTTACCTTATACTAAACTCTTTATCGTCTCAACTTTCGACACACTACCATTGCGGAGTTAACTATCGTAAACGCACGGTAATACCCGGCTCTTCATTATCCATACGAGTCTCTACCAGCTTACCAGCGCCGTGGCCGCATACCTTCAACGTCAGCCGATTGGATACTACTAAGGCTTACCGAGTCACAGATCGGAAATGGTGCAGAGGGCGCACGCTTACCCGCAGGTACGTAACATATATACAGATATTGAAGATAAAATTCCCGCCAAGGGCGCGCAGCCTTACCCGACTTGTCGGAACCTTCAAGTCATACAAGGAGCTATCCAAGATATGACTGCTCCAACTACAGGCGGTCAAGAAGATGACAGCTTATGTTATGACCTACGAGCGTCGCCAGTTCCTCACTCGGGAACTTATGTTCGAAGATGGTTAGGTTAGATGTTGCCCGTCGATGGTCGTTATCTCTAACCATCGGAGGCACCTACCATATCAGGCAATTACCTCAAGAGATACTACTCGAATAGGCTTATAGCTATCATACAGTTCATAAGGCGTAGCCAGTAAGGTTTGTCATACCATAATCCACCACGCGCCCTATGCTCCATCAGCTCGATAGTAAGTGAATGTGATAGGTATGACATCGTTCTCGGTTCAATCAACATGCGATATCGCCTCTTGAGGCGCCGGGGTCGATGGGTAGGTACATTCCAGTATGACAATCCTACGAGGGAGAAATCTAGGGTATATATAACCATAAAGACAGTCAATATGAACTCTTATTTTCCCCTGATCAGTAGCTTCGCCTGTTCCTGGTGTTGATTTCAAAAATGTTTCGGCTATCTCTCGCTGCTCTGGCGATCCAGGGGGTGCTTGCTTCTACCTCTCATCTACCAGTCAAACTCGAGACGCGTTCCGATCTCAGTTCAGGCCTTGCAAACGTCCATATATATTTTAATGATCTTATCGATGGCGTTATAACATACTCTTACGGCCAGTGTGACAACATACAGCATAGTGAGGCGCACCATACTATCGGCCAGACCACTCACCCCAAAGAGTCCCGGCTGGTTTGGATCTTGCCCAACAATGCTAGATTCGACGGATGTATCTCAGCATGGGACCGGCAAGGACAACTAGTCGGCCGCAGCGAGCCCCAACGGCTAAGCAGAAGGAAGCTCAGGAGACGCGGCGCCAGCAGCATCGAGATGACGAACGCCACTGGTATCGATGCGTGGGGCCCGTGGTTCGACGGAGTCGAGCTGCTCAAGAACAAGGAGATCAGCGCCGTTGACGTTGCAAAGGCTAAGTCGAAAGACGTAGCTATCATCGGGGCTGGCATGTCGGGATTGATGACGTATCTGGTTCTACACCAAGCTGGCTTTACAAATGTGAATATTATCGAGGCTAGCCAGCGTCTTGGCGGAAGAGTGCATACGGAGTATCTCTCTGGGGGGCCGTTCGATTATTCGTATCAGGAGATGGGTCCTATGAGGTTTCCGGAGACTATAGAATACTCGAATGAGACTTACAATATTACGGATCATCAGATGGTAAGCTAGCATTGGCTCTCTTATATCTTCATTTGAAAAACCCCAGTTGCGGTTAGCTAATAAAATGTAGGTTTTCCAACTCGCCAGCGAGATGAATCTCCTCAACAACCACGATAAGAACTTCAGCGTTTATTTCATCCCCTGGATCCAGTCGAATCCCAACGGGCTATACTATCACAATGGGATTAAGCTGGATACAGGGCTCCCGCCTACCATAGCCCAGACTCAGGCAAACACATCTTTGGCGGTTTCATACCCCATGAACCCGTCTACGGAGGCGTTGTCCGACAAAATTAGTGCTATCACTTCGAATGAGACATTTATGATTGAGCTGGCTACTAATACCTTCAAAGCCCATAAGGACTTTTTAGGTAAGTAACTACTTAATGCCCCTATATAAAGTGTTGATGATAATTATTAACTCATCTGGCATAGTTAATGGACTTGGTGGACTTGGTGGTGATACTTGGTAAGTGTTTCAGCTGCTTCCCCCCTGAGCCTATGGCTCTCGAGTTCATTCCATCGCGTCGACCTTCTTTCCATGATCACCAAAATAGAGAAACAACAAGTTACCAATTACTGAACATGAATAGGTCCGAGTTCGCTTATATGGTAAACTACCTTAATGCGACCTTGAACGACACCGACGTGCTCGGAGGCGATGCGTCATCATTCTGGGACCAGGTAAGCTTGATCATTCGTGAGATCACTAACTCGTACTGACTCGTTCAAACTTCACGTAGATCTATGATAACGTATATTTCGGAGCCACAACCTGGAAGACAATAGACGGAGGTATGCATATCCTTTCCTAGTCAAAATCAATAATTTTCTCACGTCAATTACCAGGTTTGAATCGACTCCCAGCATCCTTCCACCCACTCGTCGACAACGTAACCACCATGAACCGAAAGATCGAGCGAGCCGAATGGCTAGACGATACGCAAAAGGTCAACTTACAATGGCGAGACAACTACACCGATACAGTCTTCCAGAACGCCTCTTACGACTACGCCGTATTCGCAGTCCCCTTCTCCATCGTCAAGAAGATGCGGCTCCCATGTAAGCCTATACCCCCTATTACTCTTCCACAACACTAACACCCCCAGATCTCCCTACTACAATCTCCAACGCCATCCAAAACATGCCCTTCACATCCGCCTGCAAAGTCGCGCTAGAATACAAAACGCGCTTCTGGGAGCATTATCCCCAGCCCATCTTCGGCGGGTGCTCGACCACAACAGACATCCCCGGCGTAGGATCGATCTGCTACCCGTCCTACTGCCTAAACTGCACCGGCCCCGCGGCGATACTAGCGTCCTACGCCTCGGGCGACTGGGGCGCGCGCTGGGTCTCGGTCCCCGAGGAAGAACACGTGCAGTATATGGTCGATGCGATGGCGGAGATCCACGGCCAGGTCGCGTATGATGAGTATACGGGCAAGTATAACCGGCGTTGCTGGATGCTGGATCCGTATGAGGGGGGCAGTTGGGCGAGTCCGACGGTGGGGATGCATCAGTTGTATTTGCCGGAGTATTTTAAGACGTATAGTAATGTGTGTACCCCTTATTACCCCTTTCCCTCCTACCATAACCCCTTTTGTTACGCCAATTTTCAATCTCACAGCTGTAAAGCCTTATCTTGATCCTTCATGTTAAGATATGTGTGCTATAACTCATACTGACACATTATTTACCTACAGATGATATTCGTCGGCGAGCAGACATCATACACGCACGCGTGGATAGCTTCCGCGCTCGAGTCGGGGATCCGCGGTGGCGTGCAGCTGCTTCTCGGTAAGTGCAATTTCTTCTCCATCCTCTGAATATCTCGCGTATCCGCTAATGTAAAATTTTTCAGAACTCGGTTTGGTCGATGAGGCTAAGGCGACTGTTGAAAAGTGGATGGCGAGGTGGATTGACGTTGTGAGTAATTTCAACCCCCTTATTCTCGATTATCTTGCCATAGTGTTCCTAGACGCTAACGGTAAATATTACTAGTAAAAATGTGATCTCGGTGATGTTTACATGGCGGTATTTTATGAGTGGTATCCTGGGGAAGAGCTGGGTGTCTTCTCCGAATATATTGTACTTGGTCGTAGGATTGCTGCCAATGTACATACCTGCGTAAGGTGAAGTTAGTAACAATAAAATACATAACTTATCTTGTGATACCCCCCGAAGTCACGTACGTTCTAGTACATGCTTCGTTTGTTTCGATGTAAAAGTAGTTAAGCATAGTAGTTATCACATCAGGCCCCATTCATTTCTTGTATGTCTTGATGTACGGTGGGAAGAAAATATTAGATTCGAAAATACACACTATTACTCGAAGTAATATATCCGTATCTGCCATTGGCATCCTTCGTATACTCCATCCAAAGTTTCTAACCTACCTAGGTATCCAATCCTCTGCCATATCTTATGTTACGCCAATACTTTTACATCCATCTATAATTCGTCCTATCGTAATATCCATTATGAAATGCAAACATTTAAACCAAAGTAATTTCCTGAAATTCCCGTCCTCCCAACGCCTCCCCTTGCATAAACCCATGGAGATACGTCCCGCCAACAAGCTCGTAGGTTGCCGCCTGCGGCACTTGTCGAAGGATCAGGGGTACCCTCGAGCCCTGAACTATCCACACCAGGTCCCCTATTTTGCAAGACGAAGTTCCGCAACCTAAGCTTCCACGAGCCGTCCTAAACAGGCGTAGATTCAAGGAATGGGTGAAAGAGGCCTCGTACTGGGCAGCTCTTTGCTTGCCAGTCTCGGATGGCTCGTAATCGGAGAGCTTCATCCAGATATCGAAGGCATTTTCCCATGGTTGCTTTATCGGTACCGTTCTAGACGGATCTGTATCGATGAGGAGGGTCCTCCAAAAGGCATCTTTATAGTCGGTAGTGGGATACTCCCGTTGAAGCTCGTCGCGCATATCCAGCCAGTTTCTGCAGTTCTTAGTACGATTAACCTCCTTTTTGGTCTCTCCTATTCGAGTAATCGTATCCAGTTCAAACCCGCGTAATACTAGCTTATCTCCATTCTGGATCTTCTTGAAACATGGCAGCATACCGGCGGCATTGTATCTGGTGTATCCAGTAATTCTAAGACCAAGATCTTCTCTCACGCTCCAATCAGGTACCCATGTAGGTAGTCCTTTAGTTTGTTTGAAATCATCGCCTTCGGCGTGTGCGAGGACGTGTAGGTCCTTCGAGATTTCAAGAATATACTTAGCAACATCAGTATATAGCTTCGTGACACTTTCATTGTAATTTGGATACAATTCGGGGTGATCAAGACTTCGACAACTGGCAAGGCCAAGGAATGAATATACTTTATCGTGTTTCTTCTCAGCATCATAGGTGCGGCATCTAACCAGAGTGTGAAGGATAATGTTGTCGGCTCTGGTATCAATATCCCTTTTGATCGCATCTAGTTTCGTAGGATTTTTATACGAAAGTAAATGACGATCAATGTCGTCGAAGATATGTTCTTTGAATGTGTTCGCCGATGTTCGTTTCGATAGAAAATCTGAGACACGAACCATCTTCTCCCAATCGAAGGTACAATCACCGCATAAGATAGTTGTTTCGCGAGCTAAAATGAGCTCCTGGACCACCCACGCTCGTGTAAACCATCTTCTCCCGAATAACAAAGCGAGTGCTTTCCAATGTTCCGGAGAGTTTGAGTATCCCAGTAGTGAATTGTTATGTGGATTGTCGAATGCTTGAGGACTGATAGTGAACATATCATCATCCTTTAGTTGACTCAAACGCTCTATCAATTCGGAAGCTTTTCGCGTGAGCTTATCAGCAGCGCCCAGCCACACAATCACACACTCTGCCAAGCTATATATGTCGGCCATGATACTGACTTGTTCATTGCGCTCGCAATCGTCGCGTTGATTGATGCATATCGCATCAACCCAAAGGTCCCGGTCATAGTGGCGGCCATTCTTCTCAAGCTGTGTCAGGCAGTTGAAGAGGTTTTCTTCCACTGGGAGTCGTGTGTTGTTACAGACTATGATCTTACTCGTTTCATCTTTTCTCTCATTTGTCTCTTCTTGGGTCGTAAGTCTCCAGGTGTATGAAATGGCATCGTATTTTGGAGTTGTGCCGGCATTCAAGTCGACAGACCGGATGCGACACGTAAGTAGCCCATTCACTCTTTTTGGGAGTATCCTGAGTAGTCGAACGGTTTTGGTGACTTTAATAACGGTTGGGTCGGGTCCTCCAATGTTTGCCCCAGGGCTACTGTGCTGAATATGAAGCGGAATAGTTGAATATGAAAACTGTTCTAATGAAGTAGTCTCAAATTCGGTATCGGGACGTGTATGTCTCAAATTTTTCTTTCTGTTAGTAAGTCGTTTCCATCTCTTTCCTACCGTTAAACAATTACTGAGACACCACATGTCAGTAGTCGATGAATGCCATTGTTCTCGAGATGACGTACGTTCGGGATGTTTTTGTTGCTTGGAAAAAGATTGACTCGAGGCAAATAAAGCAGTATTCCTTTGGAGGCCACAGTCATTGTGTGACTTCAGCTGAGCTGTTATTGTGTGGCGCAGTGCAAGGCTACACCGTGTCCTACGGGATAGCGCTTATATATATCTCTGAGTAGTTGTGATATTCACCAAGTACTTACTATATTGAATTTTGGAACCAGGTATTCTTAGCAAACTACGCGACTTTTTTGTTAATGCGATTTGGAATTTAGACCGAAGGACCACTTATCTATTTATTCTCCCTTTTCCTAAGACTTAACGGTAGACTTCCTCCTTTCTGTATCCAGTATCGCCTCTTCTCAGCTTAACCTCTTCTTCACTAGACTCGCCATCAGCAATATAAACATCAAAATTATCATGGCGACGAATATCACTTCGTTCCAGGTTGTTTCTGGATTCTTCCGACATTACGAGGAGCCCACCGGGCCTCAATTCCGGGCGGTAAGCTGGAACTAAAGCATCTAATATCTGTAAAAGGTGAGCAGAGTTAATAGTAATATAGACAACGCTACCAAATATGGGTCTTATCGATCGCGCCTATGAGACGGACGCAACCTTCGACCCAGAAGGCAAGAAGACTCAGTGGGAACGATTCGTCCGCTTCCTGGAGCATAAGAACGATCAGGGACAGGGCCGAGTCCAGTATAAGTTGATTTTCCTTATCAGACACGGCCAAGGTTACCATAACCTTAAGGAGGCCGAAGTAGGGCGACATGAGTGGGAGGTAAGGATGTCCCCCTTTTAATCTTTGTAGCTTTTAACCATGCTAACATATGCACATAGTCGTATTGGTCGCATCTGGACGGCGATGGCCGTACCGTTTGGGCTGACTCTCAGCTAGCAGAAAAGGGGAAGCAGCAAGCACAAGCACTAAATGACTTCTGGCGGAATTCGATTGCATTAGGAATGCCGTCACCGCAGAAGTACTATACGAGCCCCCTTGCTCGTTGTCTCGCGACGACCAGCATCACATATTCAGGTCTCAACGTACCAGCTGATCGGCCTTTTAAACCTATCATCAAGGAGAATCTGCGAGAACGTTTCGGAAAGCACACCTGTGATCGTCGCAGCACGAGAAGCTGGATTGCAGAGAATTACCCCGGTTTCCAAATCGAACCATCCCTTAGAGAAGCCGATGAATTATGGCAGCCAGATCGTCGGGAGACAGAGGAAGAGATTGCCGACCGAGTGAGGACGCTCCTGCGTGACATCTTCAGCGAAGATGAGAAGTCCATCCTCTCATTCACGGCACACTCGGGATTCCTCAGGGCTCTGTACGGTGTTATTGGCCATCCTGATGTTTGGGTATCAGCAGGCGCTACAGTGCCTGTTTTAATTAAGGTATCGTAGGTGAGTAGAGAGATATCGTAGTTTGTGTTAGGGTAAAAATAATGAGTCGTGACTTATATGACTTATACAACTCCAGCACGCACAGAATAGGGGGAGTACATAGTACATATGTCCTTGCCCAAGGTACTTAGGTAATTACAAGGTAATTGTATGATAATATAGCACTTGCCAAAATAGAAATGACCCTTAATCTATGTTAAAGTGACACTGACTAGAAGAAGGAAAGAGCAAAGATAATATACCTATAGTGGTAGTTACTTGATAGGTAATACATACTTGCGGCAGTAGCTCACCCGTAACTGCCTTGTAAGCAATTGTTAGTTTCCCGCAGTGATAAGCTCAACTTTACACTTTAACCCAATTCATAATCATACCAAGTTTTTACAACTACATGTTTGAATTGAAGGCTGTAGGCACATCTTATCAAATTCAGACCGGGAAGCCTCTTTATATCATTCTCATCATCTATTATGTAGTTCATATAGCCGAAGTTCTGTACCGTCATAATGTTTGCCCGTCTACACCCAGATGCGATTCCGGCCCCCCTAAAGCCCAATCCTCACGCTTCCTCGAAATATTTCAAACGTCGTCTATCCCTAGACGACGATGAAGATGATGTGCGCCCACCCTCCCCCAAGAAACATAGAAAGACGTATTATTCCATTGCCCCGCTTTTCGACAAATTCAGGAGGCCAAAAGCGGACGAAGAAGACCAGGTTCCAAGCCACGTCTATAGCCGACGACAACGTCTTAGCCCATCTCCCGACCCCGACCCTCCGCTAGTCTTAGAGCTTGGTGGTAAGCCTACTATTCCTACATTATATCCCCCATTGACTCCCATCCCAGAGCGCTACGCCACCCTCCGCGCAACGGTTCACAGCGCCGTCGTAGCCGGCCTCGAAGAAGCCGAAGCAGAACTAGTTGCACAAAGCGAGGCCAATATCCGCGCCAACCGGCAAAAAATGGCCGTCCTTGAGGCCCAACTCAATAAACTTATCTCACCCCTCCAGGACTTAACAATTGACTATACAGCCACCGGCGAAGATGGCCGCGAGCGCACAGCCGCAGTAGCAATCCGCGACGCTATATCCACCTTTGAGGCCAAACTCGAAGCCGCCGCTGCCGAGCTCAACGGCCTCTGGGCATCCTAGGCGGAAGTTCAGGCTGAGATCGAGGACCTCGGCGAAGAGATGCTGTCGCGGAAGGGATCGGACGGCGCTGCAGATGAGATACGTCTAAGCGGGGCCAGTGTAGTAAGCGGAATATCGCCGTCCGCCTCGGCCTCCCACGTCGAAGCTCTGGCTGTATTCGACGCGGATCTAGATAGAGCGAGCAAGGACGTCGTGGAGGAGATGACGACGTACGAGGAGGTAAGTCCCACGGGCTCGATATATCGCAAGTCGTAAACGGGTGCGATGTACTGATTCAGCTCTAGAAATTTCTCAAGGAGATTGAGAAGGAGGCCGGGAACATTCTGCATTCGTTCTTGAATCGCTGAGGCTGTTGGTCGGGATATGTTATTACTGGTACTCGTTACCACAGGTCGAGTGAAGCGTGCTCGGCACGCGCGGTGGGCGTTAACACTGCGGCGGAGGACTCGCTTGAGGGCTCGTATGGCCCGTCTTCCTGTTATAGGACGCATCGTGACTTTTGGGTGAGATTAATGGACTACTATGGATGGATGAACTCATTAGAACTGGCTACCCGTACCGGGACTACCATGTGTGGGGAGTTCACCCAGTATATAGATCGTTGCTCAAAATGCATTCCTACCCGATTGCTTGTCATGTATATTAGTCAAGTCTAATCAAATACAACATTCCTCACAGCACAGCTTCTTTTGAAATGGAAATATGCATTTAGATCCGCTATCAACAGAACGCGCTTTTATTCCGGCTCTTTTTACACACAACTCGTGTAATCTACCTCTGCCCATCCTGTCCCAAGCTAGCTATACCACACGATTCGCTGTACCATCCTCGCGCTGCGTCCGAAGCGAAGGCGAATGATTTAAAGCAAAACAGTTGAACGAATATGCCATGAGCCGAGGCCTATAATGCGATACCCCGTGCGACGACGGGAAACTCTAGTTCAACGCGAAGTAACCGTCTCAATAAAAAGCAAAACACCAAAGAGTAAAAGAGAAGTCTAGTAAACGCGGAATATGCCGTCGTGCATCGTGGTCCCGTAGCAGGGTGGCTGGCCTGCCCAGCCCAAGCGAAACGCGAGATAGAGTAAGAAAACGAGACGAAAAGGCGAGGCGCAACGCCAGTTATGCATCCGTCCATCTTCTATGGAAAAACCTCCCGATGGTGATGTATGTTCCAGCAATGAGATCTGCGGGAACCGATCGTGTTGTTATGGATCGTGATACAGCGTTGCCAACATGGATTTGTGTAATTAAGGTAGGATAGGTAGGTTAGTTGCCTCGTAGAAAGATAATAGGAGACTTCAGGGTTCCCCACGCCCGCTCCGCCCGTCCGTTCGCAGCTACGATTGTCGCCCCTCTCGATTCTCGACCAATAGACATTATGCGGGCAGAAATATTCGTCCGCTGTGAAAGTCTGGGGTCCCGAGGCGTGAGATGTAGATGCACGCAAAGCTGCGTAGCCACATCTGCACGTCGGGGAAATTAGGCCACTTAATGTTCTTCTTGTACGACAACACCCCACGGGTGGTCTACGTTTCCGTACATGATATCCTTAAGCCAGCCCTTTAGCTTGAGCGTGTATGGACCACCTTCACCCGCCTTGCCCATAGGGATCTGTATATCTTGCTCGCGGTGATGGATGAGCGAAATAGGGCAGACGAAGAACTGTGGTTAAATATCAGCACATGATGTCTCCTTTTTATGCAATGATTTGGGAAATATTGTAAAGAACTTACCGCTGTACCAGCAGCGAAAGATTCGAGCAGTCTGCCTTCCGTGCTAGCCTCCAATACCTCCCCAATGGTATACCTTCTCTCTACAACCTCTACCTCGTCGCCTAGCTTCTCGCGAGCAAGCTGTAGCACGCTACGCCTTGTGACACCAGGTAAGATCAGTCTGTCGTCCAATGGCGCTGTGATAAGCTGAGTCTTTCCTTCCTTGGTTTTCCACAAGACGAAGAAGTTGCTCGCTCCAGCTTCCGTGCAGTAGCCTTCGCTACCGTACAGCCATAGGATCTGACCGAATCCTCTCGCGCGGGCTTCTTTCGTCGCTAGGAGAGAAGGACCGTAGTTTGCGCCAACCTTGGCGTATCCAAATCCGCCAACCCAAGCACGCACCATGTCGTCCGGCGACGTGTGGAGCTTTAGACCACCTGCTGGCGAGTCCATGACCGGCATGTAGCTGGCAATGATGTAGAGGAGGGCCTCCGACGGAGCCTGTACACCGAGCTGTGACTGGGTTCCGATGAGCGTCGGGCGCAGGTAGATGAAACTTCCAGGACGGTCACGAGGTACCCATTTAGGACCGTCTACAGCCATCAGCGCCAAGAGCAGCTTTTCTACTTCGGCGGGAGGGAAAGATGGTAAGCTAATGCGCACCGAAGACATGAGAAATCGCTCGGCATTGCAGTCGGGTCGGAACAGACGCAGCTTGCCGTCGAAACCACGGTACGCCTTGAGACCTTCAAAGCACTCCGTGGCGTAGTGAAGTACGGACGCTGTGGGCATAAGAGATAGGGGGCCGTAAGGTTTTAGTTCCGGTGTTTCCCAGCCAGACTTAGCTGACCATGCTACGGTGACCATGTGGTCTGTGCAAATGGTTGAGTCGTCGATGGAGTAGACGCCCGGAGTAGGAACGTCGCGAGGCTCCTTGGTAAACGTGTAAGTGATGTTTGAAGCGTCTAGTTCTCGGACATTTGGCTGAGATACGCCATTGCCGTGTCCGTTCGACGAGGGAGCGGTTTGGCCATTTTCGGATAACCGGTGGTCGATGGCGGAAGCAGTCAGGTTTACATCTTGCTCGCCATCGTGGACGGTCGACGGGACGACGGCGGAGGGAGCCATGCCTATAAGTTATGTACTGGTTACGGGTTAGGTATGATATGAACTGGAATCAGAGAAGTAGTATAGGAAGCAACGCTAGAGTATAATGGGTATTGTCCTTGTAAGTCAATGTTTTAATGAAGAAAGAGAGAAATAGACGATGGGCTGTAGATAAGAGGAAAGTATAAATAATATAGACTAGCTTTTAGACCGCGTCGACCTGCACAACTTACACTACTAGGTTAGAAGGGTCGATGACTCAATAGCCAATGGGGATATTATCTTTTTTTGCTTTCTTGCTAGAGGAGAGGAGAGGATCCTGTGCCTTGCACATTCTGCATCATGTTTGCTGCATGAAAAGGGCGTATTGTGCCGTGGTCGCTGTCATTGTACTCCTTGGATCCGGACCAAGACTTACCCAGATTTGGATAAAGAAAATACAAAATTCTGCATTTTCCCCATCGAACTAATTGAACCGATCAGACCGATACACTAGAGCTAAATAGATACCTGGGCATATAGTAGCTGAGTAGGTATTCTAGGTATTTCCAGATACTACCTACCCATAGGAGGGGACGAGGTAGGCTTAGTTTCCACCAGCTTGGGACCAATGCAATATGGACGGGCCCATGGACGGCCCCGGGTATCTAATGATCTCCATATCGTAACGTCAGGTGGGTGTACTCACGGGTGACACTACAATGAACAACGAAGCAACACCCACACAGCTGCCACCCCATTCTAGGAGCAGCCGCCGGAACTAGTAGTATACATGAGTAGTATACTTGTTGCGGTGTGGGCCGAGTTTGCAAATTCGAAAAAAGAAAGCTTCGGTTGCACACGGAGGCTGAAAATCATGTGGGAAGTGGAGCGCAGAATGACGCCGTTGATTTGTCGCGAACAAGCGGGTAACCGTTAGAAGCTTGTAGACGGCAAACGGGTTACCAGACGGCTACCAAACGGCTCGAGTAACATTTCCGATATCGAAATGGCGGCCAACAAGCTCGAGATGGATAGATCAACGTCCGTTCCTCGGACGCTACCAACTACCAACTACCAACTATTCATACGAAATTCATAAAACAACTCGTGAGTCAAGACGACGAGGGGAAAATAAAGGATCCGAAATCGCAACGAAAGGTAAGTGTCATTTTATACGGGGAGTTCTCCACTAAATAAATGCCATGGACAAGCATCTTGACCCCGGGCTGGTTTAGTATTGAAGCCGGAGCTAATTGTTGCATATCAAAAACTAAACGGCAATAAAAAAAAAGGTGAAGATTGAAAGACGGAGTTGAAGGTTTAGCGTGGAATTGGGGCCGCTCTTCGGCCTGCGGAATAGTTGAAAAAAAGGCTTAGTGGCTTCGGGAAAGCCGCGAATTGCCGCCCATTGCCTTATCTGACCGCCACCTACAGCAGTCTTACATTCTATGTAGTGGGGGGGCCCTTGACATATTCATAAATTACTATCTTATCATTGGACCCGGTAGGATACTTTCGTCTTATTGCGTATTCCGTACTTGGAATATTTATTAGTATACGTCAACTATGCCGAGTTACCTTAGTGACTACATTGATGACCACCGAGATAATGGACGTGTTTATCCAATGAGTAATTCCCAAGGGGCACCTAGGCTATAAATCCCTATCTGGACGAGCACATGATTGAGGCCTTACACTAACCAGGCTTCTCATCTTTGAACAGTTCATACATACATTGCGTACGTAGTCTCTCTGTCATGGCTCTAGACCGAGCTCTCCACAACATCTCATGATCCATCGTCATCAAGCAATTCCGTTGTGTTGCTCTATCTCGTCCCTTCGCGCTTGGCAGACATTCCCGAGCCCAGAGTAGATACTCCATATATCAGAGATAGCTCGCCGGGGTTTATCGTCGTCGAAGTCGGTAACCAGAAATAACTACGAGATATCCAGGACAAGAAGCCGGCCTTTAAATAGCCGAGTCTACGGCGGGTCCGAAGAGAACCTCTGGCTAGCACTCCCGGCTTATACCGACGTCTACCGGTCACGAGGTGAACGGCTCAAACTGAGTCTAGATGCTTCTTTAAAACCATCACGGATTTTATTATTGGAATTAATTTTTCCCCACACGCTAACCGTTCCAATAATACCCGCCTATTTCAAACCTCGTAATCATATATTGGTTACCATACATGGTGACGTGCGGCGAGAACGACGTCAGTCGGCATTGTGTTTCCTCTACGGAGACTTTGAGAGGCCATTCGGATCCGGGTATCGGTGTCGTGCATAGTCAAGCCGGACATAGCAGTCCCAACCTCTTAAGGATAGGTACCACCTCTTGAGGATAGATACCTAATCAGACCGGACCCAAGTATTGGTCAGGGTCGTATTAACGATGTCTTTATAAGTCGGTTACTTACATAAGCAGCCATATCATCAAAGCAGCGTTATTCCAAACAAAGTCGAGGTAAAAATAAGGGTCCACACCATATTAATGGTAAGTAGCATTTGTGTGCCGTCAAATAATTGCGTATCCCCGTAGCATAATCGCAATAGCCTTTATGATCCCAGGATAAGTACGGAGATTATTGTCTGTATACTACAGTACCAAGGAGGAACCCAATCACGATTGCTACCCTCTCCGTAAAAGGAAGCTGTTCGCAAAGCAAGCTGACGTAGTCTTGGCTTCTATTGGATAATGCGTATCCGTACCTACGTATGTACCTTTGTAGGGCATCTATACCAATTGAAATAGTCTAGACTCGATCTAATACGGCAATAAACATTGATATTCAACGATAGTTAAGTTCACATTCAAACTATAGCATACTCAAGACTATCATACATGATTATCGTAGACTCTTACCGATAAGTCTAATAGTGAATCTAATAAACATACGTCTCCTAATTTGGTTGGAATTCTTTACGCACCAAAAATATGTCTTTAGCTTCAAACCATCTTCTATTTACATCCAAGTTGAACAATCGCAGTAGGTTATCGTATATTATAAGTTCCAAAGCCTCTCATAAATAGACCTTCCCCGCAGCTCTCAGAGCCGCACCCAGGACAATATTGCCGAAAAGGGGGTCCCAGCAGTCCATCGAACGCATTCAGGCAGTTCCGGGTTCACGGGATAAGGGACGCTTGGCCCCACGCGATTCAACTACGACACTCGTCATCTGCAGTAATGGAATTTATTGGATAGATAGACACTTATAATACACCGAGTAGATTCAATGAATAGTAATTACACGATACACAAGTCCGTCGCTGTGTCTCGATCAAGACGGTCCTATTTCAACACAAAAATAGAAACTGTGATTTATAAACCTATCTGAGACCTCACAAGTCTGCCTAATCTAACGCCTTCAACTCGTAAGCCAAGTCGATCGCAATGTCAACCCGCTACCCCGGCCGTGACGTCGACCCGTCACCTCTAGGCGCACCCCTCACATTCCCCTTCTCCTCCGCCGTCGCCCCCAACCGTTTCATGAAAGTCGCCATGACAGAACGCATGGCAACCTGGGATCCCGACGACATGAGCGCGAGCGGCATACCAACTACCCAACTATGCAACCTCTACGGGCACTGGGGCGACGGCGGCTGGGGCACTATTGTAACGGGCAACATCATCGTGGACACGACGCACCTCGAAGCGCCCGGGAACATGATCATAACCCCCTCTGACCCTTTCTCAGGCCCACGCTTCGAAGCATACCAAAACCTCGCCAAAGCCGGCACACGCGGCGGCGCCGTATTCCTAGGGCAACTAAACCACCCCGGACGGCAAACCGCGCAGGAACATCAACCTAACCCCGTCTCCGCATCAGACGTACAATTAACAAAAGGATACGGCGCCATGTTCCACTACGGCAAGCCGCACGCCGCATCAGCAGACGAAATCCACGCTATTAAAGCCTCCTTCATCCACGCAGCCGTATACCTCGAGCGCGCCGGGTTCTCCGGAATCCAACTGCATGCGGCGCACGGGTACCTATTCGCGCAATTTCTCTCCCCAACGACGAACCTGCGCACCGACGCCTACGGCGGCACACTCGAGAACCGCGCGCGTCTAATCACCGAGATCGCCGACGGAATCCGCGCCGTCACAGGCCCCGGCTTCGTGCTCACCATCAAGATCAACAGCGTCGAGTTCCAAGACAGCGGGTTCGCGCCCCTAGAAGCAGCAAATCTAGTCCAGCTACTAGAAGCGCACCGCTTCGACCTAGTAGAGCTCAGCGGGGGCACATACGAGGCGCCAGCCTGGCACCACAAGAAGGAGAGTACTAGGCGGCGCGAGGCCTTCTTCATCGAGTTTGCGGAGCTCATAGTACCGCATGTGTCTCTTGCGCGGTGCTTTATAACAGGCGGGATACGGACGGTCGGGGCGATGGTAGATGCTTTAGCGAGCGGGTTGGATGGAGTTGGGCTGGGACGCCCGAGTACGACGGAGCCGAGGCTACCGTTAGATGTGCTGATGCATGGGTGTAAGGGGTGTATCAAGCCGCTGGTGGGCGATACAAACGTCGTTGGCGAGCAGAACTCCTGGGCGCATGGTGCTTCGCTGGCTGGTGCTCATATGCGCCAGATAAGCCTCAACCAAGATCCGGTCGATCCGTCGGACCGTGTCGCAGCAGATGCCTTCCTCGAGGGCTTTCGGAAGTGGGTTGTGGCGCTACCGACGATATCAAAGAGAGAGGTACTTGGCCATGTTAGGATCGAAGGGGTGTCGACGAAACCCTATGGAGCTATACAACCACTGATATCTTGAGCTCAGGGGGGCATTGGCAGTACCTAATTAGACTCTTTTTCTTAGATATCATTATTCGAAGCCAGCATTACCCTAGAATTAGTGGTCGTCCTATATGGTAATATGCCTGCATAAACTTCTTGCGCGACTGGCAGTTATTGTATAGTCCAAGAAGACTATCTTACGCGTACGGGCTTGTACTAGTTATATCCTGTTGATTTAAGATGCCTGCTCATATTAAATACATATGGTCGGCTATGTCACTGGTTCCTTGCAGCGTTCGTCTCGCACTATGGCAATATTTGTAGTCGTCAGTCATTATAGCCGCAAAAGCCTATAGCTGGAACGGCCGCGCTCCAAAGGAGCAGGTCGAGGACCGGGGTTCTCTAGTAGAGCACTCCAACACTTAACTACCACAAGTTGGCCTTTCAACACAAACACGGATATACTGTTGACCCCAAGTGTTTCGAGCGACCCGTAACTTCTCCCATTGGAGCCACGGATGTTATGGACTGTCCCGAATCGTATTTGTTTCTAGCGGCCAAGCTTTAGTATCGGTCAATATTGGGCCTTATACCCAATCAAAACGTGATTATTGAGAGGCGGATAAACGCTCTCCTTAGTCTTAGAGGGCCCAATAATAAAGTGACCAGTTATAGTGACGATCCGTGTTCTTATATACAGCGAGGCTGCTTGTTCTACTATAATTGTAGATTAGTCGGGGCTCGACTCGGACCTCCCCTTAAGTGAGCAGCGGAATTTTTGAATAGGCTTTGCCAAATGTAAGCTTCGCTAAGCAAAAGTTCTATGTCTTTCTCGGTCCAGTCCCGAGTGGGCAATGCCTGTAGGAACATCATTATTTCCTGGAAATCCATTTTTACTAGTTTGGACGACCATTTCACTAGGAATGCCGCACACACGTATAAATGAAATTCGGAGAAGCCTTGTTCTTCGGCCTAAATGCAGTTAGTAGGGAGGTTGCTTAATCAGGGTACGAGGAAATATACCAGATATGTATCCCACATCCGAATAGTATTCCGTACGCTGATCTCCCTCATGAGGAGACAATTCATCCAGCGGAAACTAAATTGAATAAACTCGACGTTCTCGTTTTCAAGGTGCTTTGCGAGTCCTTCATCGATCCTAGCGGTAAGATCCCGAAGCGCAGCAACTTGTCTTTGAATGCCAGGCTGGGCAACGATATAATGGTCCTGGATTCCGTCGAGTAATTTCGTTAGACACCAAAAAGAGTCGGCTTCCACCGCATCGAGAACTGCTTTGGGCAATTGCCCCGGGTCCATGCCGCTTTCGATATTACAATCCGTAATGTAAGTGCCCAGGAAAACCTGCCAGAAAGGAGTTACCAGGTCGTTAATACCCTGTACGTAGCCGCTTGCGGGATGGCGAATTGCCCAGAGGTATAGTATCCGTTCTAGCGATCGTTGTGTCGCCTCATAACTGTAGAGTTCGATGTGGGGGTTCGTCCTGGGAACATCAATACTAATCTGATGCCATATTACTTCATCAAGACCTCTAGACCGGCCACTAGAAGCAGGATTAGTACCGCCCCGTTCGAAAGCTTGACGTACTCCGTCAAGGTATTCTTTCCGCTTCCGTTCCAGTGTCGCAACGCGTCTTTCGCTACTAGTTGGCAAATAGCTCAGCAAGAGTTGCCATGTCATAGCTCGGACTTCTTCAGGAACACCACCCCATGCTAAAGCTCTAAGGTCCGTTAACGGTATAGTGCTGGCCTGAAGAATCTTTTTGAACTTGTTGATCTTTGTTATACGAGAATTAATTGCGTCTGTTTCCTTGGGTGTCGCATTGGCTGGGGCTGTGGGGTGATCGATAAGATGTAGAGCATTGGCCGGGTCTAAATGATATTAGCTACCGAAACAATATTTAAGTATAAGTACCGAGTGGATGGTACCTTTTAGAATATCTTTATATTGTGGTCTGAGAATCTTCCCTTCGCTTTTCTTGGGCATTGGATACGTAGGTGTTGGTCGTTCTATGGCTATGTCGGCACTATTTGAATAACGTCTTTGCGAAAAGCTAAGTGCCGCGTCTAGAGGTGTTGATTGGACGTGCGAAGAGCTACCAGTCTGAGCTGCTGCGGCTCGTCGACTCCGTCGCTGCATGTTGGACAAGCTTGGGAGGCCAAAGTCATCCCCATCGTCATCTTCGTATCCAAGCATATCTTCTCCGTTTGGTACTTCGGGGTCTCCAACATCCCAATCTTGATTTGTATTCGACAAGAAGCTAAAATAAGACTTCAGTGGGGGCGATGATAGACCAGACGAATGCTTTGGTGGCGGCGAGCTAACATCGCTCGTTCGAGTTCTCTGTGGCGAAGAAGTTGGAGGAGATCTCGGTCGGGAGGAGGAGCCAGAGAGATTCCTAACGTGGCGCGCCAAGTTAACGAAAGATCACACAAAGAGAGAGCTCATGGACGTACAAATTATCGAATTTAAGCATGTCGGCATGTGAATAAGAAGCTCCTACTACTATATTAGGGTCCCGGCCTGTCTTCTTTGCGGCGCCTTCTCTCTGGACACGCCAAAACGGCGAGGTCGACCTAATCCGAGCTTAGCAAACAACCCCTGGGGCGACTTTCGTCAACAAAAAGCGACAAGTAAACCTACTCTGACCTGTCTGTCAAGTAGAGAGACACAAGTCAGTAAATTTGTCTCTTTCAAGTTAATACAGGCGCTATATGAGCGCGTCGAGACACTGTTGAATAATAAGATGATGGTACTCACCGACTTGAATCATTTCCTACGTCATGGTCAATTAAAAAACAATGTTCCTTAGATGTTGGCCTCGAAGAGAGCTTACCTGTTGGGACGGCGGCTTCTTGCCGCTTCCCGAGGATGAAAACATAGCAACGGAATTTATTCTGGAATAAATCACAGCCGCATTGTTGTTAGGAGGGTGTAATTCACCCAGTTTGGATTTTAAGAAAGGTTCAGGTAGTAAAACAATTAAAAGGCTGAGAGTATCATAGGTACTAACATCATAAAAGGCGAGTATAGGTCCAGGTACGTTCGAACTGTTAGAGCTAACCTGACAATGGCAGCGCTACAGGTACCTACATACCTAGCCTATAATGCCCCTCGATAATGTTTGACTGGAAAGCCACAGCTCTAGCCTCGGCAGTTACTACGAATGATTTAGTGTTGGTACTAGCTAAGTTTATGCCTACATACATACATTATGTACATGTCTAATTCCCATAAACCATTCTTCAATACCTAGGTATATATTGACTAGGAAGCTAATATACCCAGTATTTATATAGAGTACAAAATGTCAGATTTTGCCGTAGAGCGAGATCAATATCATGAAAGAATCTAAAGTAAAACAAAGTATCTAGTAGTTACCTACAAATTCAAAGGGTAGGTGTGGCTTGAATACTAGTAATAGTGACTCCGTGCCCCACACTGTTCATCAGCTACAAAGTCTAAATGGTAGGTGCTGAGGCAGTGATGTAGGCATAGTGGTTCTAGCGGATACGTGCCTACGTACCTACATATGTAACTAACCTAAAAATGGAGTTTGCCTGCCGCCTACTTCGCGTCTCCTATTGGCTCAAGACTTTCTCACAGCGTACATCCATTCTAACTAGGAGGCTGCAATTCTTTTCCATCGACACCTCCTCAACCATTCTTCCACTGGTCCTTCCTTAACACCTTTTTTTCTTTCTAAATTTAACTAATATCACAGCTTCTTTCATATTTTTCCCTTGAGACGGACTATATGGCCGACCGATTGAGCTAGATACACTACCCCAATCTTCCTGGTTCAATCTTTTAGGTCGAATCCAAGTCGATTACTGCTTCGCGACTTTGGAGTTTTTGCGATCGCGTCTATCAGCTCGAGTCAACAACGCCTTCCAACATGGCCGAGACGGAGAACTTTGAGGATGACCTCTTTGCTGATCTGTATGGTTAACCTGCGCTCCCGTGCTTTGTGATGTTGCATCTAGCATTTTTCTATCAACTAGTATGTACTTGTTATAAATTTACTGATCTTTCGTAGATACGACGACAACAATGCTTCCGCCGCGCCGCCGCTACCAGCAGCAGCAGCAGCAGTAACAGCTCCGGCAGTACAAGCCCCTACTGCTCATATCCCCACTCCTACCCCCCAGAACGTTCAGCAATCCGTAGAGGAACCCAGCCATCACGAGATCGATCAGGCACATAGCGAAATGGCCTACGCAGCTGAGGAGAACGGCTATGGTGAAGAATATCAAGATGAGAACTACGAGGATGACGATGATGTGGATTTCAACTTAGGCAATGGCCCGAGTGGTGCGGTCACTGTTGCGCAACCTCAACAAGATGATTCGGCTTCCGCATACCATGCTGCTAGAGGTGCTAGTGCTAAGGAGGATGGGTAAGTAGATTTGTTTAGATTCGTTTGTTTCTATTAGTTGCATAGCTCATTTAGAGCCTTGTTACGTCTCGCCAATGCCTGAACGCCAGATCAGACAATGTTTCGAGCATAGTATGATGCTCGGGACGTTTGACTTGGGAAATGATTCCTCATTAGACATTTGACAATCAAAAGGACATGCGCTTGAGTATCCTAGGGCCTTTTAGCCGGGGGGACATTGGTGGGCAAGAGAACTGGTTTCTATCTCGCTAGCTGTCTCCGAAGGGAAAATCTAGTAATGGACTTGCCAAGTCGGTCAATATTCTCAGATACATAGCCAGAGGGAAGCACGCCAGTCGCCCGGATCTCAAGAGGTGCATCGTGGGAAAGAAGTAGTGGGTGAAGACTAAGGAGGAATCCTAAGGAGGAATCACTCTACCTTTTTTTTAAAAAAAGAGAAAGGCCAGCGATAAAAGTTCGACCATAGTCAGTACAAAAACACTTACTGCCTTCCGTAGCCACTCGTCAGAAATAGGCTCATAAAGCTCAAAAGGGACTATTACTCTGGAAGGCTGTAACAAGAAATTTGGCAGCGAATAGCGCTCGAAGTTATGTCCTAGCTTGACGATAGCAAAGAGACGAAAACAAAATTATTCGACATTTCAGACATCACCTGCCTTGTTCTATTTCTGTCGAGCAGTGCTATTTAGGACTTGCTTCTCAGATTATCAGAGATTACACACCGCTGGCCCATGCATCGTTACTTTATCTGAACTCCTCAGACTTTCGCGTACATCACATCAGTCACTATGGACGCTCCTAAGGCTAAAGAGGAGGATTACATCCCGTTTAATTCTGATAACGAAGGATCTGAAGCCAGTGGCCAGACTTTAGACAGAGATGCACCTATCATTCAAATTTCCGATCAGGCAGCCAAACATATTAACCAAAATAATCCAAGGCTAAAGGATCGATTATCCAGGATTATGGCGAGCCGCATGGGAGCTCAGTATGTTTGCCAAGCGGCAATCGCCTTCGCTCAAAGCTTTGCATACACTGATTTGTCTTTGGCATTCGGCAAATGCGTTTTCATAATTCGTAATTATTCCTGGTGTAATGGATACTAACTATCCTGTTTGTGTAGGAAGATGTTCATCGGTGGTCTCAACTGGGAAACAACTGATCGTAAGTAAAAGGTACACTTGTGGCTTCGTTCGACTTACCATGCTAATATTCACCATTTAGAGTCGTTACGCGATTATTTCTCCCAGTTCGGCGAGGTGACAGAATGTACAGTGATGAGAGATGGTGCCACAGGCCGATCGCGAGGATTCGGATTCCTCACCTTCAAGGATCCCAAGACAGTGAACATTGTTATGGTCAAGGAGCACTTCTTAGACGGAAAGATTGTGAGTCTAATAAAGTCCTCTACAAAGGCTATTTCCAATGCTCGAGTACTAATTACAAGCCTAGATCGATCCGAAGCGAGCTATCCCACGAGATGAACAGGAGAAAACCAGCAAGATCTTTGTCGGCGGCGTCAGCCAGGAGACGACCGAGCCGGAATTCAAAGACTATTTTGCCCAGTTTGGCCGGGTTGTTGACGCTACCCTTATGATGGACAAAGATACCGGTCGCCCAAGAGGCTTTGGATTCGTCACGTTTGAGAGTGAAGCTGGTGTTGACGCTTGCCTCAGCACTCACCTGGAAATCCACGGGAAGCCTATCGAGGTCAAGAAGGCGCAGCCACGAGGCAACATGCGCGAGGAGGAGGAAGCCTCTAGACGCGGCAAGTTCAGGAAAGGCGGTATGGAAGAACAGGGCAGTCCCCAGGCTCAGATGGCGAGCCAGATGGGCCAAGGAGGTATGACCCCCCAAGTCATGGCTCAATATATGCAGCGAATGCAACAATACATTATGATGCAACAGCAAATGGTCATGAACCGAGGTATGGGCATGGGAGCCGTAAACCCTGCCATGATGCAAATGATGCAGATGCAACAGATGCAGCAACTCCAGCAGCAGATGGCCCAAGGTGGCGGCCAAACTGGCCAGAACAACCCGATGGCAGGAATTCCCAATATGAACCCGGCTCTGATGCAGCAGATGCAGCAACAAATGCAGCAACAGATGATGGGCAGCGGAGGTGCTGGTCAGGGTCAGGGTCAAGGTGACGGAAGCTCGCAAGGATTCAACGACTTCAACAGTCAGCAACAAATGTTTGCCCCGCGTGGCGGCGGAGGTCGACGTGGAGGCCGAGGGGGATATAACCAAGGCTATAGTAACAGCAATGTGGGCGGCGCGGATCCGACTTCGTGGGAGGGTATGTACGACGATGTGCCTCAGCCCAATTTCAACCAAGGAGGTCGTGGAGGCTTCCACCGAAACAGGGGCGCTCATCAGCAGAGTCCGACTCCGGTCGATCCCAATCACGCTCCACCGGCTGACGCGCCCAAGGGTCCGAAGAATGCTGGCAAGCCGGGTGCAAATTACCGCGGCGGAGGACGAGGTGGCGGTGGCAGTCGGGGCTTCCATCCTTATGGCCGTTAGCGACGCTAGGAAAGGGCCAAGACGTTCCACGGCCTGCTGGCTCGTCACGGTGGTACTTAGTTAGGAGCGAGGGAAATTCCAGGACAAGCTTTCACGAGCTCACGAGTGGATGAAATCTGATGAAAAATCCCCTACATTGGAAACGATGGATAATTGCCGCCACACATTCTTGCAAGCAGCCTTTTTTTTTCTTCATAGCTTGCGAATATTGCAAATGACTTTTAACACATACTCGGATCGGTCATTTCGCCTGTACTCATTACACAACACATTTTATTATGGTATTGCAATCGGTGGCAGCTACTACTCGAGGATATAATGTTGGCCGTCTTGGGCTTTTGCAGATAGAGAATAGGGGGAGATCCGTTCGATGTCGAGCAACGGCACGGCGCAACTTAGGGGCCTCCGCCTTGGCTTATTGGCTTCGCAACTGTTTTTTTTTTTTTTGTGCCGTCCCATGGTGCATGGACAACCCGACTGTATGTAAAGGGGCTTCTTGACCTCTAATCAATAGAAGAAAAGGCGATGTTCATGGCACATGTAACTTGGTTTGCTACATAGATGTGAAATGCAAGATATTATTATCAATTGTGAAAAGACACAGTAGATAGTATTTATAGTGAGGTAAAGGTGACCTGAGTCCTAGCAAATGCGTCTTTAAGCTTAGATCTATCTATGAAGCTATGTATAGCCATATCTGGGGAAGATGAGTTCCATACGGCTCATCTAAATCAGGTAGCAAGCTCTTATATAACATGCGACGTGCTATCTTGAACGCATGTCTTAACAGTTTCCCACCAAGGCTATTCCGTGTCAGGAGCGTCGATAAAAGCGGATTCATGTACTGGCGTAAATCCACAACACCCTCGGCCATTAGTGTCCGTCACGAGTCTTTTAATGTAGCCGTATACTACCACGTCTCGCGAGTATATCAGAACAACCGCGGTTCATAAGCCCTGGTCGACGCAGCGTGGTTGCTTCCCAGGAAGGACATCTTATATTTCGATGTTGATCAGAGCCTCAATGTTCTCTAGCCCCTTATACCGCAGCGCTTATGGACAGAGAGAATGCCAGGAATTAGACAATTAAGGGAGCCGCGGCGTTGCCGCTAGCCTCCTTGTACTCTGGATATCCCGGGTTCGTATAGGAGGTGCTCCATGACAAGGAAATCTACTATGTTTCCTCCTTTGGAACGCTGCCATGGCCCTATTCGGACAGCTGGAGAACGGGAAATTCCGACCTCAGAGCCGTCGGAACATCTTTGAAGAAATTTGTCTATCCCCTTACAGGATCAAGTGGTTGATTTAATACATTGACCGGCTTGCCTACTTAATGACCTACATAACCAATACACTCCAAAACCAACCCAGGACCCTTGGCCCCATGTAAGCTACTCATTACAAAGTACTCCTAGTCGGATTAGTCCCTATACAGCCGTGTAAACCCATCCGCCGGGGGTTGAAGCCAATTCCGCTCATCGTACTTCGTCTTGTCACCCTCAATAACATGGAACGTATAGATAATGCGCCCCTTCTGACTTAGATTTTTCTCGCTTTTATGCAGCAAATTGCCATGTATCAACACCAGCGAGCCCGCCTTAACCTCGCCCATCTTATACTCACCATCCTCATTCCGCCCACCCTTCTCCCCATACTCCTCACCCGGCGGAAACTTCGCTTCCTCATTATCCGCAAACTCGGTGCCTCCACCCTGAGCGCGCACGAATCGTTGGCGAATAGGCGCCCATCGGTGACTCCCCGGAAGGAAACTCAGACACCCGTTCTCGGCCGTTGCGTCCTCAAGCGCATACCAGAACCCCACGGCGCTCGGCGGTTCCGTATACAGGAACGTGCTATCTTGGTGCGGCGGCACCGCGCCCCCTATCTCCGGCTGCTTGCAAATGACCATGCTCTGGAGACACCTCGGATCCCTGAACCCCAGCGCGCGCGCAACCGCCGCGGGATGGCTCTCCTTACGGCCCGCTTCCACACTATCCCCACTAGTCCCCGCGCCCAGTAAATCTGGATTCAGCGCCGGATCAAGGAGCGCCGCAAATGGTGGTGAGAGAGAATTTAAAGCGTGCCCTATCTTGTTTATAGCGCGCGCTTTGGGCTTGGTTAAGTTGCCCTGGGCGTCGAATGCGTCCTCCTCGAAGAAGAATCGCACTTTGTCGCCGGACGTTAGGAAGTACTCATCGCCGACGTGAGCGGATTTTTCGCCAGTGCTAAACCGTGTTAGGGGGTGTGAGGATAATGGGAAGTCTTCTAAGAGCCTATGCGTTTCGGCGAGGAGGGCTTGTACGGTAGAAGGGGAGAGGGCGTCAGGGATGATGAGGTACCCGTCGCGCTGGAAGGTGGCGAGTTGATCGGGGGTTAGGCCGCCGTTTGAGACAGTGGTTTCCGAGGACATTATGTATGTGAGGTTTTGAGGGTTTGGGGTCAAGTTGGAATTATGTGGGATAGGCGGGGAGTTGCAGGTAAACCGATTAGTTGGAACATTTGAACCTTGGGAACTTACCTCATATGATGTCGGCATGCGATATGTAGTGGGGTCACGGAGCTTGGCTACGGAGCTCTTATCGATATGGTCCCGAGATGAGGGGTAGGGGTCGCACTTAGTGTGCGTAACAAGAAGTTAGACACAGTATAACTATTATACGGTACTACCTAAACGCCTCACCCCCTTTTAATAAGTTTTTAGAGGTACATATGTGTGTTAGGTACCTAGGTATGTAGGTATAAATAGCAATTTGAGTCGATTTAGACAGGTACGAATTGCACAGCTTCCTACCTAAACCAGCTACTCCTTATTTTATTTTAAATCATCTATTTTTTTCTATCGTTGACAGTTTTTTTACCATGAGTTTGGAACAAGAGGTCCTATCCGGACCGCCAGCCCCTGAGCTCCTGGATGATCGGATCTGGGTCGACGGATGCTGGGATTTCTTCCACCACGGCCATGCAGGCGCTATGCTACAGGCGCGCAAACTCGGCACTGAACTATACGTCGGTGTGCATTCCGACGAAGCCATCCTGGAAAATAAAGGCCCGACGGTAATGAACCTTCGAGAACGGTACGGATAACTCTTCCTGGATCGCGCTTTCAAGAGCATTCTGCTGATCTCTGGAGTTACATGAAAAAGGCTCGCTGCAGTGGACGCCTGTCGCTGGGTTACCCGGTCCGTTGCGTACGCACCGTATGTTACGCAGCTAGATTTCATAAGCCACTTCGGCTGCAAGTACGTAGTGCACGGCGACGATATCACGTCTGATAGCAGTGGTGAAGACTGCTACCGCTTCGTTAAGGCGGCGGGTCGATTCAAAGTCGTTAAGCGCACCCCCAGTATATCGACCACCGATCTCGTCGGTCGTATGTTGTTATGCACCAGGACGCATTTTATCAAGTCCCTAGAGGGGGTTCTTAATGGCTATGAAGGTAGCGGCACCGAAGCTGAGAGGAAGTCAGAAGGAGACGCCATGTTAAATCGAATCTGCCAGTACGCCACCGACGAGTCTGGGAAGAAATCAGGCGTGGATGTGTATTTCTGGTCAGCCTCTACCGCCGCCAAGACCGAAATTACAAATGAGAAGGGCTCGTTCCGCCCGCTACTGAGGGGACATGGACCGAAACCTGGCCAGAGAGTCGTTTATGTCGACGGGGGATTCGATCTGTTTTCTAGTGGACATATCGAGTTTCTGCGCCAAGTCGTTCTCACCGAAGAAAAGCTAGCGAGAAAGGAGGGCTGGTATGATCAGCAAGCTGTCGACGAACGCCGTGGCAAGGGCGCCGATTACGGGCCTGTTTTCGTTGTTGCTGGTGTTCATGATGATGAGGTTATTAACTACTGGAAGGGAGTCAACTATCCGATTATGAACATCTATGAGCGAGGTCTATGCGTGCTTCAATGCCGGGTACGTAACCTCCTTTTCCTCGACAGCTCTCCCTTTTTTATAATTTCCGTAATATGTCGCTAATTATCGATAGTACGTCAATGCCGTCATCTTCGGTGCCCCCTTCTCGCCAACCGAATCATATCTCACGAGCTCTCCGTGGGGCACCCCTGATGCTGTGTACCACGGACCAACATCGTTCATGCCGCTCTCGTATGACCCGTATGCTGTGCCGAAAGAAATGGGCATTTTCCAGGAGGTTCAAAGCCACGAGTTCCAGAACGTAAACGCGGGTACCATTGTGCAGCGTATCATGAGGAGCAGAGATCTCTACGAGGAGCGGCAGCGGAAGAAGGGTGTGAAGGCTGTAGGTGAAGCTGCGCACCGACAGAGGGAGATACTGGAGGAAGAACAGCGGCGTAAGGAGGAGAAGTATGCCCCTGCTGCGTAGGTTTGTAGTGGAATTCTGTTTGATTTCATTACAAGCGACAGATAAGCGATCGATAAAAAGAAAATTGGTACTGCATTGTATCTTAATGATGGTTTGAGTAGCCCTGGCTGGAATAGAGCCATAGGATCGTTTTAGTCAATTCATAGCAGAAAGAGAGCGGATAAATCGCTTCTATTTATCATTACTTAATAAATTCTGCCGCGTTTTGTCGACTCCGATCTTTACGTACGAAATATTATAACTATGAATATCAAGATAGGATTTGCTCGGTAACCACGATTCTAGGTTAAGGTTCTCTCTTGGACTATTTGTCTTGTCCCTATCACCTTCATCGATTATACGGCGGGCTTATGGGTAATGGATACTCAACCTTAGCTACTAGGCCATCTTCTAGTTAGATGCAAATACAATAACCCCGTCATTACATCTAACTACCTCTCTTCAGGCACTTGAAGTCAACCCTACCTACCTATATATGTAGAACATAAGATTAGTCTAGACAGCCTGGACTCCACATTTACCATTTAAACCCCAAAGACGCGTACTGATTTACCACAGGTAAAGCAGCGTGCATCCCAAGGCTCAGGCATGACTAGATAAGCTCGAAGCTTGCGGCTCCGTAACGTCTAGGAAAAGCACACTTCTCCTACATATACACAAGTGGTCTCTTGAGGCATCAATGACAATAACTACCTATCATAATTGATGAACACAGTTAAAGCGACAGAAATGTGATAGAAGGCTGACGTGAGGCTACTAAGAAGCGAAATATTAAGTGAGACGGTAACGCAAGAATGCAAGTGATCATAGGATTCTAATTTTGGTCTACTTATCCGCCTATCTAGTTCTGCTGCTACCTATGTACCGTATCTTATTATGCCTACATATAGGCCTCCAGGCGTATATAGCTAACCTAGTCATATGTGGCTTGCTAGCTGAGCTGTTGACGTGGTGGAAATAACTCGGTTACTTCAATATTGTGCTGACGAACCAACTATCGCGACTTCGAGGCTACGAATGAACTTATTTTTCTCAGTCATATTGAATGCATAAAGCCCGAGAAGGTCAGAAAAGAAAAGGAGAATAAGCGGTGAGAGAGTATCATGTCAAACCGTTCCTGAAAAATGGATGGACTTGATAAAAAGAAATCAATATTACATGTACATGCATGCACATAAGGTTCAATATTGTTTGAGTCAACGAGGTAAGAATAAGCACCTTGTCTGCCGCCTGTCAACTCTGCTGGTCTGTCAAGGGCTTGCCGCCTTTTTACGGCTGGGGGAGCTTGGACCAATTGGACTGGGATATGTGGTTTTCCAGAAGGAGCCAACGAACATTCATCTTACCTTGGGTACCTAGCCTAGGTGACGTGACTGCAAAAGAAATCAAACCCCCTTCCGCTTGGAGACCAACAGGTTTCACAAGCACCTCATTGTCTGCGTTACACACCTTTCAGGCATGATAGGGGCCAAGTATCAATCAGCTTTCTTTCTTTCTTTTTTTTTCTTTCCTTTTTTTAATGAAGTAAGAATACCTATGTATGTGCAATAAATTCCGGATCTTTTCGGGTTTTAAGGCTTGAGTGCCAGGCTTGAGTGCCTTACGTCTTGTCAAATTCTATTGCATCATATCATTCAACATCCGGCTGTAATAAAAATTTAAAGTTAAAGCGATGTACCGCTCAATATAGGTACGATAGGCACTGCATAGAAAGCTGCAGATTTCAGCAGGTACCTTTAATTGTAGGACACGGATTTCTTAGCGGTCCGTGCGCCCTTCTGGAAGGCGCGAAGAAGGCAGCGAACGCAAAGAAGCTCCAAGGAAAAAGGAGCTGGGGGTCTTTTTACTGCGCTTTTAACTGGGGAATGGCATCCTAAACAAGACCCACTCCCCCAAATTCCCAAGGGCTAAGGAACCAAGAGCCGTTCATGATCGTCTTCTTTTCAAGACCCAAGCAACTTAGCATCACTCCGTCCCCCCTCAATCGTCACTCTTTTTGCCACAGATAACCTGACAACACCTCTGATAGGAACAGAATCTATACTATTCCTATTCCTATTCTATTTGCTACAAACTCGTCTATATTCAGAGTAAAAGGGGATCTGATTGATTTGACCCTTATTCCTACCCCTCCTCATTTCCCTTATCCCGTATTCCTCCTTACGACATCCCACTCGGACGGACATCTTGGAGAGCTGTACCTAGCTAGGCTTGCTGCTTTGATAAGGACAAGTCTTACGCAGTACTATCCACAGTACTGTCAACCTAAAAGCAGTCACGAGTAAAGTCAGCTTTGTCGGGCTGTGTCGACTGCGTATCTCACAATAGTTACATAGTAAGTAAAGTAGTTGTACCTGCATCTTTATCTCCATCTCCGTATCCTCTCCCCTTAGGTATCCATTCATCTATAGCTATTCTCCTGTACCTCTTGCTTGTTCACATTACCCTGGTTCATCCAGCTGCTGTCCTCCCAATTTTCCCAATTTCCTACGTATATACCTACCTTTTCGAGTTTATCTTTCTTTTCCACCCTGCCATTCATCATTGAAACTATCATTGCCCTGCTTACGCAGCGCCCACCATACTTCTATTCGTATCCTCGCCGGGCTTTAGAGCATAGCCTCATCTTGTGTAGTACCTACTACCTCCTACATACAGCTCTCCCCTTAGCGCCTTGTTATTTCCCGGTTTTTCCTCTGATGAGCAAGCTGTCGGCTAATCCGAGCTGGATATGCTAGCAACTTGAATTTCTAAGAACCACCAAGATCAATAGTCAGCAACACGTACATCCTACATCGTATGTATATCGCACCCATATCTTCTGAGGTTGCTCCCTAGGTAATACTGCAATCGACATTTCCTTTCACTCACTAGCCCGAACGTTCCTCATTCAGAAAGCATCTACCTATACCCTCGACCATATATCTCAGCTATCGAGTCCTCGAGGCTTTCATTGATTGCCTTAGTTTTGCTTTTGCTGCCTTATACGCCATGTCTCTGCCTGTTGCTTATCAAAATGAGATAGGAATTCTTGAAAATCAAGTCCGGCTGAAGAACCCACCCGATATCCTACAATTTTGCTCCGACTATTTTCTTCGTCGTCTCGCCGACGAACGCGCTACCTATCTTAGAACCCGAGGCTCTTCATCACTCTGTAGAACTAGCGCCATGTCAGGAACAGCATTCACGAGCCCTTTCGCGGCAAACTCTAACCCTTTCAATAACGATGGATCCAAATCCGAGTCTGGTAGAAGCACACCACCAGGTTTATTAAATGTAGTTGAGGAGGACGAGAACGACACCATCACTTCGCCCACAACTCCGTCATTAAGGCCTAGTACATTCGTGACCCCCATACCTAGCGCTTCTTTCCGCGGTCCCTTTGGTGGCTCCTTGGACGGGTCGCTAGATGGTCCTCCATCCGCGTTCAGAACGCCACCAAATCCTGATAGTTACCCAGCCCAGTACAACTTTGGCCGCCGCACTTCAGTTTCCGCCGAGTCGCTAAAGCCAGTGGCGGATGTTAATGATAACTGGACACCCCCATCATACCCTAAAACCGCCGAACAGCTAGAGAGGTTGAAGAAGGCCATCGAAGGCAACTTCCTATTTAATCACCTGGATGACGAGCAAAATGCTCAGATCTTGGGCGCTCTGCAAGAAAAGCCAATTCCGGCTAAGGATATCAAAGTATGCATCTCCCCCCTTTAGTGCCTATGTTAGAGCCTAACGTTAGTATAGGTTATTACCCAAGGTGATGCGGGTGACTACTTTTATATCGTCGAAAGGGGCTCTTTTGATGTATATGTCAACGACGCGGGCTCACTCCAACCCGGTCCCGGTGGTATGGGCAACAAAGTAGGAACCATACAGTCCGGGGGGTCTTTTGGCGAGCTGGCCTTGATGTATAACGCGCCGAGAGCCGCCACTGTTACTTCTGCCGAGCCTGACTGCACATTATGGGCGCTTGATCGCGTCACATTCCGTCGGATTCTTATGGAGTCTACATTTGCGCGCAGAAGATTATACGAAAGCTTCCTAGAGGAGGTACCGCTGTTGTCTTCTCTTACGCCCTACGAAAGGTCGAAGATCGCCGATGCGCTGGAGACCAAGAAGTTTCCCAAGGGCTACAAGATCATCAGGCAAGGGGATATCGGTACCTCATTCTTCCTCCTAGAGGACGGTGAGGCAGACGCTTTCAAGGACGGGGGATCGGAGCCGGTGAAGCATTACAAGAAGGGTGATTTCTTCGGTGAGCTTGCGCTCTTGGACGATAAGCCCCGTGCTGCGGACGTCATCAGTGCTACTGAGGTGAAGGTTGCGACTCTAGGCAAAAGTGCGTTCCAGAGATTACTTGGACCTGTCGAAGGTATCATGAGAAGGACCAAGTACGTAGGTGTTAAGTCGGGGGTTGAAGACGTTGACCCCCTACACGCTACAATTTAATTAACTGCGCATTTCCAATGTATAGGCAGTGAGAATTAGACATGACACTCTAGGAAAGGGGGGTAATTTAGACGACGGATGGCAGCATTCATTTTTTGAGGAGGCGTTCTCGGAATTACCCTCGTTTTCCGTATTAAATAGGACTTGTGATAGCTATTGATACCGCAGCAGGGGCATTCTACCTATTTGAACTTGTTCCATACAGGACTTAAGCTGGTATCGTGATTCTGTTATGAATTATGAGTTGGTACCATGTTCCCTCTAATTTCAACCGTAACGCCGTCTCCCAGCCCGCATACTCGGGACCATTTCCTCGTCTTCTTTTCTTCTTTTCTTCCATATAATATTCAATCTAGCAATAATTTCACGCACTACCTCTTTGCCTTTCCAAAACCTGCTGTCTTAATCCTTCGGTAGCAATCTCAGTCTCGAGCACCTTACCGACACCTCGTCTCCAAGCCTCGTCAAGCCCCTTCAGCTCGCCGCCAACCTCATCCTGGACGCGCTTCCGTTGAATATTGACAACGTCGATCTCCTTCTTGGTGGCGTCGAGTTCTCGCTCTAGGTCCCGCAGCTCGGCTTCCAACTGCCAGTTCCCGACTAGCCAAGCGTTCTTGCCGAAGTTGTCTAGAAGCTGTAGATGTGTGTGTCGGCCGGATAGATATGTGGCTGCGGTGTAGGCGCGCGAGAGCTCGGCTTCTAGGTGTGAGGGGTCGGAGGATGTAGAGGGGTCAATATCGCTGGCTTCGTACCGGGTTAGGTCGATTGCGCGTAGGGGTTGCTTGGAGGCAATGCGTGCGAGTTCGCCAGTTATGGCGGGGGAGAATTTTGGGGAGGGTAGGGAGGGGAGGTTGGAGGGAGATGGAGAGTCGGAGGATTGCTGTTCTTGGGCGATTAGAGATTCAGCGGCTGCGCGCTCGGCGGGCGTGGGTTCAGGGTCGACGTCTAGTTGATGATATTAGCTTGGATGTATATGAAGGTAGGTACCTAAGTAGGTATTGGGTGATAGCCATCGTGTAAGAGGAACTGGGAAGCTTACAAGGGAGAGACTCGTGGACCGTGGTGCGGATGGAGGAGGACATGGTGGATATGTCGAGCTCTTGGAGTTACTAATGGGCTAACTAATTGAATAACCGCGAATTAAGACGTAGGAGAAGGCGATCGCGACCGCGAACGGGAATTTTGATATCGATATCGTTATCGAGATGTGCAGGTGTCAGCAGCTGTTTTACGTTTAGCGCAGCGGGAACGGGCTGAGGCGGAAACGGTCGCAATGTGGTCCCCGAATTGTTTAGGGTGGGGTTTCGCGGCAGGGGTCGAAGTGCTAATGACGTATATACTTGCCGTATGTATCACCGTATGTAATCCGTACCTATGTATGTAGAACCTATATAGAACCTACATAGGCAGGTGCGCCTTCGCGATGGGGTTTCAAAGAAGACATCATTTAACTCGGATTAGGTTTGTTAAGTTAAACTCGAATGATATATTATTTAACTATATATTATTTACGTCCAAGACTCCAAGTATTCAGGACAATACCCTTGGGAATGGTCCCGTTATAGCACTTAGTTATACACACAACCCTCACTTCAGCTCCTCCGGTTGCTGTGCTGAATGACTCGTTCGCTGGTCCTTGGGCAGCCCGTCCCGGCTAGAAATACTGGGCATTTCCCATCGTACCCGAATAATCAGCTCCCAGGCGCTTGAGACCGTTGTTATATAGTAGAATAAGAGAGCCAATATGCCACGGGGCCAAGAAAGCGAGAAAGATGGGGATGACTCTCCCTTACTCTCGAGATTCCGACAAGATCACGACAGCGATGCTCGGAATAGTCGAATACCTAGATTACTTCTAATATTCCTACCGTTTGCGATATTGTTTCTGATCGCGTGTCTCCCGTCGGAACGCCTGACGCAGGGTATTAAGCTATGGCCGTCTTACTCGGGGGAGAGCTGGGAGGGAGAGTCGTATGGTAGAGACGATGAATACCTTATTGGAGTTGGAAAGGCTGATATAACTGGGTGAGCACTTATATAAGCCCGAAGCTATTATTAGTGATATGCTTATATTATATTTCATGGATGCTAGGCCTTGCGTCGAGATTAACTTAATGGGATATGCCGACCCGCACCAAATCGGAACCGGTTTGCGACAACGACTCCATTCGCGAGCATTTATTGTAGCCGACCCTGTCAATCCCTCCGATAGATTCTTATACCTCGTCCTTGACACCCAGTCCGGCGATACGGCTGTCCGATATGGTATCTTGTCGGGATTGAATGAGCTTGGGCCTGAATATGAAAACTATGGGCATCACAATCTGGCTGTGACGGGCACCCATTCGCATTCAGGCCCTGGTGCTTGGCTCAACTACCTGTTACCTCAGATCACAAGCAAGGGATTTGACCAGCAGAGTTATCGGGCTATAGTCGATGGCGCTCTCCTATCCATTCGTCGTGCGCACGAAAGCCTTGCCCCGGGACAACTCAGTGTTGGATCTACTAAAGTATTCCGGGCCAATATCAACAGGAGTCTTTTTGCCTATCTCGCAAATCCGGAAGAAGAACGTGCAAGATATAATATTAGTTCCGAAGATGATGGATCCGTAGAGAAGGACCTTACTATGGTTAAATTCCAACGAGCTTCGGATGGCAAAAATATTGGCGTGCTTACTTGGTTCCCTACGCATGGTACCTCAGTGCTTGGAAACAACACTTTGATATCAGGTGATAACAAAGGAGTGGCGGCATATTTGTTTGAAAAGAGCGTTATTGGTGAAGAAACTGCAGCAGAGGGTTTTGTTGCTGGTTTTTCGCAAGCAAGTGTTGGTGATACCAGTCCCAATGTTCTTGGAGCGTGGTGTGAAGATGGTTCAGGACAAATGTGCAGTTTCGAGAATAGCACTTGCAGCGATGGTAGATCTCAACATTGTCATGCTCGAGGTCCCTTTTTCACGGTCGACGACGAAGGCACATCTTCATGTTTCGAGGTTGGCAAACGCCAATTTGAACCCGCAAAGAAACTTTACCATCAACTCAACCAGGAACCGAATCCGGTACGCGGGGGATGGGTAAAGTCCTTCCACACATTTCACAACATGTCGAATCATCGGTTCCAATTATCCAACGGAACGGAAGTCGAAACATGTCCTGCGGCATTAGGTTATTCATTTGCGGCTGGTACCTCTGATGGACCTGGTGTTTTCGACTTCACTCAACATAACAATAATGATTCGAATACCTCTCCGGTATGGCGTGTCGTAGGCGGCATGCTAAAGAATCCAACAGAGGAACAAATCGCATGTCACGCCCCAAAGCCCATCCTACTCGATGTTGGCGAGGTGTCCAGCCCGTATCAATGGACTCCAAATGTTGTTGATGTACAAGTCTTCCGCGTTGGCCAGTTGGTAATTATTGTTAGTCCCGGCGAAGCAACAACCATGGCTGGACGGCGCTGGAAAAACGCAGTTAGCAACGAGATCACAGCACTATTCGCAGATGAGACTTCATCAGTTTCCCCTGTCATTGTTCTCGGTGGGCCTGCAAATAGCTACACACATTATATCACTACGGAGGAAGAGTATGGGTAAGTATAATTCTTGTTTCTTTTCATGCAGCTATTTATTACTTATTTCTTGTGGGTTTTCGTGTTGGAGGTCGTTTACACCACCACAATCCTGATATCTACGTGGAGATTCATCGTCTTTCGTATCACGCATCATCGAGATTTATCCTTGTAGACCTCCCCAGTTTAACTTTAGTGCGATGCATAGCATTTCATGAAGGATTCAGCAAAGCTTACGTTCAAAAACAGGATTCAACGATACGAGGGTGCTAGTACACTGTACGGGCCGCACACCTTGGCGGCCTACATCAACGTCACTCTGTCCTGGATACCGTCCTTGAGCTCGTCGGCTAACAGCCGGCCACCTAGAGGGCCAGAACCACCGGATAACAGCAATCGTAGTCTTAGCTTCATCCCTCATGTCATTCAAGATTCCCCGCCTCTCTTTAGAAGTTTTGGCGATGTTAAGCAAGACGTAGAAGAGAAATACCAAAAAGGCGTACGAGTAACTACGAAATTCGTTGGTGCCAATCCAAGGAATAATCTCCGCCTCGAGCGGAATTATGCCGTCGTTGAGAAGCTCATCGATGGAGTATGGAAAACGGTCCGTGACGACAGCGATTGGCACCTAGTGTTCCGGTGGCGCCGCACCAGCGAGCTACTGGGCACCAGCGAGGTTGAAATAACCTGGGAAACGGCGGACCCGTGGGCGGAGCCGGGACGCTATCGGATCCGGTATTATGGAGACGCCAAGAGCTTGGCGGGGCAGATCACGGAGTTTGAGGGTGTAAGTGGTGAGTTCGAACTCGTTGATGATCAATGATCAATGATCGATGATGGGCCGATGGAGAACCTGTGGGGCGATCCAATGAAGTGGTTCCGCCCGGTGCTCCGGGTCGTAGCGCTTTGCTTGTTTGCTTACGCTATTTTATTTGTACATGATATCACATCTTACGGCGGGGACTCCATGCATACCTAAGTACATAATAGGATGAATGTACTACCATAAAGCTCGGAGTGTTACGTCGGCGATGCATAGTGCCGTCAGCGGCGCGTTAGGGGTTTTCGAGACACGAGGAAAGGAAACTTAATACAATGTAATGCAGGGAAACACATGGAAAGTGGAAAGGGGGGAATTCCCTATCCCCTGGATCTGGAGAATTAGATGGTTTAGCGGTTATTAGCGCAGGGGTAAATTGGAGATTGTTCTGTGTATGTACGTGACGGCTGGTCTGATTCGTGACTTTTTTCTGGATGGAAATAAAAGAATAACATGACCTTGGTTTAGTGATGATGATGATGTGTTTGTTTGGCACGTCAGATTCGATGATATGTGATATGATCCGTTCGTGCATGATTTCAATGTTGTACCTTGCCAACCCCACGGGAATATCATCTCGTATTCTGCTGGGTTTATCCTTACCCCTTTTCCTTCTTTGCCGTTTTGTACCTACATAACATACACATATGTACATTCGCAATCAATATCCACACTCCCTTACGTCGTTCGTACCTGATCTACAACATTACGCTAAGTCATTGTCTAATCACCTCTCATCACTGTATGCTCGGGAAATAAGTTGTTCTAGACCAGGAACCGGAGATTTGTGACCCTTTTTACATTCCAGGGCTTAGATGAATCTCTCTTCATAGCTTAGAGGTCTAAGTGATTTGTCTACGTCTTGTATACTGTGTAATCCTATGAAGATGCCAATGAGTTTACGTAGTCAATGTAAGACAAGATTCAATAAAGACCTCATATTGCGGAAAAAATATGTAGCCCGGGTTCCTAACACCGTCGCTTTGAAGATATGAATATGCACTGTATATGCTCGTCCATGCATGCTTTGCTTGGGAAAATGTTCAGTGGTGAAGTAAAATCAGTCCCAGTATTCCCGGTGTCCTTGCTTGCCCTTATCTCCATTTCATTAGCATCCTTCCGGCGGAACGATTGGAATACGCAGATCTCAAAGGTATTGCCCCTTGAAACCGGTGACGCGGGAAATTTTGTTGTCTCTTGTCTCCTGCATCCCCTATTTTGTCTCGTCCCGGCACGTCTGAGATATACGCGCGTAGCTTGGATCGCTCCCGTAACTTAGGGGGCGGACCTTTGGGTATCATAACGTATGAACAGAACAGAACAGGACAGAACTGAAGGACGAAGCCGGATAGCCACGCACTTCCGAACAGTTGAAGATAATATATGCGTGTGAGAGGAGCGAAGGTTGCGAAGCGGGAGGATAGGAGAGGCACGGGACAGGAATTGATATAGTGAATAAATGGTTGAATTTTAAGTCCGATCTCTCTGCCTCGCCATAAAACATCGGAAATATGCCCAAATATTAGGCGGTCGCGAAATTTTTTTTTTAATATATCTCCTTTTTATACCGCATGCTTTGGCTACGGCAGAGCTAGCAGTGCAAAGTGGCCACCGGCCACGGGTCGCGCCGTGAACTGAAGGCCGCCGGGGTAATCGCCGGTAGCAGCGTCGTAAAGATCGGTGAGCGGCTTGTTCGTAGGTGTGATATCAATCCAGCCAGCTATGAGACGGATGAAGGTATCGCGGGTCTCCTCACTAGAGATAGCTGCAGCCCATAACATCCAGTCCGTTTTTGTGTACGTGTGGCGCGTGTCGAGCGGTACACCGTATTCGAGCGCTACCGTCGGGTAGAAGTCTGATTGTATGTCATACACAGACTTCGGCACGAAATCTCCAAATCCCAGCAGTGAGTTGGCGTACAAGTTGTAGAGTAACCCGTGGGAGTCGTCGTCTCCATAGCTCAGTGTAGCATGGGGCGGG